GTTCATACACTGTTCAAAATATGTTGGATTTTTACTATAATGTCCACCTAAATATCTATGAAATGAGTTGGGTTAGGTTAGGTTAGGTTATCGTCCTGGTCCAGCTTTCGAGTTGCTTATATTACAATTGCACCACTACCACATTGTCACATCACTACCACATTGCACCACTCACCACACATTGCCACACCACTACCACTTTGCCACATCACTACCACACCACTACCACATTGCCACATCACTACCACATTGCCACATCACTACCACATTGTCACACCGCGCCACACCACTGCCACACCACACCACTACCACATTCACACCACTACCACATTGTCACACCACTGCCACACCACTACACATTGCCACACCACTGCCACATTGCCACCACTGCCACATTGCCACACCACTATCACACCACACTACCACCACCACCACCACCACCACACTACCACCACCACTGAAGATTCAAAATGCACGAATTCCGTTCAAGTTAGACTCTTAACTCAATCCACCGCCCCTTACTGAATAATTGAGTGAACATTTTCAACTTGCACCTCACTTGGACCACACTTACACCACTCCCACACCACACTTGGACCACACTTACACCACTCCCACACCACACTTACACCACACTTGGACCACACTTACACCACTCCCACACCACACTTACACCACACTTACACCACTCCCACACCACACTTACACCACTCCCACACCACACTTACACCACTCCCACACCACACTTACACCACTCCCACACCACTCCCACACCACACTTACACCACTCCCACACCACACTTACACCACTCCCACACCGTGTTATAGGGTTTTGCAGTGAAAATATAGAATGTGGAAAGAGTTGTGTGAATATTGTGGTGTTGACCTTCGAGATAGTGAGGAAAAAAAAGATCGTAGGTCATGTATATGGTGTCGTATTTTCCTCCCTAAACTATCGTACAAAGACTATCGGGTGTCGTATTTTCCTCCCTAAACTATCGTACATAGACGGTCGGGCCTTGTCTGCACTGATGAAAGAGACTGTTACATGAGGCAGGAATCGCTAGGGATAGTGAGATAGTCTCATATTTTTATCCCGCGATCAATCAGTCTCTTTTTATCAGCGGCAGCCGAGGCGTAAAGAAAACACAGTATTAGTAGACGGCATCTCACTCATTCCTCTAATTATTCGGTTTTATTTTACGGATATCGGTGAGGAAGATTTATTGATCGTTTACTTTTGATTTAATTCGGTTGTCTTGAGGAGGAGTATTTTATTAGTGTTTAAAAGTTAATCTCAAGTGTGTGTGTGATATTTACCCCCTTGAAAATGTTTTGCCGCTGAAAATAGTTTATTTATTTATTTATTGTTTTTGGTAATCTTTAAATTTATTACAGAACTATATTGTACAGTATACGTGTAATGTTTTTTTTTTCTGCCATTGTATCTCTTGTGTTAAAATTGTTTGGTAGTTTGGTTGGGTTAGGTTTGGTTTAGTTTGGTTGGGTTAGGTTTGGTTTAGTTTGGTTGGGTTAGGTTTGGTTTAGTTTGGTTGGGTTTGGTTTGGTTTAGTTTGGTTGGGTTAGGTTTGGTTTAGTTTGGTTGGGTTAGGTTTGGTTTAGTTTGGTTGGGTTAGGTTTGGTTTAGTTTGGTTGGGTTAGGTTTGGTTTAGTTTGGTTGGGTTAGGTTTGGTTGGGTTAGATTAGGCTTGGTTAGATTAGGTTAGGTTTGGTTACATTTTGTTAGGTTAGGGTGGGACCTTTTAAGACCTGGTCCATATCAGATCTACAGTGGTAACACGCGTATCTCTCACCAATATGTCAAGGGTTCGAGCCTCGCCCAGGACACACGTGAGAAGGGTGTTATCCAGTGTTACCCTCACTACCAAATACCACAGGTTTCCCGGTCTTCCAGTTTCCTCCTTTACTAACACTCACTGTACCCCACCCGAACCGCTAGTATGCTGGTAAGTGGCGAAAATTTTTAAATAAAACACGATACAAATTACTATAGTTCTCCCTCCACTACTGCCAGGTTTTCTTTAACACACACACACACACACACACACACACACACACACACACAAACAAAGCATCTGAAACTCGAAAAATTGCTAAACAGACCACCAAACCATCACTATGAACCTTAATTAACAGGAATATTAATAGCGTTACCGTGATAAGAGTTCTTAGTCGTATTATGTAGAATGAAGATTGATTTCAGTCTTATATTTACTGTAGCATCAATACCTTACAGAGAGAGAGAGAGAGAGAGAGAGAGAGAGAGAGACCCACCCCACCCTCTCACTTCTGGCCGCGTCTCTCTCTCTATATTCCTATCTCCTTCTTGGTCTTTCCTGTCTACTTACTTCCAACTTGTACACATCTTTGTTTATCTTTCGCTTCTCATTCTTTCAGTAAATTCCTCTCTTTGAGGTTGATAGTTGAAGCTGTGGTCACTAAGCTTTAAACCAACCCTTAATATAATCGGTGCTTCTACATGTACTGTACTCTGGGTTTGTGACGCTACTACGAGATGCATATTGTAGTGTGTGTGTGTGTGTGTGTGTGTGTCCCTTTACACATTTGTGATTTAACTGTTGGAACGAGTCTTAAAACTAATAATAATAACAATGATGATAATAAAAGTGGCAGTAGTTGGGGGGGTAGTGGTCGTGGTGGTAGTTGAGAGGTTAGTGGTGATGGTGGGGTGTAGTGGTGGTATATATGGTAGTGGTAGTGACGATTAAAAGTAGCATTACACTTGATAAACAGTACACAAGGAGGTGGTGCCCTTATCAGATGGATGGTGGGACGACGAGTGTACCTACCTGAGAGGTGAGGCCACGAAGTCACACGTCCCACAGAGGGCAACAAGCTACTGATGGAGTAAACACCTCCGGGAACTGTGTTGAGAGGCGCGTCACCACTCCAGCAGTCAACCTCACACAACTTCTGTACACAGCGTGTTAATACTGTACTGGCAGGAGTGAGGGTGGGGAGGGGCGCCTGGATGAGGAGATGAGGGGGGAGAGGTGGTTAGATGAGGGGGGGTAAGGGGAGGATAGGTGGTGAGGAGGAGGAGGTAAAAGTGTTGCCAGGTGAGGAAGGAGGGAGGTGGGAGAGAGGGAGGGTAGCCAGGTAAAGAGGAGGGAGGTGGGAGAGAGGGAGGGAGGAACATAACAATCACTTGCTAGTGGTATGCACAGTCTCGTCCTGCTTCATGACTGTGAGCTGACATAATTATTATCCACTTCTCCTGATCGTGTTGTCATGTCTAACGAGTGTAAATTTTCAAGGTCCTTCGTTGATCATCTGTTTAACGACGATTATACAGTATAACGTTAAAGAGTTAAGACATCAAAGGACTTTATGAGACACACGAATTATGCTAAGATATGCGGCGGTACTGAAGCTAGACTAATAATTGGTGTGTATACAGAATCAATTGATAAGATTTGGCTATCGTGTTTGAAGTGTGGTGAGTTGTTAGGACACACACACACACACACACACACACACACACACACACACCCACACACACACACACACACACACACACACCCACCCCTCTTGCCCTCTTGCTTTTCATTCTAGTGCAGCATTGTTCCTCCTCCTCCCTCCTCCCCTCCCTCTCTCCTACCCTCTCTCCCTCTTCCTCTCCTCCCTCATCCCCCTTTCCCTCTCCCATACCCCTCTCCCTCTCCCCCGCGCTGCTCTAGATTCACAAGCAAAACACTACAAGCTTCCCTGTTGGGTCTTGTGGTCATTGTTTTAGCGCTTCTCTTTACACAACATATAAGGGGGTACTCAATAAACTAGCTCCTCTCGTCCCATGGTGCAACTCAAAGGACTCCAATGGAAATAAACATCAGATGGTGTTGTCGGTTATCATTGGTCAAATTGCTTTACTGATTACCTAGACCAATGGTAATCAGTCCAAGCTGTGGTATCGAAAACAGAACTGGGCTTAATAAAACAACAACACACACACACACAGCAGAGTTATAGGTGTGTGTGTGAGAGAGAGAGAGAGAGAGAGAGAGAGAGAGAGAGAGAGAGAGAGAGAGAGGTGCAGTACTTCACCAATACTACTAAATAATTCGTTGACTTACGTTTAAAATCACTAAATTAACGTACCGAATATATTGAACAAAGTTAGCTTATATTAATTTATCTCCTAACTGGTACTAAATGAACGTGAACCGCATCTAATTAAAGTAGAATTTCAGATATCATTTTATCTTCTAACTGGTATTAAATTATATAGTTAAGCCACGAATCTCAGTCTTATTTGATGTTAATTTTCGTTGTAGTTAATTTAAGTACAATTAAGACTTTAATATTACGAGAAACATATAACTTAACTCAAACTTCCAGACAATTCATGGGACATCCGACACAGTTGATGACATTCTGTAATAACATATACACATCAAGAAGCAACAATGTTAAATTAGAACTAGTGAAGTGTTTGTGTTATTAAGGTCACATATTATGCCTTTATCATTTGACCAACTCTTTGAGTATGATGACGCGTGGGGGTAATTCATTATACTCGAGGTGTTTTAAGTTATCATACTCAAGGGGTTGTCGTGATACTCAAGGGGTTAAGTCATACTCAAGGGGTGAAATCATCATACTAAGGGGGTAAGTCATTATAATTAAGGGGTTAAGTCATCATACTCAAGGGGTTAAGTCATTATACTCAAGGGGTTAATATTTTTGTTATATATATATTTTTTTTGGTTTGCATCTAATCCATATGGCATCACAAATATTGTGACCAAGTCCCAGGTTGATGATCTGAATTTCTTCCTCATTTACACACAATTGCAGGGTCTCAATTGTTTCTCTTACTATTGACAACACAACATACAAACTTAACTTATCCTAACCCGACCTCACCCCCCCCCCGAGGCACTTTATTAACCGAGAGTTGACAGTGCTCCATGTGTTCTCTCGCTAGGGATTCACCTCCAGCCGGGCTCTACTATCTCCTACAGCTACATCGTCAGGAAGGCTGTTTTTAGCACCATTAGGCACAAAAACACCTCAATATGAATATCACATCGCTAAAGGAAGCCATCACTCTGCGCATGCGTGGCGTCCGTCGCCTAGCAACCAGCCAACGCGCCACGCTCTACAGTCTCCCAGGCGGTGGCAGATGTGTCAATTACGACAACAGGAAGAAACAAAGCTGTAAGTATTGACCACAATAATATCAGAAGTGTATGTGAGCGTCGGGTTATGAGTTATTCGTGTGGGTGGGCGGCGTATAGGCCTAAGGAGAGAGAGTGAGACAAGGAAAAGGAAAAAGAGAGTGGATGAAAGTGAGTGACTTCTATAAAGGTCACCTGGACGTAATGTTATAAGTTACACGTATATTAGATAAATAAACTGACACACACACACACACACACGTAAATAAGACAATTGTGTGTGGGTTAACTGATCAATTCAATTCAATTTCAATTGTTTATTCCTTGATAGAGGATATTCCTTTAACACATAATCAATATTATTTACATAATATCTGGTCAGTATGGGGAGGATCATCGTGTCTCCGTCAGGGGGTCGTGGAGTGGTGGTCCAGCAGGCGTCACGGAAGCGTTGTGTGTGGGGACATCTTAGGAGGTTAACTGATCATAGAGTATAGATATATTAATAGTCATACTGCAACCTGTAAATAATAAGACATTACAGATTTGTACTTGATGATTTTACCACAAAACTACACTGGGTTAAATATTGGATGAAGGATAGGATGGGATAGGTTTGGTGTAGGATAGATCAGGTTAGGTTAGCTTAGGTTAGGATATGTTAGGCTCGGTTAGAATGACGTAGGTTAGATTAAGTTAGGTTAGGTTTGATTTCGTTCGCTTATGATAGGGTAATAGGTTAGGTTAGGTTAGGTTAGGTTGGTTAGATTAGATTAGGTTATGGGTAAAGAAGTAAAATAATTGTTCTTATTACCATACTTCTTTATTATTACGGGTTCATGGCCCTTGTGTACAGTATATATTGATCAGCACTCAGCTTGTGTTTATTTTAATGATAAGTGTTTGTCTGTACACACCATTAATTGCTTAGGTGAACGGTTAATGGTGATGATGATGGTGGTAGTGGTGGTGGTGATGGAAGTAGTATTGATGATTATGGTAGCGATGGTGATGGAGGTAGTGGTGGTGATGCTGGTTGTGGTGGTGATGCTAGTTGTAGTGGTGGTGATGGTGATGATAATAGCGTTGATGATTGTGGTAGGTGGTAGTGATGGTTATGTTCCACGAAAAAAAAAACCGTATCGTAGAAATCTATTCTCAGAAAATAGACGCCGATTCTCCACTCTTTTGTATGGATAAATTTTCAAAGCTCTTTTTTTTTCTATATATTGTTTTAAGCTACACATTATAAGTCTAGGACGAAACGACGCTTGTTGGGATGACTGGTTTAAGTTTTTATACATGTAAACTTTTTCTTGTTATTGAAAGTCGGTGAAGGATTGAGGCCGTGGGGGAGGGGTAGAGGGGTAGGAGGGTGAAGGAGGATAGAGGATAGTGTTGCCAGAGTACCCAGCCTCGGTAACTGTTCTCGGGTAGGATTTGAATTCGTCCAAATGTTATTTAATTATCATTTGAGTTATGTAAATACTGGATGAAACTGTCCATATTGATCTGACTTATTCCCTTCAAGGAGGAGACCCTAAGGAGAACTACCTGACGAGGATGAGGAGACCTATTTAGACGGAGACTTAACGAGGAGAACACGGAGATGGGTGCGTGTGCCACCAAGAAGCAGGCCATCAACCCGGGGTCAGCCCTTGATAAGGTCATCTCCCAGGCCTCCAGCGATGACTGTGTCCTCTATCGCCTCGCTGATTACAAGAAAGGTCAGGTCATGCGGCGATCAGGTTGGGTTGTAATCAGATCGGGTGAAATTCTTACGATTGAGTAGATCAGAGGCACAGGGCAGGTCTTGTGTTGTATCAGGTCAAACACATTCTGAACTCAGGTCATGTCCTCCCTCCCTCAGGTGAAGGAGTGACCCAGGTGTTGTCTCTCCCTCAGGTGGTCGGCTGATCGAGGAGTACAACAGAGGCGGAGGGAAGGAGGTGGAGAGGCTGATCCTGGAGGAGTTTGGCATCTTCATGTATAACCACGGGCGGGGCAAGGAGATCACCCGCACCGAGTACCTCAAGTGGAAGTACCGGAAAGTGCCCAAGGATCAGGTAGGAAAGTGTCTATAAGGTCCTCCAGGTAGGAAAGTGCCTCATGGTCCACTAGGTAGGAAAGTGTCTTAAGGAACCAGTTGAAAATATTGTCTCTAAAAAGTGTGTGTGTGTGTGTGTGTGTGTGTGTGTGTGTGTGTGTGTGTGTGTGTGTGTGTGTGTGTGTGTGTGTGTGTGTGTGTGTGTGTGTGTGTGTGTGTGTGTGTGTGTGTGTGTGTGTGTGTGTGTGTGTGTGTGTCAACAGATGGTATTAAAAGTTCACCATCTGCGTTTTCTCCTACAGATGGTCGTACAAATGGAGACGAAGAGCCCTTTCGACCCTCTACATAAGTGGAGCGACCATGAAGCTTGCTGGCAGATGCAGTTCCGAGGTTCCTTAGGGGAGACACTGCTACATGTCCTCATAATGTGTGACACAAAGGCCCACACTCGCGTCGCTAAGATTCTGCTCAGGTGTTTCCCCAAGCTGGGCATTGATGTTGTGGAGGGAGAGGAGTACCTGGGTTAGTACCTGTGTGTGGGTTGTACCTGGGTTAGTACCTGTGTGTGGGTTGTACCTGGGTTAGTACCTGTGTGTGGGTTGTACCTGGGTTAGTACCTGTGTGTGGGTTGTACCTGGGTTAGTACCTGTGTGTGGGTTGTACCTGGGTTAGTACCTGTGTGTGGGTTGTACCTGGGTTAGTACCTGTGTGTGGGTTGTACCTGGGTTAGTACCTTTGTTAGTACCTGTGAGTATATGCTCGAGTGTGGAATAGTTACTTTACTTTAGTGTATATACCTTAATTGGTGTGTTACAGGTGCGGGGGCTCTTCACCTGGCTATCGCGTACTCCAACAACGAGTTGGTCACCATCCTCATGGCCTGTGGCGTCTCCTTCACCCAGCGGGCCATAGGTGTGTCTTAGTCCTTCTTTCCTTCGTTCATTGACTGGCTGACTGAACTGACTCAGTCGACCATGGTTTCTATCTTGTCCTGCACTTGTTCTCACCTCCCGCCTGTAATATTTGTACCTGTAACCACTGTATCCTGTACTACCCAGCCGCAGGCACTGAACGGTTTCTTCATGCTTGCAGGGAGTTTCTTCCTGCCGAGGGACCAGCAGGTGACGCAGCCTCCTGGCCCTGAGTACACGGACTACGAAGGATTGGCTTATCTAGGGGAATACCCGCTCGCCTGGTCAGCCTGTCTGGGCAACGAGACTGTCTACAACAAGTTACTAGACCTTGGCGCAGACCCTAACCTACAGGATTCCTTCGGCAACATGATCCTGCACATGGTAGTCGTGTGCAACCAGCTGGTGAGTGATGCACGCTCCCCCCCCCCCTGTCACATTAACTTGTATTTACCCTACCCTACCCTACTCTACCCTACCCTACCCTACCCTTACATAATATACCATAGACTGACGAAGGCTCCCATAACCAAGTATTACCTCTGCTAAACTAATCTAATTAACTTTACCTACCTGGACATATTCTTACCTAACTTGACCTAACCTTACCTGTCTCACACTACCATGACCCTCTCTCCATTTTCTACCATCACACACTACCATACTCTCTCCCTATGTCCTCCCACCATCTCAGACTACCATAACCATTTCTCCATGGTCTCCCACAGGGTATGTTCTCCTATGCCTTACGACATCCCCGACTGCCTGCTCAAGACGGCATCATGAACCTGGCTGGACTGACTCCCCTCACCCTGGCGTGTAAACTGGCTCGCTCGACCATCTTCAAGGAAATGTTGGAACTGACTTGCATTGAGTTTTGGAGATACTCAAACATCACCTGTAGTGCCTACCCTCTTAATGCACTGGATACTATCAGGCCCAGCGGCGAGACAAGTGAGTTAGGGGATGAGATGAGTGAGTTTAAGAGTGAGATGAGTGACTTAGAGACGAGATTATTGAGTTTAGGGATGAGTTCAGTGACCTTTTAGATGCAATTACTGAGTTTAGGTATGATATTAGTGAGATTAAGGACGTTGTAGATGAGATGAATATCTTTAGTGACAAGACTAATGATTTTTGAAATGAGATAAGTGACGTTGAAGAATTAGTGAGATTAGGTATGAGATTTGTGATTAAAATGGCGCCTTATCTCCGTCAGATTGGAACTCGGCTTTGATGATCATTCTCAACGGGACCAAGAGTGAACACCTTGACATGTTGGAGGGCGGCATCATTCAACGCCTTCTGGAGGAGAAATGGAAGACATTCGCCAGGGTGAGAGAGAGAGAGAGATTGCTGCCTCTCTGTTAAGTCTTAAATTGTTACACCTACAAAGTCACACAAAATATACACTCACCCACACACTTATCCACACACTTATCTACTTACACACTCAGCCATGCACTTCTCCACCCACACACTCACCCATACACTTACCCACACACTAATCTACTCACACACTCACCCATGCACTTATCCACCCACAAACTCACACACTCACTTACCCATACATTTACCACACACTCACGCACCCACTCACCCATACACTTACCCACACACTCACACACTGATTATATAGAGGACCTGAGATAATTAGGGAAAGAACACTTAATTTAGGCAAGTTAATTGCTATAGAATTAAATTGCTTGATAATAATTAAAGTGAAATTGCTGGTTAAAGTTTTCCCACCTAACCAAGCCAAACCTAACCTAACATTAACCTAACCTAAACCACAGAACCCTTAAACCACTGTTCTTCTCTCCCACAGAACCCTTAAACCACTGTTCTTCTCTCCCACAGAACCCTTAAACCACTGTTCTTCTCTCCCACAGAACCCTTAAACCACTCTTCTTCTCCCACAGAACCCTTAAACCACTGTTCTTCTCTCCCACAGAACCCTTAAACCACTCTTCTTCTCCCACAGAACCCTTAAACCACTCTTCTTCTCTCCCACATAACCCTTAAACCACTGTTCTTCTCTCCCACAGAACCCTTAAACCACTCTTCTTCTCCCACATAACCCTTAAACCACTGTTCTTCTCTCCCACAGAACCCTTAAACCACTCTTCTTCTCCCACAGAACCCTTAAACCACTCTTCTTCTCTCCCACAGAACCCTTAAACCACTGTTCTTCTCTCCCACAGAACCCTTAAACCACTCTTCTTCTCCCACAGAACCCTTAAACCACTGTTCTTCTCTCCCACAGAACCCTTAACCACTCTTCTTCTCCCACAGAACCCTTAAACCACTCTTCTTCTCTCCCACAGAACCCTTAAACCACTGTTCTTCTCTCCCACAGAACCCTTAAACCACTCTTCTTCTCCCACAGAACCCTTAAACCACTGTTCTTCTCTCCCACAGAACCCTTAAACCACTGTTCTTCTCTCCCACAGAACCCTTAAACCACTCTTCTTCTCCCACAGAACCCTTAAACCACTCTTCTTCTCTCCCACAGAACCCTTAAACCACTCTTCTTCTCTCCCACAGAACCAATTCTTGAAGCGGTTAGCTATCATGTTGCTTCAACTCGTGCTTCTGAGCGGGGCAGTGTATCTCCGCCCTTGTTACTGCTGCCCCAAGAATATGTGGAAGGCGAGTGTTACCTGTCTCTCTACCTGCCTCTCTGTCTCTACTTCTGTCTATTTACCTGTTTACTTATGTTTCTATACCTGTTTGCTTCTGTCACTACACCAGTCTACTTCTGTCTCTTTGCCTGTCTACCTCTGTCTTTCTGCCTGTCTACCTCTGTCTCTTTACCTGTCTACCTCTGTCTTTCTACCTGTCTTTCTCTATCTACCTCTATCTTTCTTTTTATTCTATTTCATTTACTATCTTTCCTGACTGACTTTCTGATGGATTCTTTCTCCCGGGAATATTTTTCAAAATAAATAAAGTTGAGAAAAAAAAATCAATATAAAAGTTAATATCAATGTTAATGGTAATATCGAGGAGACATACATTCCTGTGATGATATGTTAATGACTCTTAATTTTTTTACAAAGGTATCATGACTTTTTATCTTATAGGTAACGTTTAATTATGATGACAGTAATTAACTCCTGATATGAAAACCTTCAGAAGTAATTACCTTTAAACTGTGAAATGTTAATTATGATATAGACAGATGCCAAGGACTCATTAACCTTCCACGTTACCTCCAGACAACACAGAAGGACTAAAAACAGGTCTTCCGTCCACCCACAGAACTCGACGGAGTACAGTGTGTTGCTATATGACAACTTCTACGACGCAGACTTCATGAGCATTGCGCGGTACTGCTTCGAGACGGGGACGTTGGCCGGCGTGATCTCCTATGTGGTGTTCCAACAGGGTGAGGAGATTATGAACCAGGGCCTCTCCTCCTTCATGCGGGGCTTGGTGAGTAGTCTAGGGGGCTAGTAGGCTAGTCCATGGGGCTATTAGGACAGTCATGGGGTTAATGGGGGTAATCCAGAGGCTAGTAGGACAGTCCAGGGGCTAGTAGGATAATCTAGGGGCTAGTAAGATAGTCTAGAGGCTAGTAATATAGACCTGGGGCTATTGGGATAGTCCAGAAGCTAGTAGGTTAGTCCAGGGGCTAATAGGATAGTCCAGGGGCTAGTAGGACAGTCCAGGAGCTAGTAGAATAGTCCAGAGGCTAGTAGGGCAGTCCAGAGGCTAGTAGGGCAGTCCAGGGGGTAGTAGGATAGTCCAGGCCCTGTTAGGATACTTCAGGGGCTAGTGTGATAGTCCAGAGACGAGTAGGGCAGTCCAGGGCTAGAAGGATAGTCCAAGGGCTAGTAGGAACGTCCAGGGCCTAGTAGAACAGTCCAGAGGCTCGTAGGGCGGTCCAGGGGTTAGTAGAATAGTCCAGAGGCTAGTAGAATAGTCCAGAGGCTAGTAGAATAGTTCAGAGGCTCGTAGGATGGTCCAGAGGCATTATCTGGTTGCATCACACGTTCTCTGGATTCATTAGAGAACTCACGTTAAATTTTCTGTCTGGACTGCATCGTGTTCTCTGGTCTGCAATAGAGAAATAATGTTTTTGGTTCTCTTTCAGTCTGGCAATGCTCCCAAGGCCATCTTCTTGTTGTCAAACCTCCTCATCATGCTGTGTGTCCCGTGTCGAGTGGTTTACTTCTTCAAGCCAAAGATGTATTTCCTGCGTGATATTGAAGACGAACTGATGGCATATGCTGTGGCTGGCTCCTGGTTTATGCTTATGTTCTTTGCCGGGTGAGTCAATGTTCTACGGTGGGTGAGTCAGTTATGTTCTCTCTCTTTCTCTCTCTCCATCACTGTTTCTCTTCCTCATTATTGTGGATTAATTGTATTCATTGCCTTTTCCTCTTCTCGTGTCGGATCCAATACTCGTTGAGGTAATGATCACACCCACCCACCCACCCACCCACCCACCCACCTCCCTCCATCTGTCGCTATTCCATCCATTAATCTTGGTTTTTCCTTCACCGAATCTGCCTCTCTCACTACGCCATTATATTGAGTCATCATATTCATCCTTGTAATCCCTCACTATATACATCAACACAGTGTACCGTGATGGCAAGTGAGACACGAGCATTAGGGAACGTGAAATACCTCTATCCCATTGGCTATCAGTCTCTCACGATTCCCTACTCCTCACATTTAGTAATTCTCATTTTTATCGTCATTTATCTCATGCATCGCTTTATCTTTTATGTTTTTGTGTATGTGTTTTCATTCAGTAGTGAGATGGGTTTAAGTGTCGTGAGGTAGAAGAATGTAGTGCTTGAGTTTTGCTAATAAATGGATGTTAGACGATTGTTATGTGCTAATGTGGTGATGTGCCTGACAGTTTAACTAAGAATATAAAATTTCAGTTCTAGTAGGCACCAGTTCTAATAGACTCTAGTTGTAATGGGATCCAGTTCTAATAGGCACACACTCTCTGTTTCTCTCTCTCTAACCTGTCCCTCACCTCTCCCCTCCTTCTCCCCCACTCCCCTTATCTCCCTCATCCTCTCCTCATCTCCCTCATTAACCTCTTCTCTCCTCATCTCCCTCACTAACCTCTCCCTCTCCTCTCCTCATCTCCCTCATTAACCTCTCCCTCTCCTCTCCTCTCCTCTCCCTCATCTCATTAACCTCTCCTCTCCCTCTTCTCCTCACTAACCTCTCCTCTCCCTCATCCTCCCTCATCTCCCTCATTAACCTCTCCTCTCCCTCATCTCCCTCACTAACCTCTCCTCTCCCTCATCCTCTCCTCATCTCCCTCATTAACCTCTTCTCTCCTCATCTCCCTCACTAACCTCTCCTCTCCCTCTCCTCATCTCCCTCATTAACCTCTCCTCTCCTCATCTCCCTCACTAACCTCTCCTCTCCCTCATCCTCTCCTCATCTCCCTCATTAACCTCTCCTCTCCTCTTCTCCCTCACTAACCTCTCCTCTCCCTCACAGCGCCCTAAAGCTAACAGGACCGTTCGTGGTGATGATCTACAAGATGATAACTGGGGATATGTTCACCTTCAGTATCATCTATTTCATCATGTTGCTGGGGTTCTCTGAGGCGTTTTTCTTCCTCTACAAGAGTCCCAAACACGACAAGGACAGCAAGTACGCGACCTATGGGACCACCTGGATGGCGCTGTTTCATATGACTCTGGGAGATTATGATGTGAGTCTTGATGTTTGTTTGTCAGTGTGTGTGTGTGTGTCGTTCTGTCTCTGAGCCTGCTTCTGTCTCTCTCTGTTTCTGGGTCTGTTTTTCTGTCTATCTGGGTATCTGTCTATGTGTTTGTGTGTTGTCTCTGTGTGTTTGTCTCTGTCTGTTTTTGTCTTACTGTGTGTGTGTGTGTGTGTGTGTGTGTGTGTGTGTGTGTGTGTGTGTGTGTGTGTGTGTGTGTGTTTTTTTTTTTTTTTACCCTTTTATATAACTTTAGTTTAAATCACTACAGTAAGTAAATGTTGTTAATAACCTCAGTAAATAAATGCCCAAAATAACATAATTAATAACGCCAATTCAACTATACCATAATTACTAACACAATAACATTACTTAACGACAATATAACACTACAGTAGTGGAACACCTTTACAGTGAAACCTCTATATAATGGACTTTTATCTCCCTTTAACCCGCTATATGGAGGGTTTTACATCTAGTGGACCCTTGATATAACGGATTTTTATTTCTATATAGTCCATTATAAGGGGGTTTCACATCTAACGGACCCTCAATATACCGAACTTTCCTCTCCATATAGGGTGTAGACCGTTTAATGGAGGTTTTTATTGTGCTGTACTAAACTGTTCTTCTCTCGACAGTATGCAGGGATGAACCAGAACATCTACAGTTCAATGAGCAAGTTTGTGTTCCTCGTATTCACCATCATGTTACCTATCATGTTGCTGAACATGTTGATCGCCATGATGGGTAACACCTATAGCACTGTCATCTCTATGTCGGAGAAGGAGTGGGTTAAAGCTGTGAGTACTGTATTGATGTTATGGTGTATGTGTGTTGTGATGGTTAGGGTGTGGTTATGTAGGGGTGTGGTTGTGTGGTAATGAATGGTGTGAGAGGGTGTGGTTGTGTGGTAATGGTAAGGGTATGGTTGTGTGGTAATGGTATGACATGGTGAGGGTTGTGGTGCAGTAATGGTGGTGAGAGTGTAATATAATGGTGATGTGTTGTGGTGGTGACTTTGGTGAAGGATTGGTATTGATGACTCCGTGTGTTGATGAGGGAGTGTGCTGTTGATGCCACATTAGAGATAAGATTTTATACTGATCTATACTCATATTAACTACCTCATCCTTGAAACAGTGGGCCAAAATCGTCATCGCCCTCGAACGAGCCATATCGCAGGAAAAGGCCAAGGACTACCTCTACATGTACAGCTTACCACTCGGAGGAGGCGGTGACGGAGTAGAGGAGAGCCTTGGTGTCATGGTCATTAAGAGTAAGGACAAGACGAAGGCCAAGCAGAGGAAGGGCGCCCTTAGTAACTGGAAGGTGGGGTCCTTGCGCCTCTTACTTAAAGCTCTGTTGGTAGTGATTTAATGTTTGGAATTGTACTTGTCCTTGTGACTATAGTAGATCGAATTCTGTAGTGTAAATGTGTAATAAAACTGATGTCATACCCCATTCCATCCTCTCTCTCTCTCGACGTATTCACCTTCTACAGCGTGTTGGACGAGTCACCATCGACGCCCTACAGCGTCGGGGTGTGTCGGGAGAGTTCCTTCGTCGGGAGATGTGGGGCCTCCAGACAGCTGCTTCCACACCTGTCAAAGGGTATGATAAGCCTCCTTACCTGTTCTCTCACCATAGTACCTGTAGGCGTCCTCCACATTTTTACCAACACACCAGTTTTTAACACCTGTACCGTCATAATTGTATCTCCACAACCTATAAACTACCTTCACATTTGTGCCTGTACACCTGTAGCATCATACCTCTATCTACACCTGTCACCAACACCTGTACTTTATCTCCACATCCGTACCATAACATTTATGCCTCCAGGTATTATTTTAACTTTGTATTGAGGGAAATGGGATGAGTTTTGTGTGTGTGTGTTTTGTTTAAAGTTATGACGGATGTAGCAGCATGAACCAGTAGTTTTTGTCATGGATCATTCTGTATGACGATTACCAATACACAAGCATTGTTTTCCTGCAAATTTATCTTTTTAAGCAAAACAAACCAGCCAAACATAATCTGTCTAAAGTAACTGGGCTGAAATATATTCGAAGATCATTCGGTTAAGTTTGATGAGGTTGGTTTGTTTAGGTTAGATTATCATGGGTTGGTTACTTAAGGTTTGGTTGGTTCACTTTGTAATTAAAGAACATAGCGACAAAATACTCTGTCTGAATTGGCTTACCAGTTCACAGCATGTTATTTACAGCCTAATTCTTGCATTAACAAGACCACTGTATTACAGGCCGGCCAAGAAGAAAGGCTATGGTGGTTTACTTGGTATCGAGACGGGACCTGCTACTAGCGACATTATGGGTGACGCTCTCAACCAGTCCATTTTCGCTGGTGGGGAAATCATTGACCCCAACGATGAGATGGACGGTTTCGGGGCCCTCACCGGCGCTATAGACCAACTTGCCTTCACCAATGACCTCGACTTCTCTGGCGATGGCATCGACGATGATCCCTTGAAGCCAAACTTGGGACATGACCAGAAACCTCCAGTATATTCGACCACTCTCCAGGTCCCCGCTGAGCCGAAGAAGAAGAAAAAGAAGCGGCGCAACTCCAGTGATGGCTACGACAACCCGGCATTCATAGACGATGAGGAGCTGTTGCTGGCTTCTGCCCTAGATGGCGGAGAGTCAGATGGCTCTGACACAGACATGCTGGAGTCCCGCCGTCTTGCAAAACCAAGGATCATTATCCGGGCTGAGACAGAAGTGGCCACTGTCAGCACCACTACCACCACGTCAACGAAACCCACAGCAACCACAGCTGGAAAAACCCCGGGAACTGCTGTCGCTGCAAAGGATCCAAAGGCAGCAGTCCAGACTGCCGCCACTAACGTCCCTGTCATCATCCCCAGGCAACGCTTGCCATCCGCCAAGATGAGACGCATCGGTTCTGCTCGGAAGACTCCAGCACGTTTTGCCATGACCTTCACAGAGAAGTATGACCCAGTGGGGAAAGAGGTCCAGAAAAAGGTAGTCAAACCTGAAGACACGGCAGGCGCTGTCAGCGTCACTGAGAGAGCTGAAGAAGAGACCAAGAAAAAAGACGACAAGAAGAAAGGAAAGAAGAGTGAGGAAGAAGCCACAACCTCCACAATGGACGTCCAGGAGGAAGATGGTGACAGCGGGGACAAATGGGCCGAGAAGAAGCCCAGACGCCATAAGAATAAAGTAGGACCTTCGAATAGCTCAGAGGAGTGTGTGATTGGCGTCGAGGCTCAAACACAAGACGACATGAGCATCGGTCTTCATTCGGGAACAGATTCTACCCGTGAGGAAGTGAAGGCAAAGGATAAAGAACGACCAAAGACCTCGGTAGCAAGTCAGAAAATGAAAAAACGTGCGACTGAGAATGTGGGCAACATGAACAGCATCTTGCCCTGGGACAATGAAGACGGGGACATAAAGTAGTGAGTGATTAAGAGGAAATTGTCACTCAAAATTCCTGTAATGTCTCCTTGTAGTTATGCCTTACTCTTATTGATGTTATGTCCCTCTTTCTCTCATCTCACTGTATCTTCTTCTACTTCACTCTCTTAGTGTTTCACTCTATATGTCTCCATTCTCTCCTTATCCCTCTCCTTTTCTCCTTGTCTAATTATGTCTCTCCCTGTTCTTGTCCAATTGTTCTTCTTCCTCTCTCATTTTCTCCTAATTTTCTCACCGAAACACTGACTCACACAGGGATTGAAACATTGAATTACATAAGGATTACTTGAAGCTTTGAATCACATAGCAAATAGACAAGGCAGTGAATTCTATATAACTAGTGACTGAAGCACTGGATCAATTAGTAACTGAAGCACTGGATCAGATAGTGAGTGAAGCATCATATTAGATCACATAGGGACTGAAGCACTGAAACAGAATGATAGCTGTAACCTAAATGTTTGAATCATTTAACAATACTGCCTGAAGTATGTAATCACTAATTATGGTGTAATTTTCTGTCCAAATCGTTTAGTTAACTGTAATTAATTGTATTAAAGTGTTTGAATATATATTATATGCTAAACTGATTGTTGTGCTGACCATTGAGCTTTTTATTATGTGTACAAAGCTGTTTACCTTGTTAACCGTACAAAATTGTTTATGATATTACAGTTAAAATATTTACCAGTTAACTTTAACTTCACTAAACTGGTTATTAACTAAGTGTACTTGACTGTTTACAAAATTTAATTGACTAAACTATCTACTGAAGTAACTGTAATAAACTGCTTATTGAATTTGGTAAACTGTATTAGTTCTATTCAACTACATATGAAATCAACTTTACTAAACTGTTTATTGATTCTACTGTAACGGCGGGCTGTTTCTCTCTCTACTCATACTCTGCCTTATCTTTTACTCTTACTTCTCTTGTCTTAGTTCTTTAATTCAATTGTTCTTTCTACTTACTTCAATGGTTACTGCATAACCTTAGTTCTTTCTGGTAGCATGTCGAGGGTCTAAGGCACATGGGTATTGTAATTCTGATATCAGGGTCACTTGGACGGAAATAACGGTGAAATACTGTGGGGAAAATGAATACTCCTAAAATACTCTAAGAACAGGTTTATTAATATGAAATCAAAGGGAAAAAGAGATATTATTAACATATAACTTCAAGGTGCAACTCCTCACTTACACAACTGCAAACTCAGTATTTTCTTATTTTTACTCAACAGCAATTTACTCAGATATTACTCTTACTGCACACAACCTTACTGGTGTTACATTACATTACATAGCAGGACCAGTTCCTTGGCCCTACTCACTACACATAGTTACATGACAACTCCTTGCAGATTTCTTTACTTCTCACACCTACTGGTGGTACGTGGCATTACAGTATAATTACAAGGCTTTACTCAAAGTCCCAAGTGGACAACCTTACTTCTCACACATTACTAGGTGCTTCCCATTACATCCAGTTATAAGACAACTGGCATATGATACTTCACAGACTGTTGGTAATGCATATGAGATGCACTCACAACATGCATGTTAATACTGAAACCAGCAAATACATGGGTCCACTACCCAACATGGGATAATTATCTCTAATTAATTATCCCCAAGCATATACATCAAACACTGTGGGCCATAACTTCCAGGGAGCAGCCCAGGGTAGGACACTGGGGCTCACGACCGTTGCTGTGTGCTGTGATCGGTGGTAGCCAGACACATGGCGAGTCTGGGGTCTAGCTCACGAGGCGGGCCTGCCGTCTCAATCATGTTGAATTACCGACATTAATGCATATATTGATCCCTGCTGGTTACCCACCGGCTCAGCAGCCGATGGGGTGTTCAAATATGCCCACCCTGGAATCTGGGAACAAACGGGAGAGAAGATGTCACGGCACTGGGAGGCATGATGACAACACCATCATAACAAATCTCTCGTCTGGCAACGTCAGACGACATTTACTTTATATTACTTCTTACACTGGGTGAATGACAATTCCACTGTTAAAGCATGAACACTGATATTCACTACAATTGACTGAATCAAACTGAATGGCTATAAAACACTGCTACATACCTGGGAACAAACGGGAGAGAAGGCGTCACGGGACGCTATCTCTGCCCACCCATGGTATATATACCCCTGAGTTGCCAGCGATCGCTACTCACGCAATGCCAGAAATTACAAACAACTCGACTGTTACTCATTCAAAGATGACCCTCAGTTGACAAAGGTCTGGCGAATTACTAAAGTTGATTTACACAGACTAATTCAAGATTGAGCTTGCCAGCAGAAGTATAAAAAACGTATTGACAACTGTGTTCGAAGGCGGGACTTACTGGGAGGGATCATGAGTATAAACGTCGATGGGGAAAAACACGTCTCTTCTTCGGAATAACTAACCCACTCATGTTTTGCGTTCGTGGGGTATAATAAGAATCAGTAGTTAAAACAGACTAGCAGTTAACGTGACCATGACACTACTAAACTGTTTGACTGTACTAAACTGTTTAAAATAATAGTACAGTACTGTAGCTCGTAAACTGTGTCTCAAATGAACTATATTCTTGAATAAAAACTATACTATTGTACTAAAATGCATATTAGTGTCTTGTTAACTGTAATAAATGATTCAAGAACGTATTATACTATTCAGGACTGTATTCTTGTATTCAAGACTGTATTACAGTATTTAGGACTTTAATATACGATGCAGGACTGTAATATACGATGCAGGACTGTAATATACTATGCAGGACTGTAATATAATATTGAGGACTGTATTATAGTATTGAGGACTGTATTATAGTATTTGGGACTGTATTATAGTATTCAGGACTATATTATACTATTTGGGACTGTATTATTGTATTAATGACTGTAATATTGTATTGAGGATCCTATTACACTATTCAGCACTGTATTACAGTATTCAGGACTATATTATACTATTCAGGACTGTATTATAGTATTCAAGACTGTATTACACTATTCAGGACTGTATTCTTGTATTCAGGATCCTTTTACAGTATTCAGTACTGTATTACACTATTCAGAACTGTATTCTTGTATCCAGGACTGTATTACAGTATTCAAGACTGTATTCTTCTATTCAAGACTGTATTACAATACAGGGGTATTTAGGACTATAATAATATACTATGCAAAGACTGTATTATATTATTGAGGACTGTATTACAGTATTGAGGACTGTATTATAGTGTTCAAGACTGTATTATAGTGTTCAGGACTGTATTATACTATTCAGGACTGTATTATACTATTCAGGACTGTAATATAGTGTTCAAGACTGTATTATAGTGTTCAGGACTGTATTATACTATTCACGACTGTATTATTGTATTCAGGATCCTTTTACAGTATTCAGGACTGCATTATTGTATTGAGGACTGTATTATAGTATTGAGGACTGTATTACACTATTTATGACTCTATTATAGTATTGAGGACTGTAATATAGTATTGAGGACTGTATTATAGTATTGAGGACTGTATTATAGTGTTCAAGTCTGTATTATAGTGTTCAGGACTGTATTATACTATTCAGGACTGTAATATAGTGTTCAAGACTGTATTATAGTGTTCAGGACTGTATTATACTATTCACGACTGTATTATTGTATTCAGGATCCTTTTACAGTATTCAGGACTGTATTATAGTATTGAAGACTGTATTATAGTATTGAGGACTGTATTATAGTATTGAGGATTGTATTATAGTATTGAGGATTGTATTATAGTATTGAGGACCGTATTATAGTATTGAGGACTGTATTATAGTATTGAGGACTGTATTATAGTATTGAGGACCAGTTGAAGACCACTGCGGGCCCTATACTTATTGTACAGGAGCCCGAGGCAGGGGGGTTATTTAAACAACTTCCCTACGGGGACCGGTGGTAGAAGCGGTACCGTTCTTGCCTGCAAGCGAGACGTCGCGGGTTCGATTCCCGGGCCGGTGGAAGTTGTTTGGACATACTTCCCAGCCCCCATTAGTCCCTGTTCACCTAGCAATAAAGTAGGTACCTGGTGTAAATCGAAAGTTGCGAATTCGTATTCAGGGACAAGTTGTTGGAGCTTCCAATAACTTGATGACATAAACCACTGACTCTTCAAGCTTCTACGCCCTTGACTCTTCAGGCTTCTACGCCCTTAACTCATGAGACATAAAGGCAAGCATGAACTTAGCATGCTTCCCTGTTGGGCGCTGTAAACGCTTCTGCACTTCACCTTACACAAGGATGTAGGGGAGTGCCCAATAAAAAAAAAAAAAAAAAAAAAAACCCTCCCTACTCAAGGACACAGGCTGCGGTATGAGAGGCGGCGCTGATTGGCTGATGGGGAGGACGGCAGTTGGCCAATCAGCGAGCGAGGGTGGTGCGAGTAGGCAGAGCATAGGGAGAGTTAGCAACTACAACCCTTATCAACAGTGGTTTTTTCTTGTCGTCTTGGAGGATACGGGGTGAATGTTTCTGAATCCTAACCTAACACAGATGTCGATTTGCAGGAGACTGGGTGCAAATAATAGAGCTAGTTTTGAGGTAAGGCTGTTTTGCACAGCACTAAGAAAAAGTTCTCAGAAGTGTGTGTGTGTGGGGGGCTCTTAGTGTCTGCTACATTGTACTAAATTATACTTTAATAATAATTAAAACAGACCAGGACCTTCTTTCTCTCTCCCTCTCATCTCTTGAAGAATATACCACTGTTCTTATGAAACACTGAACGAACGACACGTTTTGAGCCAGTGAACAGTGACTTGTGACAGTATGGATGTTGTGAGTGTTGGCCAAGAGGGAATGAAATGAATATATTGTCAATATAACACCTTATTGTTATATTAGTGAGGACAGGATGTGCTAGGACCATTACTGTTACCCATCACACTCATTACAGTACAATACACTCATACAACTTGGTGAGGTTAACTTATTTTGTACTCGGCTGTGTGCACGGACGCGATAACTTAGGTGTTACTAAAAGAGCTAAACTCTCCAGAAATCAGTTTATTGTTCATATATATATATATATATATATATATATATATATATATATATATATATATATATATATATATATATATATATATATATATATATATATATATATATATATATAATGGTTGCCCCTCGTGTAACGAGGATGGCCGGCCCAAGGGCCACCTAGGCGTGAATTTGTTTAAGGTGTATACGCTGTCGCTAACACAACAACCACACCCTGAGTTAACGAGCTGCATGACACAATGTCAAAGAATAGTCCGAGAAGACCGGACAACTCGCCAACTGCACTGGCTAACCATTACCCCGGAATACGATCCGCAAATCGATTAACATCCAGGTTCCCAATTACTGCTGGGTATACAGAGGCAAATGGCATAAAGAAACTTGCCCATAGTTTCACTCTGCCCGGGGACCGAACCTGTGTCCGCTCGTTTGCGAGGTGAGCATGCTGACCATTACACCACAGGTTATATATTTCAATATGTACATACACACGTCTATGTATTTTCCAACAATAGAATATGCATTAACACAACAGATTTTCCTTATATCTATCAATATATGTTTATAAATCTCTTTGAGGATTCGGTTTGTGAATTCATATTTGGTACATAACTATTTTTTGGAGTGTGTGCTGAAAAATCATTATCAATCTAACTTTGAATTCCCAAACATAAATACCTGTATTATACCTGTACTAAGTAGAGATAATTGCCTATTAACGACGAATTCTATATTTTTTTTATTAAACCTCTGCCTGGCCAAGGACGATTAAACAGATGTTCATAATATATCGAAAGGAATAGTTTATAAAAGAAAATTGAACCTAAAATAAAATACTTTAGGTATTTTCTGGGTGTCTTATGATAGTATACAAGGTCTTGAGTGAAATAGATCAAATTTGTCATATACAATATATAGAAATGAATTTCCATTAAGTTGTAGTAATAAAAAAAACATGATCCCTGTTTGACACACACGTAATTAGTATTTTGAAGCTTAACTAACGCGTATCCCTATCTAGTGAGGCACACACACACCACCCTCTAGTTATCTCCAGTACTTCTTCATTCCTAATGTTCCTAGATAATCTTTACACCTCATAGCTCAGGTTACGAGTTCACACACCAACAACAACAGACAGGTGTGAGGGACTCGTCTCATCTTACCTGACCATCACACCTCCCACACCGACACAAGGGTAGGCTTGTTACCATACTTCCTGATGATTTCCCAACGCATGGTTACCTCCAACAGTACAGTACGAGCGAGACGAACGTTGCCGCTATAATCATTGTCAGCTCTGAAGGACATACATACATACACAAGCTTTATTATTTTTGTGGCCTGTATTTTAGGATTTTAGCCCGGAGACTTAAATTCTCCTCCTGTTAGCGTCCATAACAACTGGAATCACCTTCTAATAGATACCACGATTGCTAAGATTACAGGAAAAGTGGGCGGGCTTTTAGCTGACGTCAGTTGGATATGACGGAGAACACCTGGCCCACCACAACACAATAGACCAACTTTTCTCCTTGTAGCTAATCCTCCTCGTGATGGCTTTCAACCTCCAGTTCCCATCGGGAGTAAAAAAAAAGGAAGATATTTTTGTAGGAATTCAGGTGAAATATATTTTACTTTGGTGACATATTTTCTGGTTCTATATCTTTTCGTTCTAATATGATTCAGAGGTTTCATGTTTTATGTAAATAGAACTTCACTGTTTTAAATACTGATAGGTAAGTCACACACACACACTTAGGCTGACAAGTTTAGACATCTGAATTAATATGAGAGGCCTATGAAAAATATCACGGCGCGTCGATTGCTGTCAGAGTGTGGGTGTTGGTAGAGTGTGTAGGTAGTGGTAGAGTGTGTGGGTGTTGGTAGACTGTGTGGGTGGTGATAGAGTGTGTGGGTGTTGGTAGAGTGTGTGGGTGGTGTTAGGGTGTGTGTGGATGGTGGTAGAGTGTGTGGGTGTTGGTAGAGTGTGTGGGTGTTGGTAGAGTGTGTGGGTGTTGGTAGAGTGTGTAGGTAGTGGTAGAGTGTGTGGGTGTTGGTAGACTGTGTGGGTGGTGACAGAGTGTGTGGGTGTTGGTAGAGTGTGTGGGTGTTGGTAGAGTGTGTGGGTGGTGGTGTGTGGGTGTTGGTAGGTGTGTGGGTGTTGGTAGAGTGTGTGGGTGGTGGTAGAGTGTGTGTGTGGATGGTGGTAGAGTGTGTGGGTGTTGGTAGAGTGTGTGTAGTGGTAGAGTGTGTGGTGTTGGTAGAGTGTGTGGGTGGTGTGTGTGTGGATGGTGGTAGAGAGTGTGTGGGTGTTGGTGTGTGGGTGGTGGTGGGGTGTGTGTGTGGATGGTGGTAGAGTGTGTGGGTGTTGGTAGAGTGTGTGGGTGTTGGTGGTGTGTGTGGGTGGTGGTAGAGTGTGTGTGGATGGTGGTAGAGTGTGTGGGTGGTGGTAGAGTATGTGGGTGTTGGTAGAGTGTGTGGGTGTTGATAGTGTGTGTGGGTGGTGGTAGAGTGTGTGTGGATGGTGGTAGAGTGTGTGGGTGGTGGTAGAGTGTGTGGGTGGTGGTATGTGTGGGTGGTGGTAGAGTGTGTGGGTGGTGGTAGAATGTGTGGGTGGTGGTGGTGTGTGGAGAGTGTGTGGGTGGTGGTAGAATGTGTGGGTGGTGGTAGAGTGTGTGGATGGTGGTAAAGTGTGTGGGTGGTGGTAGAATGTGTGGGTGGTGGTAGAGTGTGTGGATGGTGGTAGAATGTGTGGGTGGTGGTAGAGTGTGTGGGTGGTGGTAGAGTGTGTGGGTGGTGGTAGAGTGTGTGGGTAGTGGTAGAGTGTGTGGATGGTGGTAGAGTGTGTGGGTGTCAGGGAATTTAATATTCTCTCTTCTATCGCTGCCTTCTTCCTTTTTTCCTTCAGCTCATATCTCCTTTTTTTCCTCCCGCGTCACGCCCTTCCTCTTCTTCTCCCTTCCACCTCAATCTTCTCCTTTTCTTCCTTTGTCCTCATCCCCTTTTCTTACTTTCACTTCCAAACGTTTTCTTTCAATCCTTTCTTTCTCCTTCTCTTCAATTACGAGAATAATACAATAAAATATAACTAAATATACTAAACACGCTAAGTAAAGTATTAGAATAGTACTGAAATATCACAGCAGCTTTACAGTTACTGGAACGTACAAAGAAAGACATTATTTGCCAGGAATATTATCGTAAAACACTGAAATTATTCTAGGAATAACTGAAATATTCCTTAGAATATTCCTGAGATATGAGAAGTTTGAAATATTTCCGAATCAAAGATGATAAACATTGTGAAAATTAAATATTAATGTTAAGTAGACTGGGATTTCTGAATGTATAGCAGTTAGTGAACTGACTTGTGACTGGTAGCTCGCAGTGATTGATATGACGTGTGGAGAGTTATCATACGAACGCCCCCCCCCCCACAACCCTTTTTCCCTTCCCCTTCCCTACTCCTACGCCTCCCTCCGCCACCCCACCAAGGCCATAGGTCCCTCCAAGATAGTGTTTGGTTCATTAAAGCTGCTGTCACACTAGAGTTTCTACCCAGAATAAAACCCCCGTAGCGTTGATTTTTCAACGAACTCTTCAAGTTATCTACAGCTACAAGTTATTTGTTGTCGGAAGTGGGATGATACGGAGCGTTTGAAAATCCATGGTACGAAGGGTTGAAATTTGCTATAAAATTTACACCGTTCTTATTTTTTATTACTACTTTTCTTTTTCGTCTTAGTCTTCTTTAACAGGACCACACATCTCACTGAAGCGGTTAATGGTGCCATAGAAAAACACAATAAAGCCATCCTGCTCTCCAACTGAGCTCAAACTAGCCGCGAGAGCTGGGCGCCTGGCCAACAGTTCCTTTCGCCAGTGAGACCAGTGTGCGGAACGTACCGTTGACTTATTGCCTGTGGGTGAAATGCTATCGCGAATTAATTGCATGATAAACTCAAGTGTGACCGTAGCTTTAGTCTCTCTCCTACCCAGTAACCAAAGGACCAACGATGAGACGCTTTTACACTCCATAGAGGATGATTAACTTAATATACCGGTAAAAAGGCTATCTTATCATCCTTCTCCTTGTGTCTGCAGAAATCTTATTGACATCTCAACGTTAACTTCGCCTTCCAAAAATAATTACTTTCACTACTAATAAGTTCATATATATATATATATATATATCTTGATAAAATCACACGGGAAAATGGAAACAACGTGTGTATGATTTTATCAAGATTTATCTTATCCACGTTTTCATTGTGGATTTACATGAAATATATATATATATATATATATATATATATATATATATATATATATATATATATATATATATATATATATATATATATATATATATATATATATATATATATATATATATATATACTTTATCACATTGATATTCAGTGACATTTTCAACACAAAGTCATTTACAGTTTTTCCAACAGTAATTTCTTTTACAATTTATCCACAATGAATTCGTTATCACTTTCGTTACAATAAAATCTTTTACAGTTCTACCACAATAAACCGCACTAAATTCTTTTACAGTAAACCATTTACAAACTCACTACACTGAAATTATTTACCATTCTTTAAAAAAATAATTTACAATATCACCTAAATTTACAAATTCGCCACAATAATTTTAGTTACATTTTCACCTCAGTAAATTCATTTTCTTTTCTGTCACAATAAGTTATTTACAATGTCACCCATCAAAAATGTAGTCCGCGTGACACATAACATTTATAAAGGCAAGAGTGGCAAATACCTTTTATGGAGAGAGAGACCTATTATTTGTTAACATAAATATGAGATTATCTTTAGCTGAAAAATATCCCCAAGTAATATTGAATAACTTAGGCTGCTACACACTGGTCCTATGAGTCAGTGGTGGATCAGATGAGTCAGTGGTGGATCAGATGAGTCAGTGGTGGATCAGTTGAGTCAGTGGTGGATCAGATGAGTCAGTGGTGGATCAGATGAGTCAGTGGTGGATCACTAATGAATCCTATGAAAACGGCGAGTCAGTGTAGGAATACGGAAACAGTGAGGTGCAAATTTTGTAACTCACACAACGGTTGTCAACATTCACTCACGCAGGAGAACTCTCAAACTCCGGTGCTGTCACGTGTGCGCTGAGAGGACCATGTGAGCGCTGAGAGGACCATGTGAGTGCTGAGAGGACCATGTGAGCGCTGAGAGGACTACTCGAAGCCACAACTACAGCTGGAGGACTGTTGGTCTCGTCGGCCGAACCACTGAACTCCCTGTTGAGGATTCTGTAGGAGAGCAAGTGTCTTTGGTGGCCCCTGGAGGTGTGGAAGTAAAGGATGAACTCCGGTGATGTGAATGTTGTAGGAGGGATGCTGTCGAGTTCTCCGTCACTGATCCCCTCTTTGGTCTCGCCCCGACAAGTTTTTCAGTCGCTACAGTTATGGATGGCACCAGGTTTTCCGTGGAGGTGTTCTCTGCTGGCGCGGGCTGCTCCTCTGAGGAGTCTGTTGGGGAAAGGTCGCCTGATGATGAAAGAGTTGTTGGTTCCCCTATGGAGGCGTCTGAGTCCACTTGAGGGTCATCTTTGGTATTATGCTTTCTGGAGTTATGTAACTGGTCAGGGGAGGGGTCACGTGTTCTTAAATCTGCAGAGGAAGTTTCAACATTTGGTCCTTCATGTTCTTCTGTTATGATGACGGCGTCACCCTCAAGTGATCTAGAAACTACTGTTGTTGATGTCTCAGCTTTGTGAGTTTTGCTTTGGGACGAAGGAAGTTGACCTAACATGTTACTGCTTTCGCTAAGAGAGGAGAAATTGGTGCTTTCCTTCTCATGGTGAATAACAGAAGTCTTACTCATTATTGTGCTCTCTGTAACTTCCTCATAACAATTGACATCTTCACTGGAGGGTTTGGCAGCCTTATGACCGTGACTATCAGAGCAGGAGAGTTGCAGTGAAACCTTCTGGCCTGGAAAGTGATACAAGGGGTGGAAATTGCCAGTAGAACAAGTATTTGCTTGACTATCAGAAGATTGCTTGAGAGCATATTCCTCAGCCGGGTGATGTTGGACAGGACTTTGTTCCACAACAGAATGTTTAGCTGAAGAAGTAGCTGAAGACGGCTTCTGAATGCTGTAGTATGACCCAGTAGAGTGTGCAGGTGGCTGTCCATCACACGGTCCACTAGGCTCCCCGTTGGAAATGTGTTCACTAATTTGTCCATTGTCGCTGATGGATTGCTGGACATCATAAACACCTTGTGCGCTGTTACGGAGTGAGTTCGAGAGTATTTGCTTGTCGCTGGCAGGATGAAGGTCTGGTTTCAGGTTGGTGCTTTCAGTCGTCGAGATGGGAAGGTAATTTTCCAAAACTATTGATTCCTTGTTGATTCTGATCATACTCGAGGACTTCATCTCCATGTCCATTGACGACCCTGAGAAGAAAAAAGGGAGTGAGGAGTGTGGGCGCGAATCACACCAGTACCCGAGTAGCAAAATTATTACCAAATAACTGAAGTCACAATGAGGCACAACCCCCTCATTAAGTGTAACGATAAGGAATGCCCAATGATGATGATGATGATGATGACGCAACTGTTTAAGATCTGGATACATGTATAAGCTCGGTGATGGTGAAACAATAACTAACTCACCAAAAAAAAGCACTTCCAGATTACTCAAGTGGTCGACAGTGCATGTAATCCAGAACTGTAGACCAGCTACACTCCCTAACTCTAGTACACTGTATAGCGACGCACTATTATGTACCCAAGTTCCGTCGAGGTCGTTGTGATCAGTGAGATTATCAGTGCCAATTGTTCAACTTCCACTTAATGTTCAGTAAATCGAGTCTGGGCCAGGTAGGCTGGAAGTGGTGCTGCCGTCTATACATAATCAAAGGCTCTCGGTTATTGAAACCTATAAATACATACAAAACAAAACAACCAATGAGAAAACATCTTTGAACTTATGACGAGTTTTGTCTTGACATGATATTACCAGAGCAACAGACGTGAGGGTGATGATGCAGCCAATCTCACGAGGTAATAACTGATACAGCTGGTCTGGTCACTTCCTTTCATCTCAAGATTACATGGAGATGAGTTACTCAATACGTCAGGTCATGTTTCGCCTCACCTTTTAACAGAAGAATCATTAACCTCATTTTCATCTTCATATTCTATAGATGAATTAAATTTTATCTATTTCTAATATTAAAGATAAAATCAACAGTCTATTTCCAATGCCTAACTGTAGAAAATGACCATAATAACGAACTGAATAATAAAAATAATGTATTGTGTATATTTAGTTTCCAGAGTCCCGTAAACACCACCAACAAATAGCGCGACTCGTTACCAAAGGGTCAATAAGATGTTAATCCAAGAGGTTGTTGGATGAGCAATTGACAATCCACTTGACAATTCGTGACGTTATTGGTAAAAGACTTTGAAGGCGAAAGAGAAAATGTTAAGTATTGCGGTCAGAGGGAAACTGATGGTGGGAAATTTTGAGGTTGTCTGGCAGGGAAACTTTGAGGTTACCTGGCGGGGATGTTGAAGATAAATTTGAGGAGCCGGTGAGGAAAATTCTGTAGTTATAGGAAGGTTATGGAACTGCTAGGGAGGAAGTTATGGGATCCCTTAGATATTGGGAGAAAACCGGTATACCTTCACACACCCGAGAGAAATTGGGGGAAAATACTGGTATATTTTTACACTGTGGTCTGGATGTTATTGAGTCTAAAAGATAAAAAAATATTCGCCAAATGAAAAAATAACAATCTTGAAAGTAACGATCAAGAAGATTTCGATCGAGTATAAAAGTTTTAGGCTCGTCGGAGGAAAAGATTCGATGTGGCTGGAGGAAGATGGCTCAGCTTAAAGGGATACTGAGAGGAAGAAGTAAGTATTTATTACAGTAATATTGATATAGAATTCTGGGAACGATTTACGATTTATTAAAAAGAAACTGTGAGGCAAAAACTGGAGGGAAATGTGAAAAGGAATTTAAAGAGGTTGAAAGTAACGCTTATGAAACCCAGCTGCTAAAGGGGAGCTGTGAGGGAGGATCAGGAGGCTGTGAGGGGGTAGTATTGAGGAGAGCTGTGAGGGGAGTTAAGTCGGGTTAGGTTAGGTTAAGTTAGGACACGACCACAAACGACATCTATCAGGAACTCTTAGGCTTCATAAACAGAGATGAAACATAGTAGATTCACACAGACTTTGAAGTAAATTATAATAAGCTACACATTTCCCCTGGACGTGTTAGTGTGAGATTGTTCTTTAAGTTTACGGCGTTTGATCTCTGCATTCGTTAGCAGCAGCAGCAGCAGCCTACTCAACCATCCAAGCTGAGAGAGAGAGAGAGAGACAATATCCTTTGATCAAGTTATACCTGGAAACTTCCGCCTGTGACCGACAACACAGGAGAACAGGTGTGTATCCCATTACTGACTTCTCGACTACTACTACTACTACTACTACTACTACTACTACTACTTCTACGCCAGACTCGCGGAGGTGATCTCCGAACAGAAGCAGCAGCCCAGAAGTTATGTTACAGCCTGGATGAGATGTCGACTGTCTTTCTCTCTCCTTCGGTCGGCTTTGCTCTGCCTCAGGGGAACGAGAGCTTCTGCCCCAATTCCGACAACTGCTGCAGATATTGACTATGAGGCTACTGTCACTGAATGCCGCATAGATCTGCGGCCCAACTAACTCAACACAGATAGGATAGCAACATATGTATTAGGATATTTAATATTAAGGTAATTAAATGGTGGCGAAGGTGTGGCTATTGGGGGAGGCTGGAGGCCACGTTAAAAAAAAAACTACTACTACTACTTTTTTTTTAACAGCCTCCCTCTGAGATCTTGCACTTGGTCCCATCCCACCAGAGGTTGTGAACACTAGAGGAGTGAAGCTGCCATGATCAACGTTTTTAATTCTCTCCCCATATGCCCTTATCTTGTCGTTCTCGTTCCTCCTGTGTGCAGCATCGAGAGCTAAGTTACGGTGACATGCGGCCATGGGATCAAAAATCCTGATGTCGAAGAAGGCTCCCTGTCCCCGCGTCCAGAATCCTCGAGCTTCGTTAGATGTGTTTGAAGTCCTATGTCCTATTACTCTACTACTAATACAACTACTACAACTACTACTACTACTACTACAACTACTACTACTACTACACACAAACAACCCTTACACCATACAGATAAACAATTCCTACATCTCCATTACAACATACAAACAACTCTACCACTACAACACAACTGGTTCTTTTCATTACAAACAATGTTAAGAATGGTAGTGTGTGTTGGTTGAGAATGTTGAATGTTACAGACGGTAGGTAAGAGTACCATGGTATGTTGGACCACGTAAGGTAGATACTGTACAGGTAACCTTACTAATGTACAGCATAAGAGGACTGGAGATGAGAGCCACCCACCCAGCCAGCCAGTAAGACTTCTCACCTTCTGCAGCGTCGTCTAAGTCGCCGTCTTTGTGGTGGCGTTCTTCCTCACCTCCAGGAAAACACACGAGGGGCCTCAGATACCCCTGCAGGATACGCAACATCTCACTCCTGCCGGGAAGATATAAGAAAAACATGACAGTGAATTTAGTCGAATAGGGTTTGTGTCTTAGGCGCCGTACACACGTTTATAGTAGGTGTTAAGGGCTTAGGTGTATAGGGAAGCGGGAATTATATAAGGTGTGTGTGTGTGTGTAAGGTTAATTGGTAATTATATAGGTAAATGATGTGTGTTTGTATAGCCAAATGGTGTACCCCTGCAGGATACGCAACATCTCACTCCTGCCGGGAAGATATAAGAAAAACATGACAGTGAATTTAGTCGAATAGGGTTTGTGTCTTAGGCGCCGTACACACGTTTATAGTAGGTGTTAAGGGCTTAGGTGTATAGGGAAGCGGGAATTATATAAGGTGTGTGTGTGTGTGTAAGGTTAATTGGTAATTATATAGGTAAATGATGTGTGTTTGTATAGCCAAATGGTGTTTGAGAGAGAGAGAAATGGGAGGGAGTATGAGAAGGGTGGAGGGATGGGAGGGTGTAAGGAGTAGATAAGGAAGGGAGTAGAGAGGGAGGAGAGAGGGAAGGGTTGAACAGGAGTGGGTGAGATAAGTTGGAGAGCAGGTGGGATTATCCAGTACCTGTGTGTGTGTGTGTTTTAGCCTGACCCAATTTAACCCTATTTATCTCCCTTTAATGGGTGTGTTGATTACTAGAAATGGGGACTACTGGAACTGGGGACTACAGAACTGGGGACTACTGGAACTGGGACTACTAGAACTGGGGACTACTGGAACTGGGGACTACTGGAACTGGGGACTACTGGAACTGGGGACTACTAGAACTGAGGACTACTGGAACTGGGGACTACTGGAACTGGGGACTACTGGAACTGGGACTATTGGAACACAGGGACTACTGGAACTGGGATTACTGGAACTGGGGACTACTGGGAGCTGGGGACTATTGGAACTGGGGATACTGGACTGGGGACTACTAGAACTGGGGACTGTGGAACTGGGGACTGGAACTGGGATTACTGGGACTGGGACTACTGGGAACTGGGGACCCCTGTGGAACTGGGGACTACTGGGCTGGGGACTATAGAACTGGGGACTATTGGAACTGGGGACTACTTACTAGAACTGGGGACTGTGTGGAACTGGGGACTACTGGAACTGGGGATGCACTGGAACTGGGGACTACTGAACTATGAGGGACTATTGGAGACTGGGGTTCACTGGAACAGGGACTACTGGATTGAGGACAACTAGAACTGAGGGACTGCTGGAACTGGGGACTGGACTGGGACTACTGGAACTGGGGACTACTGGGAACTGGGGACTGCTGGAACTGCGGGGACGAAAAACTAGAACTGGGGACTACTGGAACTGGGGACTACTGGAACTGGGGACTACTGGAACTGGGGACTACTAGAACTGGGGACTACTGGAACTGGGGACTAATGGAACTGGGGACTAATGGAACTGTGGGCTGCTTTGAGCCCTAATAGTTCCCGTGGTCTCTCCTCTCAGTCGATAACACGAAAAACAAGATCAAAGGCTCTTAGCTTTTTTTGTTTTTAGTGGCATTTGTCGTTTTTCTAAAACCGGGCGAGTAAAGATGTTTGGAGACTGGCGAGTAAAAGATGTTTGGAGACTGGCGAGTAAAGATGTTTGAAAGACTGGCAGAGTAAAATGATGTTTGGAGACTGGCGAGTAAAAGATGTTTGGAGACTGGCGAGTAAATGATGTTTGGAGACTGGCGGTAAGATGTTTGGAGACTGGCGAGTAAAGATGTTTGGAGACTGGCGACTGGCGAGTAAAAGATGTTTGGAGACTGGCGAGTAAATGATGTTTGGAGACTGGAGTAAAAGATGTTTGGAGACTGGCGAGTAAAAGATGTTTGGAGACTGGCGAATAAAGATGTTTGAAAGACTGGCGAGTAAATGATGTTTGGAGACTGGCGAGTAAAAGATGTTTGGAGACTGGCGAGTAAAAGATGTTTGGAGACTGGCGAGTAAAAGATGTTTGGAGACTGGCGAGTAAATGATGTTTGGAGACTGGCGAGTAAAAGATGTTTGGAGACTGGCGAGTAAATGATGTTTGGAGACTGGCGAGTAAAAGATGTTTGGAGACTGGCGAATAAAGATGTTTGAAAGACTGGCGATTAAAGATGTGTGTTTTGTAAGGTATAGTATTTTACCGTTTCGCTGTGTGTGTATATCTGTCCGTCAGTATATCCGAATTCCCTGTCGTTGTCTGCCTGTCTATCAGTCTGTCTCTCATTAAACGTATTCTCTATGCTGTGTGTGCGTGCGTGTGTGTGTGTGTGTGTGTGTGTGTGTGTGTGTGTGTGTGTGTGTGTGTGTGTGTTTCACCTGTGATTAACGGCAACTCTCCCCTCAAGCCTTTGGCCACCATTACTACGTCACTGTCCTGACTTATAATATTGACTTAGTGACAATAGACTTACTTTATGATATTGACTTAACGATCGAGTTACCTTTGGTGTGTGTGTGTGTGTGTGTGTGTGTGTGTGTGTGTGTGTGTGTGTGTGTGTGTGTGTCCTCAGGTGTTCAGCCACGGAGGAGGAGCAGGTAGATTATTCCTGTTTTAATCCTCCTTTATTACTGTCAGACAGCCGGTGAGGTCGTGACACACACACACACACACCACACACACACACACACACACACACACACAATGTATTCCTCTTATTTATTTATATTTCTAATTAACTTACTTAAGAAAAAGCCCTCTCGAGTCTGCAGGGTTTGTATACAACATTATTAAAGTGAGGCAGAAATATAATTAGAGAACTGAATTGAGTTTTCAAGGAATATCTGGCATCAATTGTTATTCTTTTTTGCCTTTTAAAAATGGCGGGTGTTGTGGAGGCCCAGGTGAGGTGACACGGGGAGAGATAACACACATGTCAATATTGAGTTAGGAGAGGCATTCAAGGCCCAGGTGAGTTGACACGGGGAGAGATAACACACATGTCAATATTGAGTTAGGAGAGGCATTTAAAGCCCAGGTGAGGTGACACGGGGAGAGATAACACACATGTCAATATTGAGTTAGGAGAGGCATTCAAGGCCCAGGTGAGTTGACACAGTTAACAAGTACTAAGAGAAAAGTATCACGTTTACCTGCTCTTCCCCCCACACGTACACTATGAGGTGGCCAGGTGGAACATGTGCACTCTCAGGTGGCCATGTGGAACACGTACACTCTCAGGTGGCCAGGTGGAACACGTACACTATGAGGTGGCCAGGTGGAACATGTGCACTCTCAGGTGGCCAGGTGGAACACGTACACTCTCAGGTGGCCAGGTGGAACACGTACACTATGAGGTGGCCAGGTGGAACATGTGCACTCTCAGGTGGCCAGGTGGAACATGTGCACTCTCAGGTGGCCAGGTGGAACACATAAACTCTCAGGTGGCCAGGTGGAACACATAAACTCTCAGAGTGCCAGGTGGAGCACATTAACTCTCAGAGGGCCAGGTGGAACAAGTACCATTTTAGCTGAAGAATTTTCCTTTTTTGGAGCACAAAGAGAAAGTTGTCATCGTTTTCCCATAATTTTCGTCTTGTTGTGGCGCAGTCCCAAGGAGCTTCCCAGACTCAGGTCTAGAGAGGCGTCCCTTACTTCAGGTCTATAGTGAGGGTCCCTTACTTCAGGTCTAGAGATGGTCCCTTACTTCAGGTCTATAGTGAGGGTCCCTTACTTCAGGTCTAGAGATGGTTCCTTACTTCAGGTCTATAGTGAGAGGGTCCCTTACTTGAGGTCTACAGAGGGTCCCTTACTTCAGGTCTATCGTGAGAGGGTCCCATATTTCATGTCTTAGAAGGGTCCCTTACTTGAAGTCTATAGAGGGTCCCTTACTTCAGGTCTATAGTGAGAGCGTTCTTTACTTCAGGTCTATAGAGGGTCCCTTACTTCAGGTCTATAGAGTCCCTTACTTCAGGTCTAACGTGAGAGGGTCCCATATTTCAGGTCTTAGAAGGGTCCCTTACTTCAAGTCTATAGAGAGTCCCTTACTTCAGGTCTATATTGAGAGGGTCCTTTACTTCAGGTCTATAGAGGGTCCTTTACTTCAGGTCTATAGAGGGTCCTTTACTTCAGGTCTATGGTCCTTACTTCAGGTCTATAGAGGTCCTTTACTTCAGGGTCTATAGAGGGCCCTTTACTTCAGGTCTATATTGAGAGATTCCTTTACTTCAGGTCTATAGAGGGGTCCTTTACTTCAGGTCTATAGAGGGCCCTTTACTTCAGGTCTATAGAGGGTCCTTTACTTCAGGTCTACAGAGGGTCCCTTACTTCAGGTCTATATTGAGAGGGTCCTTTACTTCAGGTCTATAGAGGGTCCTTTACTTCAGGTCTATAGAGGGTCCTTTACTTCAGGTCTATAGAGGGCCCTTTACTTCAGGTCTATAGAGGGTCCTTTACTTCAGGTCTATAGAGGGTCCTTTACTTCAGGTCTATAGAGGGCCCTTTACTTCAGGTCTATATTGAGAGAGTCCTTTACTTCAGGTCTATATTGAGAGAGTCCTTTACTTCAGGTCTATATTGAGAGAGTCCTTTACTTCAGGTCTATATTGAGAGGGTCCCATATATCAGGTCTTAGAAGGGTCCCACTCCCTTTGAAGACTCCCGTGCGTCTGAGATGAAACGAGAGACCTTCTGTTGACGGGATATTCTTCACAAAGCTCCAATTTTCGGTTCTTCTCTTCGACTTTTGAGGAATTCCCATGGTTGGTGCAGACTTTTGGAACATTCTTTTCTTGGAATGTAAGGATTAAGGAGTTCTTTAACATACTATTGACTTGTGATGTCGAAGAATTGTGTAGTGGAGAGTGATACATAAGAACACGTCTAAAAATAGTGTAAAAATAGTCACAAAATTGTCTTAAATCTACACTGGGACTCTATCTTAACTAGTGACCTTCATTTGGAGCTAGTTAGGGGAGAAAATTGAGTTTTAGTTGCAAAACAAAATTCTGTATATAAAATCCCAAAGAGATTGTTTCTTAATTGGAGAGGTTTATCTGTCACCTATATTCAGCGTTGACTCACCTGTATCTGGCGTTGATGAAGATATAGATGACTGGGTTATAAGCACAAGAGGATTTCGCCAGGAGAACGGGAGCCAGACTTGCGTAAACGGGTGCCTCTCGTCCAGTCAACCCGTACATAACTGACACGATTGAGTAAGGTAACCATGCAACCAGGAAGCCGACACACACCAGCCATGATATCTGTATGGGATACTCTATTATAAGTAAAGATCATGCAACTATCACGTTAAATCCGGTTTAATTAGCATAATTCCTAGGGGGGGGGAGGAGGGGGAAGGGGCACATTAAAGTATAAAATAGTTACGCCGGCAGCCAACTAAATTCGTTTTCTTTGATCTGTTCTGAATTCTCGTTGCTTTGTTTTTTTTTTCAGTCTCTGATCTTTTGTTTTCGAGTTTTTCTTTGTCGTTCTTTCTCTTCCTGAATTTGTAATATTATTTATTTCTCTCTCTCTTTCTTCTCTTATTTTTATGCTTTTCTTTTATTGTCTTTATCCTCTAAATCTCGTTATCTTTCTCTGTGTCCCCCCCCCCCTCCGTCTCTCTCTCTTAGTTGACGGATCTTACTGTCTCTGGCTTTGGAGAAAATATTATCGCTTACTACTTTGACCACCTGTGTTACCGAGGTGTTGTGTTACTGAGGTGTTGTGTTACTGAGGTGTTGTGTTACTGAGGTGTTGTGTTACTGAGCTGCTGTGTTACTGAGCTGCTGTGTTACTGAGCTGCTGTGTTACTGAGGTGTTGTGTTACTGTGTTGTTGTGTTGCTTGAACTGTTGTGTTACTTAAACTGATATATTAATGATAGTAATAGTAACCCTCAATGTAAAAAAAAAACACCTCATTGAGAAATAGGATAAAATCATAATAAAAAACAAAACAAGACTAAGATTAAACCCCCCTTCGTCAGGTAGTTCCTCTCATATATAACTGTGTGTGGAGACAAAACCTAAACCTAGTCTTATTCAACCACCTCTCCTCCTCCTTCCCCTACTTCACCGCCTCCTCCAACGTCTCGTATGTAGTAATCTTCACTCAGAATTCACAAACTTTCGTACAATAAATAAAACTCGTAGCGAAAAGACGTAATCAAGTTCCTAGTGGTATAAAATTACGAGAAAATCCCCCCCATCCCCTCCCTCCCTGATATTTTATTATTTTCACTTATTGTTCATTAGTTTTGTATGGTGTTAAGTGTATCTAGAGATGGTTAAGTGTAAAGTGTATATTTCTAATGTACTTGGGGGGGGTAGGTAAGTACTTTAATCAGTGAGAAATAGTTATCGTACGACGTTTAGTGAATCAAGACTGATTTATTATACAGAAGGATTCGTAATTAATTTTTATTTCATTCTGCTTCACTTTGAGGTTCCCGCTGTGAATAGGCCGTCGTGATTAACTGTTTAGGGGAGCCTTTTCGCCCCCTTTTTTTAATTCAGGTTTATGATGTAATGATTTTTCAGTGTTCCATTATTCTGTTGGTTCGTTTATTTTCCTGCGAATGTTTGTAGTTCTTCAGAAATGTTGACTATAATGATCGAATGTACTTTATGTAATCAGAGCGCACACACACACACACACACACACACACACACACACCAGCCAAACAGATACACCTTAATGCAAATTGACAGGTGTAGAGGCCAGGTGTAAATTATGCATCAATGTGTTGTAAAAGGGAGGAGGGCGAGTGAGAGTAAAGGGGAGGGGTGAGGAGAGTAAAGGGAGGGAGTGAGGGAGGGAGGAGGGAAGGAGGAGAGTGGGGGAGGAGAGTGAGCAGGAGGGAGACACAGTTCTTTGTTAAAAAATCTTACCTCACATTCAAATCAACTCACTGTTCCCTCCACACACACACACACACACACACACACACACACACACACACATACACACACACACACACACACACACACACACACACACACACACACACACACACACTCACACACACACACACACACACACACACACACACACACAGAATCCCGGTTTCCTTACCAAAAGTTTCAAATCAATCATTGACTTTTGCCTGTGTTTATGTTCCTAATGTTACGTTTTGAGTGGAGGACTGTGGTCGCCAACCCTCAGATTGATGGATTGATAAGTAACGAGGAGCATCTCTTAGAAATCTTTGATAAGGACACAATCGTATCTTGGTGACGCCCTATACTCACAACTCCAACACACAGTAATACTATTTTATCAATTTCTGGTAGATCGAGGGATGGGTATTGTAGCGGAGTCGTCCATCAATAAAGGTCCTACAGAAGGCACAACACGACACTACTGCCAAGCGCATGACCAGTCTTTTATTACAGAAAGAAACGATTTTTATTATCTCCATTCAAATCAAATCCAGGATCTCAGAGGGAAGATTTTGGAAACTACTTATTGAGGAAAAATATCTAGATGTCATTTAACAACGTCAATATTCTCGTGCATGAAAGTCAGAGTCCCGATCCCCGCTGTCAGGTGTGTGATTGAGGCTAACGAAACGCTCCTATAATCATCCAGGCTACACACCGCTTGCTTGTTGACGCCATATAGTGCGAATTATCACTTCAGTAAAGTAAGTTCTTCCCCCTACTGTTCTATGGTGTATGATTATGCATTGAAAATTATATAAGTACTTGGTATTATATGTATTTATTAATTTAAGTTTATTATTGGTTATTCTCTCGCGCGCTCTCTCTCTCTCTCTCTCTCTCTCTCTCTCTCTCTCTCTCTCTCTCTCTCTCTCTCTCTCTCTCTCTCTCGGTACATGTTTCCCGCATCTCGTTCACACACAGCTGAAGGACATAGATCAGGTAAAGTGTCCGTTTAATAATTTCAATATCATCTTGGTCTTGTCTTTTGTTTCACTAATGAGGAATATCTTTTATTTTAAGGATCTTTGAGAATCTTCAGTTTGTTATTATATTCATGAGACGTGTAGGAACGTTTCAGGAATTTCCCTCACAAGCAATTACTGCAGACCATCTGCTGATAAAACTAACTCGAAACTTTTGATTACTTTAATTACTTTTCCTTACTCTCTCTCTCTCTCTCTCTCTCTGTCGGTCTCTGACGTAGCGTACACAAACTCCTCACAACACACACACACACACACACACACACACACACACACACACACACACACACACACACACACACACACACACACACACACACACACACACACACACACACACACACACACACACACACATACACAGCAGGTATATGGGTTACTCACCAACGTAATCTGGAGCTCTGACCGGCCCTGGGAGGCAGAATTCCTCTTGGTCATCAGGAATTTCTTGCGATGATTACGACGGACGAGCAGCAGGATCCTGGCGTAACACCAGAACATGACGATTGACGGTACTACCACCACCAACGCCACCGCCATCATCACGTACACACGGGCGGCTATGAGTAAACTATGTTGAAATGCCCTGTAGTATGACCTTCTCCCCACCTCGTTATAATATATCACATTTGTATCACTTATGTTACTTGTATATTATTTGTCAATCAAGAGACTCATTCACCAATTATGTAACTGTATATTTTTAACCTTTTGGCTGCTATGCTCTTTCAATAAACCGTTTATTATTATTATTTATTATTATTAAATATGGGAGGGGTGAGTAAATACGAAGAGGATGAGTGAATACAGGCAAGGTGAATAAATATGGGGCAGGTATAAGGAAATCTGGGAGGAGAAGTGAGAGGGAAAGAAGGAGTTGGAGAAAGGGGGAGGAGGAGGAGACAAAGAAGGAAGAAGAAGAGAAGGAAGAAGACTGAATCTAATTAACGAAGCTGTTGGGGGGTGGTCAGTGAGGGGTCATGGGGGGGGTCATGGGGTGGTCATGGGGGTGGTCATGGGGGGTTGGTCATGGGGAGGTGGTCATGGGGGGTCAGGGGGTGGTCATGGGGGGTGGTCATGGGGGGGTTGGTCATGGGGGGGTGGTCATGGGGAGGGGTGGGGTAAACAGTAAGCCTCAGGAAGGACAAATGTTTGTTTAGTCCCACATAGGTCTTGGTTGTAAACTGAATGTGTATAGAGAGGGGAGGGAGGGAGAGGGATTTATATTACATAGTCAGAGGTGATCTAATTTGACAGTGACTTCTTGACCTCTCTTGATAACCAATTCACTGTCAAGTTTTGTTTAAGGAATTTAGAACCTTCAATAACTCCAAATAGTCCCATTTGGACCCTTCAATAACTCAAGAGGATGTCGAGCCAAACTGACAGATCCATTTCCAAGTCAGACTAGTAAAGTCTCCCTCATCCAGGATCAACTAGACCCATTTTCTTTTACTGCTGCCACTACCCCTGTGTGTACCGGCTCTTGTGTCAATATGTACAGACGGGTTCTAGATCTTGTGACAGTGGCTTATCTTGTGTACGTATGCTCTTTAAACTTTCATTACTGTGTACGTATTTGAGAGTCGTCGAGCTCTTTCTATACTGTCAATCATACAATGGAAGATTAACTTTCTATACTGTCAATCATACAATGGAAGATTAACTGGTTCTGCCAATATTATTATTATTATTGATATTATTATTATTATTGTACGTGTGTGTGTGTGTGTGTGTGTGTGTGTACGTGTGTGTGTGTGTGTGTGTGTGTCATTCAGACTCAAGTGTCCCTCACATCTCGTGTATACAAATAATATACAATGAGAAGGTCCTGCAGATTTCTTTATTTTGATAATAATAAATAATTTCCCCTATTAGAAATAATTGAATATAGAGAGAGACTCACTGTTAGCGGGGTTTGACCAGTTGAGAGTGCAGGATGTACCAAACGGCTCCACTTCGTAGTCACTGATGAAGGTAAAGAGTGGCAGCACCGCCCAGAACAGTGAGTACATGTACACACCAACCAGCACCACCTTCATGTGCTGTACTGTTAGCGTCCTGCCTGTAGGAGAACAACATCTCTACACGTACACCATCAGTAGTACACCATCAGTAGTACACCATCAGTAGTACACCACCAGTAGTACACCATCAGTAGTACACCATCAGTAGTACACCACCAGTAGTACACCATCAGTAGTACACCATCAGTAGTACACCACCAGTAGTACACCATCAGTAGTACACCACCAGTAGTACACCACCAGTAGTACACCACCAGTAGTACACCATCAGTAGTACACCATCAGTAGTACACCACCAGTAGTACACCATCAGTAGTACACCATCAGTAGTACACCATCAGTAGTACACCATCAGTAGTACACCATCAGTAGTACACCATCAGTAGTACACCATCAGTAGTACACCATCAGTAGTACACCATCAGTAGTACACCATCAGTAGTACACCATCAGTAGTACACCATCAGTAGTACACCATCAGTAGTACACCATCAGTAGTACACCACCAGTAGTACACCATCAGTAGTACACCACCAGTAGTACACCATCAGTAGTACACCATCAGTAGTACACCTCAGTCGTACACCATCAGTAGTACACCATCAGTAGTACACCATCAGTAGTACACCATCAGTAGTACACCACCAGTAGTACACCATCAGTAGTACACCCTCAGTAGTACATGAATACCAACAACAATATACATTATATATTAGTGAGATCTTTTTTGTTATCATAATTACATCGCTAGATCACCCAAGAAGCTTACCAAATAAACCTGACTGTACCGATGGGGAAGTAAAAATGATCGAGTTCAATGTCCGCCACACTGTTTAGTATTCGATGTCCTGAATCCAAACTGCTCATATAGTCTTATGGCTTATTGGTTCCACTTTGACATTTTTTTTTACTCTCTCTCTCTCTCTCTCTCTCTCTCTCTCTCTCTCTCTCTCTCTCTCTCTCTCTCTCTCTCTCTCTCTCTCTCTCTCTCCCTCTCTCTCTCTCTCTCTCTCTCTCTCATTCTCATTTTCTTACTCGTCATTCACTCTTTCTCAGTCTACCACACTCACTAACTGTTGGTGTAGGTGAAGGTCTGTCACTCCTTCTCCCACACTCTCCCATACTCTTCCTCCTTCTCTCCCACACTCTCTTTCCTTCTCCCACAGTCTTCCTCCCTCTCCCACACTCTCGCTCCCTCTCCCTCCCTCTCGCTCCCTCTCCCACACTCTCACTTACTGTAGGTGTGGCTGCAGGTCTTGAGGTAACGCACCACTGCCAGAGCCATCATGGAGGTGATGGTGGCCACTCCCAGCAGGTAACACACGCATCCGTACAGCTTACACCCTGGCGAAGACATGCCTGGCGTTAGTATGTACAAGTGCCTGAACTAACCTAACCTAACCAAACCTAACCTGACACACACATGCATCATCTGTGCTAAGCTCCTTCCATCAGTCAGGTCGGGTAAGGAAAAAGATGAGCTGATGTAAAAGCGGCCTAAGAAAAGATAGTCGCTGTGATGACAACAAGTGACCTTCATCAGGGTTATAACACGAGTACCAGACAGCGTCATTCAGAGCGGCGAAGGAGAAGGGGACAACCTCGCTACACTCCACCACAAGAAAAGAAAGTTGACTGAAGTTATATTAGCATAATTTAATATCAGCCATGCGGGAGTGAACAGCCTCAGAGAGACTCCAGGGAATTGTGTGTGGCAACTGAAGGGAGTCTTAGCTATTATCCTTTAGATAACCTCCCTGGGTCTGTGTGCCTCTGCTGGGTGACTGACAGGCATAGGGCGGCTATCCCGACTTTACATCAACTATGCTGTCAAACGTACGACGAAAAATAAGACAAATAAGTATTGGTTTATTCAATGTTTACCGCCTCCATCCATATCATGAATAAAAAAACAAAAACAAAAACACTTGGTTACTACTGACTTCAAATTTCACCTTCTTAACTCAAAAGGTTTTCGAAATATCCCCCAGATAAGCCGGAAAACAAACGCTACTTCGCTTTTCGTATCGTTGCTTTGAATATAATTACGTTACTTGTAAAGATTCGAAATTACTTTCCTTTCCCAGATTGTGTTACCTCGCTGAGTTACGTTACTGCACTCATAGATGTGTTACATAATTACGCTACTTCACTCAAAGTTCCTTGTCTGAGAGAGAGAGAGAGAGAGGATAAAAGCTAGGTATTAATCAGGTAATCTCAAGGTAGCCTCCGCCTTGAGGTACAGAAATAACATGCCTGTGTGTCACTGAATGTAAAGGAGACACGTTGATCTTCACAAGGTCCAATTCCACTAGTTGTGTTGGCTGCACCTGTAGAACTCCCACTGCCTCATGGAGTGTTGGTGCGTTGACTCTACTGTTCTTTTGATAATTTTGCACTTGTCTACTTTGAAAATTCCTCAAATTCTTTGTTAGTTCCAGGGCTGCAGGGTTTAGGGTCCAGGGGTCGTATTCTAAGGGCCATTTACAGGTAGAATCTTTACCTGACCTCCATTACAGTATAGTATCATGTTATGGTTCTTAACACACTACACCAACCTAATTTCATTCGCGAGTCGCCATTAGTGTTCGTAACTATCGAGAAAGAGGGACCTATGCTACGCCAGACGTATGTTCGTTCGTGTTCAATCTTTAATGTTCATTTCTACAGAAAGAGAAGTACATAACACTCCGGTCTAGACACACTACATCGGCTCTTGGTACATAAATTATCCGGGTGAGAAACTGAGGCGTCATCCTTCCCGGTAAGTACATTATAGAGTGGATATCCGGGGGGATATTTTTAGTTTATGACAATGACGGGTTATTTGTGGTGACCGAGGGAGGTAGGGTGTAGCTGACCTAGTGACGGTGTGTGTAGTACCGAGGGAGGTAGGGTGTAGCTGACCTAGTGACGGTGTGTGTAGTACCGAGGGAGGTACGGTGTAGCTGTCCTAGTGACGGTGTGTGTAGTACCGAGGGAGGTAGGGTGTAGCTGACCTAGTGACGGTGTGTGTAGTACCGAGGGAGGTAGGGTGTAGCTGACCTAGTGACGGTGTGTGTAGTACCGAGGGAGGTAGGAGGTGTAGCTGACCTGGTGACGGTGGGTGTAGTACTGAGGGAGGTAGGGAGGGTGTAGCTGACCTGGTGACGGTGGGTGTAGTACCGAGGGAGGTAGGGAGGGTGTAGCTGACCTAGTGACGGTGTGTGTAGTACCGAGGGAGGTAGGGAGGGTGTAGCTGACCTGGTGACGGTGTGTATAGTACCGAGGGAGGTATAGGAAAGGTGTAGTAACCTGGCAGTCAAGGTGTGGTGACGGTGAGTGACATGCGGGTGTTACTGTGATAATCCGCGATGGTGTTGCTGCTGCAGAAGGGGAACACCTTTGGGGGCGTGAGGCCGCGGCGTCTTCCTAGCTTCGTTTTTTTTATCATGACCATAGGCCATTGATGCTAGTGAATTTAAATATAAATAGCTATTTTATGATGGAACTGATTCTCACTCTTGCTGCCACTAAACATCACGTTTTCACCTTGAGCAGGACGGAGATGACGCAGCTGTGGTGGTGGTTGACGGTTCGTTATAACACACGTCCTTAGTATTCACCCGTACCAGTAAGCGTCACCATTAACAATCACCATTACACAAGGTCTTTCGTATTTTCACGGACCAGAAACACAGGATTCATTAAGTACTGGAGTGTTTGCGTCCGTAAAACAACGAGCAAACGGGATACTGATGTCTCTCTCTCTCTCTCTCTCTCTCTCTCTCTCTCTCTCTCTCTCTCTCTCTCTCTCGCTCATTTATTTACGATCACTCAATGTCATCTCCCAAATCAAATTAATCAGAATGTGTTACTACAGAAGAAAAGAGAGTCACTTAAACAGTCAACTTATCGTCGAAACAAACAATTTATCACCTAGACTGGAACAACATTGGGCGGCAGATTATCTAAACGGAGGACAATGTGAAATTCGGTTCCGTGAGCACTACAGTAATTGTTTAACCCCGTGAATAATCTAATATGGTGTGTGGAGAGTTGGGCTTGTACTGGTAGTGAGCAGGGATGAGAAAAAGAGAGAGTGACAGAGAAAGAGAGGAATAACAGATAGAGGAAAGAAAGATCCATTCAACATTGACTGTCACCATCTATACACATTGCCTGTAAAATTCCTCACTAGGAATATCTTTACAATATACAGTTTCACCCTCAGGTCAAGTTTTATATCTCTTTGGAAAAAATAAATAATAATAATGCATAAAATCTAGCAAAAATAGGACGAGAAATTCACTCTTTTAAATTCTTGTCACCGGAGGCCTGACAAACAAACAAATTAATGAAGAAGAGAAAATTAATAGATGTTGTCTTTCCAGCTTCCACATTTTATTACATCCAGCTGTTATTACCCTCACACACACACACACACACACACACACACACACACACACACACACACACACAACTCCCACCCTCCCCCAGATACACAAGTCATCCCCCCCTCCAACACCCCCCCAACACACTCACACCCCCCCCCAACACACTCACCTATATCCCCGAAGATCCAACGATGGGAGAAACTAGAGATCATTGGGGCCGGATAGCTAAAGAGTGCTATGAACAAATGCATCACAGCCAGATTCATGAGTAACACTTCTGCTGGGGTCAGGTGACGGAGGCGCCGGTGGAACATAATAATACTTGACCCATTACCCAGCAGCGACATGATACCTGTAGGAGGAGAGAGGGAGAGGAGAGAGGTAGAACAATGGTGGAGAAGAATGATGGAGAACATTGGTGGAGAAGAATGATGGAGAAGATTGATGGAGAACATTGGCGAGTGCATTGGTGGAAAAAGAGCCACTAGACGACCACTCCTCCCCCTTTTGTCTATGGTAGAAACTCATCACTATATATTTTCTTTGTTTTCTCCTTTCTGGCCATCTTTTACTTGGCCATAACCTTCCTGGCCATATTCACTTGAGGGATACTAAAAACATACTTCTTCACCTTTCTGGCCATCTTCTACTTGGCCATGTCCTTCCTGGCCACCTGTGTGTGAGGGCCACTTAAAAACAATTAATAGCTAACAATAATACACTTCAGCCAGGAGGTAGAGACCGTCCCTACTGACTGGAGGAAACTGAGAGAAATCAATATCGTGTTCTGGTATTAATCCTCAAAGACTTATTTCCCAGGGGCCTTTCTAGGGTCAGCGGCGCCCCCACGGGCCCTTGGCTTTTAATATAAGGTCCTCGATTCGACTGCGGGGTAATTAGTGGTTGTAATGACGTTGGAAAAATTTAATGACCGTTTTCAATGCTAATTTCTCGCCAATTATGGGTTTCGTAAGTGCGATTTTGGTGTTAATGTGTTATTCTTTAAGTACTTAATTAGTTAAACCCCTTAAATTTTAATTCTGAGAGAAAAGTATATTTGGGTCGAAAAATTACTAAGGTGTAAGACTTACATTTTCGATAGTTTGGGCACAAAATTAGATTTTGTTGAAAATCACATTATAGGTACTCATGAGCATGGTGACTTCGAATATATGGCCCACGATTCGATTGGGGGGTAGATTAGGGGCGGTGGCGGGGCCGCAGGGGCTCCCCCAGCGGCGCTCTCAAGGGCGTCGCGCCCCATGAGCCCTCATAGGGAAGGCGGCGTCCCAAGAGGGCCTTCATAAGGCCGGCGGCGCCCCCAAGGGGCCCTCCATAGAGGTGGCGGCCCCCCAGGGGCCCTTCAAGGGGCGGTTGCGCTCCCAGGGGGCCTCCCAGATACGGAGGCACCACTAGGGGCCCTCACAAAATCGGTGGCGCCTCCCAGGACTTTTCTTAGGGATGACGGTGTCCCCATGGGCCCTGCCGGTGGGGGGGGGTGACACCCCCGGGAGCCCTTCCAAGTGCAGCGGCGCCTCCAGGGGCCCTCCCAAGTGCGGCGGCGCCCCAAGACACAACCTCAGGTTAGAGAGATCGATTCTTAAAATTCGTCAAGTCAAATACAACTCATGTGTAAGTGTGTATAGGGAATTCACTCTAACTTTCGCTACGTCAGAGGAATAGCTTCTCGAATGTTCTTGTTTACATTATCGTGTTATGGGTGAAGTGTGAAGGTATATACAGTTAAACCTCCATATAACGGACTTCTCTCTATATATAATCCGTGAGGTGGAGGGTTTCATTTCTAACGGACCCTTGATATAACGGACTTTCATCTTTATAGTTCGTTATATGGAGGTTTAACTGTATATTGCTTATTTTATCCACACCGTAAGAATGACAGTCACAATTGATATCTCGGTGCTGTTTGGACGCTATTATCGCCTCTAATGAAAAGCTACATTAATTTCAACCTGAGAAAAAGGCTGCTGAAAGACCTTATATGGCAAGGACTGATGTAGGGGCCAGAAACATGGACACTAGAAAGAGGTTGTGGAGGCCTTTGACTTGTGGTGCTATAGGTGAATGTTAAGAATAAACTACACTGACGGGAAAACAAATGAAGAGAGACTAAAATTAGCAAAAAAATAATAATACTTGAAATGTAAAAAAAAAAAAAAAATACTGTGGTCATATAATTAGGGATGAGGGGTAATAAGAGAACTATTAATGGTCAAAGTTAAGGGTAGGAGGGTCAAGGGGAACACAGAGACTGAGTTAGATGAATTAAATTAAAAACTGGTAAACTGGTAAAAACAGCCCGAGAACATTTTAGAGTGAGGATGGTTGCTCTGATTGGTTGAACCTTTGAGAGCCAGGCAATTATTTTCTTCTTCTTCTGTTTCCTTTCATTATTTTCTTTCTTTTATGCTTCTATCTCCCCTTTCATCATCATCCCTTTTCTCTTTCCTTCCTCTTCTTCTCTTTCATTTACCCTCGCTTGTCATTCCACACACACACACACACACACACACACACACACACACACACACACACACACACACACACACACACACACACACACACACACACACACACACACACACGCACACACACACACACACACACACACACACACACACACACACACACACACACACACACACACACACACACACACCTCACTCTACTCTCCGATTTATTGGAAACTTTCAATTTTCTCTTCTTGTTCTTGTTATTGTTCTTCGCCTCTTTCTTACCCTCCTGTGACCTGCCCTATAGCTCACATACACTGCCCTAAGCCACACTCTTATTGCAATTCTCTTTCACATGCTATTCTCTTCTATCTCATTCTCTTTTCATATATTTCTCTTCCCCCTTTAGCCTTATCTACCTTATGCTTGATTTATCTCCTCTCCCTCTTCCTCTTCTTCTCATTACACCAAAATGTAACCAATCAGCGTTCATTTCCCCCCTCCTGCTTGGCTCACCTGTTCAGCCATAGTGTGGAGTGTGGCTATATCTGACTACCTCACCTTAATGGCTGGACTATGCCAAGAGTTTTGTATTTACGACAGGGAGTGGAAGGGTGGATCTCTGCCAGGGGTCTTTGATCTGCCACTCAAAGTTAGAATAATCAGCTCAAGCGCCAATCAAGTATTACTGACTTCATATTTATTCACACAAATCTTCACTTGTTCGTCAAATTCTAATGTATGACAACACACACACACGCGCACGCACACACACACACACACACACACACACACACACACACACACACACACACACACACACACACACACACACACACACACACACACACTTACGAAAATGAGGGAGCTCTATGTGATTAAACCCAGAGTTACATAAATGTGACTTCCTCCCCCCCCCTCTCTCTCTCTCTCTCTCTCTCTTCTTACGTTAGTCTTATAGGTCTCCTCATTATTATTATTATTATTATTATTATTATTATTATTATTATTATTATTATTACTTATGTATCTCCCTGTATTACTCTCACAACAAAGTACCAACGTTAAGTAAATGCTATGTTACTCTCTCGTCTTATGTTATAACCTTTAATCATCTTTTCTATTTTTACTCTTCGTCCTAGACTCACTCGTGGTCTCCTTCATCCTCCACTCCACTCTTCCTGTCACACCGAAACTAATTTACCTTACAACGCTTGACAACAGGTAAGGACCCCACAAGAGCTTTTGGGAACACCACTTCGTCACACCTACATACAGGGGAGTGCTGGGAACCCTTAAGTGACAGAGAGAGAGAGAGAGAGAGAGAACTGCACATAACATAGGAACAATCGCTTATTGACTCTCTTCCTCCCTCTTTCCCTCACTCACCTACCTCTCCCCCCTCCCCCGTCTTCACTCCCTCCCTCCTCTCCTTCCCTCCCCTTACCAACACCCCCCACCCCAAACACTCGCTGCACTCCCATCCCTTCCCTCCCTATTACCCTCCCTCCTCTCCTTCCCTCCCCATTACCCTCCCTCCCTCCTCTCCTTCCCTCCACTCACCAACTAGTATAAGGAAGATTCCCACAATGACGTCCTCATACCACTCAAGGCGAGAATCAAATTTGTCGACGTAGGCTGTTGCAGTGGCGGTCACGTTGGCGGCGGCAGATACGAAAGCAGGCAGTGGAGGGTTGGTGGTAGGTGTGAGGCTGGTGTGTACAGCAGCTGCCACACTCTGACCCCCCATCTTACTGTTGAAAGAGGCGATACCACTGACCACCACCATTGGGTCTCTGTAAAGGTAAGAAGATGGTTAAGTGTAGCTGTGGCGTTTTTACTTGACCTGACCTGACCTGACCTAATCTAACCTAACCTAACCTAACCTAACCTAACCAAACCAAATAAAGTACACAATAGAATATGAACATAGAGCCAGACTGTGTTATGATGAGGAAATAATTGTTGAACAGGAGGAGGGAAAGGAGAGAGGAAATTATAACAGTGGAATAGTGTGTATGAGGAAGTCAGTGTTTGTTGCCATTAGCTAAATTAACTAATCTTACTTTACTTAAATCTACAAATTCTCTTAATCTCTACTTTAAATACAAATACGATATGAAGTATAATAAAAATAAATAAATAAATAAATGACCTTTGAGTATTATAAAGTCAAATTAATTGTACTAAAAGGCTCATAATTTTCATCCACCATCCTGAGTTATAATACCAGCTTATGTTAGTGGGTTTCATTCTCGGCCAAGTAGCGCTGCCGGGCTTTGCAGTTATTCCTGGAAGTTTGTATATTATTTTCCCATTTTATTTATACAACTAAAAGCTGTGGGTGTAAAAGGTGATAATATTTTGATATATCTGTATAAATATGAAATTATCTGAAGATTAGACACACCCCAGATTTTTTCACCTGAACATTAACCACCATAACGTTACCTAGGGGCGTTATGGGTAGGTTAGGTTAGCGTAAGGTTAGGTTAGGATAGGTTAGGTTAGGTTAGGTTAGGTTAGGTTAGGTTAGGTTAGTTTGGGTTAGCATTAGTTTGGGTCAGCACTAATTCGAGTTAAGTTACACTAGGTTGGGTTGGTAGGTTAGGTTAGGTTAGGTTAGGATACTTGGAGACGAAGTTAAAGAGACAACCAGATCTTAACGGGAAAGATAAATAAAACCGATGAGTGTGTTGTGTTATTCTTGTAGGTGGAGGGATAATTAGCCTTTAGACCTGTGACCTACCTGTATACGTGGACAGGTAACAAGAGGGATAATTAGCCTTTAAACCTGTGACCTACCTGTATACTTGGACAGGTAAGAAGAGGGATAATTAGCCTTTAGACCTGTGACCTACCTGTATACTTGGACAGGTAAGAAGAGGGATAATTAGCCTTTAGACCTGTGACCTACCTGTATACGTGGACAGGTAATAAGAGGATTAATTAGCCTTTGAACCTGTGACCTACCTGTATACTTGGACAGGTAATAAGAGGATTAATTAGCCTTTGAACCTGTGACCTACCTGTATACGTGGGCAGATAATAAGGTGGTAAGAGGTAGGTGATGCTCGAGGCAGTGTATAGCGCTATACTGCTGATACCTTTATTATGATACAGTGTAGGTAAACATAGTTGAGTCTCAGTATAATATTTGACACTATTTTAAACCTTACAGCTCACTCATATACTCACACGGTTGAGGACCTTAAATTGATAAAGATGATACAAGAAAATGGGATTCGTTTGTGTAGTCTCAACGTCCTTCCGCCGCCATTTTAAGCATCATCGTCTTGTCCTTAGGATTTTTTTTTTATACTCATACAATATTGACTCTAATTCCCTCTCTCTCGGTGCGGTTGACAAGATTTTTTTTATTCGTGGTAAAGTCTCAGCGCTGTTTGCCTGTTGGTCAGAAAGTGGAGAGTCTTAGCGCAACGTCTTCCTACGCCTGGCCTTGTGACGCCTCCCACGCCTGGCCTTGTGACTACTCCCACACCTTCCCCTGTGACGCCCCCCACGCCTTCCCCTGTGACGTCTCCTACCCCTGACTGGCTAGCACGTTGAGGTGGGGGAGGGGGGGGGGGTGGCTGAAAGTTACAAACACTGAGCTTATAAATACATTCTGTTTGTTGTGGGTTGTTTACTGTGAGGTGTGTGTGTGTGTGTGTGTGTGTGTGTGTGTGTGTGTGTGTGTGTGTGTCTGTGTGTGTGAGCCAGACGAGATTAATATTTACCATAAGGTCTGAAGAAAAAACAAACACATACATTAATTTCCATGACCCGACTGAGGTATATTTCCATCTTCAAGTATCATGAGTCGAGTGTTAATAATACCATGTGATATTAATAGTGACATTGCGTTCTTGTTTGTAAGTAAGTTCTATGACAAAGTGTCGACCAACTTGGATTTGGTAGATTTTCACCTAGTCTCTCTCTCTCTTTTCCACTCTACCCCTCACTCTCCGCCAGAAGAGTGCTAACATGAAAGTATAGCGTAGTCATTAAAGTGAAGTGTGTTCTTTCTATTCATTTTAGTTTCATCAAAGTCAAAGATCACTAAACAACCCTTCTTCTTTCCCTCTCTCTATCCTAATTCCCTTTTTTTTATCTCTCTCTCTGTTCACCTCCTTCCTTCTCTCCCTTCCTTCAAACCCTCTTTTCTCCATTACTTAACTCTTTCACTCATTCTAATCCATGATAATCGTTCCCCTCCTTTTCCCCTCTTTCTCTTCCCTTTATCTTTCCCCTTCTTCCCCTCCTCCTTTCTCTCCCATCCATTCTCTCGAAATTAAGATCAAAGTCCTCCCCCCTCTCTCCCTTTCTCCCTCCCCTTCTTTCTATTTGTCTTTATCTTCCTCTTTTTCCTTCCTCTCTCCCTCTCCCTTTCTATCTCTACTTCTCTCTATTTCTGCTTTTCGATCTCTCCCCCTCTCTCTCTCTGATCTTTATCGTCTAAAGGGTTTCGTCATCATTCTATACGTCACAGCCAATTCGTGTTAATAGGATCCCAGGATTGTAAATTAGTCGAATCTTAACTTAATTAACCTAACCTAATCTAACCTGGAGTTAAGTTAATTTCTCAGCATCCGGGTTACAGGAATTATGTAATATGATAGGTCTTTCAGGAAAATTTTATAAGGGGGGGGGCGGAGCGGGGAGGAGGGGGGGTAGGGAGGATGGAGGATGAGAGAGAGAGAGAGAGAGAGAGAGAGAGAGAGAGAGAGAGAGAGAGAGAGAGAGAGAGAGAGAGAGAAGAGAGGAGAGAAAGAGAGAGAGAGAGAGAGAGAGAGAGAGAGAGAGAGAGAGAGAGAGAGAGAGAGAGATGTACCATAGCCGTAATAATTAACCTCGTTATAGTATCTTCAACTAAGAGCTCGCTAACTATGGCGAAATCTAGTAAATTACTTCACTTCAACAACTGAGGTCATTTATCTGTGAAACTAGATATGACCAATAACTACCCTGATCCACCAAACAATTAAAAATGATGAGATATATAGAGACACTTAGCTCCTCTTCTTATTTCTTGATAAAGGAAAGAGGAACAGTCAGCAACCAGAGGGAAGCTAAAGGGGAGGTGCTCTATTGTCCAGAATTGTCTCACTAGGGGGAGGAGGGGGGAAAAAGAGGGGGGATGGTCTCATGGGGGATAGGGGGGGGGATCCTATGAGAGAGGTGGAGAGGAAGACACCCACACACGCCCTGACACCCACGGCCCCTGACACCCACGGCCCCTGACACCCACGGCCCTGACCCCATTAGTAATGCTTAAAACCTTGACTGATACATAAACCTTGACTGATACATAAACCTTGAATGATACATAAACCAGAGGCATCGCTGTGAGGTTTCATTACCCGATATATTAATTTTGGAGCTATCAAGTAAAACCTTCGGAACAAAAGCAGACAAGAGCAGACAGCGTTATTAAATGCCATTAAGGAAGGGTTTAGTTTGAGGCTGTGATGATAAGGGGGAATCAGGGGAAGGGAAAGGGGTTCAGGAGGAAGGAAGGGAGTTCAGGGGAGGTAAGGAGGCTCAGGGGGAGGTAAGGCCTTCAAGGGATGATATAATTACCCTTAATTAGAGATTCAAGTGAAGAGAATATTGGATTTTTTTTATATAATTCGGATGAGGATGAAATTTAAGGTATGTTCACTCTCAGGCTAAAGGGTTAACTTCCTCTTGCTTTAACCTAACTTTAACCTAATCTTAACCTAACCTAATTTAACCTAACCTTAAATTACTATTAACATAAACAAACTTAACCTAACCTAACCTAACTTAATGTAAATAATGGTTAGTCATAGTCTAATAGTAAACCGATTAAGGAAAAAAAAAATATAAAATATCCAGCAAGGTTATAAACAAGATAAATACAAACAAAAACAAATATATCAATTACTTTTTAAGATCTCAGTCGAACAGTTAAAAAAATATCGAACAACGGCTTCTGGTGTTTGCCGTCTACTTCACATTTAATTTAGTTTTTAACCATAATAAGAACAATAACGTTACAATATCGGAAAGACGACCACAATGTATTTTTTTTAATCGCAATTTATAATGAAGGAACTATATTAAGCCAGCCAGGCCATCCTTCGTCGCCACAATGACAACAAAGCCTTCTTAGTGGATGGGAAATAACAAGAGCCCGTGGGGGACGTCGAACCTCAGGGGGAAAAAAAACAACATGGGTTTTTGTTTTTAAATAGCTGTAAGTCTTATTATTATCCTTGTTCCGAGTTCCATAAAATTAATTCCTGTTTTCTTTTAATTCCTTAATGAGATTTGACTTTGAAGGAGTATATAAATATATAGTGAACCCTCACTTTACACGGTCAATTGAACCCACGGAGGCCCGCGTAAAGTAAAGTGAACAACATAACATATGGGATTAAGTGAAATAGAGACCAGCTGACCCCCAAACTCCACTTTTTCCAACTCCACTTTTCTGTTCTGCCGGTATTTTTTTTTTCGTTTTGGTTGTGGAGTTTAAATTCACTGTTATTCTTGAGTCACAGCACCACACTACCATGGCACTATACAACCACAGCACTATACTACCACACTATCTTATCACCACACTAAAGGCACCACACCACACCACACCACACCACCACAGCACAGCACGGCAGCACCATAGCCTGGGCCCACTGATGATGAAAAGGTCCTCTGCCAGAAGTTGTGGTCGCGATAAAGAAGTTTGTGAGTCCTAGTGAATCCGTGGCGGTCAGTAGGATCTCTTGTATATGAGCCGTGACGGGTGGTTAGGTTAAGTTAGGTTAGGTTGGGAGGGAGGGAGACGGAGGGAGGGGAGGGTGGAGGGAAGCTAAGGGAGAGGGAGGGGAGGGAGGGAGGGAGGAGGAGGGTTAAGAGGGAGAGAGGGAGGAGGAGGGAGGAGTGGGGTTAAGAGGGAGAGGAGGGAGGAGAAGCTGCCTACCACCTGTTGCTTCAGTTACGTGACTCTGATATAACAGATCATCTCCTCTTTTCCCTCCCTCCCTCTCCTCCCTCTCCCTCTCAACCCTTCCTCCTTACCTCTGTCCCTCTTCCCTGATCCTTATTTCTTCCCCCAACTTCCGCTTCCTTCACCTCACTTACTCCCCTCCCTCTTTCCCCTTTCCTTATATATCTCTCCTTCCCCCAAAACCCCTCTCTCTCCTCTTTCTCTACCTGATCCTCCCTTCCCTCACCTCACCCCTCTCCCTCAACTCCACCCTTCCTCAACTACTCCCTTTCCTACCTCCCTCCCCCCTCACGACGACTACCATTTCTCCGTCACCCCCCCTCCACCCTCTTCAGTCACGGTGCTGTTACCCCTTTCACATTTGTCACCCCCTTCCCCCCGCCTCACCTCACATCAAAGGGAGCACTGTGTCTCTCCCTTGTGTCGTCTTCCTTTAAGCTACTCTCCCTGGGTTCCGATACTTAAGGGAACGTAAGACCATTTTTTTCCTCCCTTGCTCTCGAGAGTAAAAGGTTTAGTCTTGCGGTTTTATCTTTTTTGTGTTTCAAGATTATTTTTTTCCTGTGTAGAGAGAGAGAGTAGAAAGTGTTCACCCAGTGTGTGTGTGTGTGTGTGTGTGTGTGTGTGTGTGTGTGTGTGTGTGTGTGTGTGTGTGTGTGTGTGTGTGTGTGTGTGTTCGAAAAGTTAATAATTTCTAATGTTAAAAATTATTATCAACTAAAAAATAGAAAATGTCAAAACAATATAAATAATCATCTTATATAAAAGACTAAATCAATTTGAACTACTACTACTACTACTACTACTAATAATAATAATAATAATAATAATCTGTCTTATAAATAATTTAATTTTATGATTCATATATATAACTCTCCTTTTTATTCCTGTCTGTTTATCTGCCTGTCTGCCTGTCTGCCTGTCTGACTGTTTATCCCCTCTTCTCTGTCTCTCTGGAACCCTGGTGTACATCCCATCTTGTAATGTAGTAAGTACATCTGGAGTACAAAATACATTACATTTGTAATATGTTAACCTCCACATTAGGAAGTGGACACAGGTTTATTTCCTGCTTTTAAGTTATCTGTGTTCGATCCCTGAGGCCTCTTACACAACCCAGCCTTGAAATGGAGCAATCAGGTATGGTTCAAGCCACCCAGATGTAGTTCAAGCCAATCAGGTATGGTTCAAGCCACCCAGATGTAGTTCAAGCCAATCAGGAATGGTTCAAGCCACCCAGATGTAGTTCAAGCCAATCAGGTATGGTTCAAGCCACCCAGATGTAGTTCAAGCCAATCAGGTATGGTTCAAGCCACCCAGATGTAGTTCAAGCCAATCAGGTATGGTTCAAGCCACACAGATGTAGTTCAAGCCAATCAGGTATGGTTCAAGCCACCCAGATGTAGTTCAAGCCAATCAGGTATGGTCTGCCACCCAGATGTAGTTCAAGCCAATCAGGTATGGTTCCGCTTTCACCCAGATGTAGTTCAAGCCAATCATATGGTTCAAGCCACCCAAGATGTAGTCTGCCAATCAGGAAATGGTCTGCCACCCAGATGTAGTTCAAGCTTAATCAGGTATGGTCTGCTTTCACACAGATGTAGTTCAAGCCACCAGGTATGGTTCAAGCCACACACACACCCTCCTTGTATACTGAAGGCTTAGTTACTCTACTGTATAATCTGGGTTGTTATCTACACTGCTCCAAGCGTATCATAAAAACTACAGAATCCACTTTGGTTTTACGCTTATATTACAAAGTTTTGGTACAGAAGCTTGTAGTGTGTGTGTGTGTGTGTGTGTGTGTGTGTGTGTGTGTGTGTGTGTGTGTGTGTGTGTGTGTGTGTGTGTGTGTGTGTGTGTGTGTGTGTGTGTGTGTGTGAGGATGGTGATGGTCGTGTACCCATGTGTATTTTGTGAGTTAAACATGGTGTATGAATGTGTGTATATTTCTGTGTATTTGTGTATGTTTGGGAGGATTTGTGTTTATACATAAATAATTGTATTGTGTGTGTGTGTATTATTTACTGTTACAGGTGTATTGTAATATATACACACTGTTAGCGTCATCTATACACACTAATGCATACTGTTAACATGTCCTTACACACACACACACACACACACACACACACACACACATACACACACACACACACACACACACACACACACACACACACACACACACACACACACACACACACACACACACACACACACACACATACATCCGTGGTGTGTACCGAGTGAGTGTCAAGAGTGCGAGAGAGAGAGAGAGAGAGAGAGATTATCCTCTCCTCATTTGTCACAGTATAGAGCTTTACCATTTACAAGGGGTCATGTGTCTGTCTCTCGTAATGGCATTATTAATCTGGGTTTCTGCTCACTCTCTCTCTCTCTCTCTCTCTCTCTCTCTCTCTCTCTCTCTCTCTCTGAATAGAATTGAAAGTCCATCATATCTAGGCGTCAGTTATATACAAACCTCCTCTCAAACGGATTATATGAAGAGAGAAATCCACTATATTGAGGTTCCACTGTATCGCGTAGGTTAAAACGAAAAAAAAAACAATAGGGAAGAAACTGGTAATTGAAGACGATAACTTTGAGTTTTATTTTTACAGCATAAGTCAGTGGTATTATCTTCTGAGTCGATGTTTATTTACACTATTTAATTATTTATTTTAGCTTCGTGACCTGGAAAAAAAAAATATGTGAGAATTTATGTTATTTTAAGTAAGTGTTTGTTTGTCTTTTTGCAACTACATATACACACACACAGTCACACATACATACTGTACATACATACATACATACATACATACATACATACATACACCAATTCTATTTCACTATTTGCATTACTATTTAGGATATGAAACATGCACTAAATGATAATAATATATACCTAACCTAACCTAACCTAACCTAACCTAACCTAACCTAACCTAACCTAACCTAACCACTAAAAATCAAGTTGTGACCTTCACCAGCATCCTCTCAGGTGAGCTCATTAGGGTAACATCACAAGGAATCAATGAACATATAGAATACATTTATATCATACCTGTGTTTACCTACTGGTGATGACCGTGATTAGTATAAAAGGTGAATTCTCTTACCTGTTTGAAGTTTGGCAGGTGAGATGTACGTAAGTCAATCTTTCTTCACTAAAGTGTTAAGTTTGTGGCCGTGGGGTAGTTGGTACAGCTTATAGGAGGGCGCCTGTGGTGGTGGTGAGAAGGTATGGGACGCAGCTGTTATTCTTCCCTCCTTCACCCACTCCGTCAGATGTTGGAGCGGTGAGTGGTGTCTTTCTACATAAACTTCACGAGAACATCAATACACAAACAACACACGGGAGGGAGAGACGGGAGGGAGAGACGGGAGGGAGAGACGGGAGGGAGAGACGGGGATATACCTACCCTAACCAAACAATTTTACACTCCTTATAAATAACCATCAACATTATCCCCCCAAAAAATATATTAACTAAATTACTTTTCCTCATTTAAAATATCACTTTGAATTTAATTTATTGGTATTTTTTTCTATTATTATTATTATTATTTACAAGGGAGGTAAGTAGCGAGTGAGTGTACCTGTGGGGGGTGAGGTGTGTGTGTGTGTGAGTGTGTGTGTAGTGGGTTAGTTGATGTGGGGGTTGTGTTATAGCTGTTTCCACCGTCAGTGTTGTTACGAGGGGAGACAAGCTTCGACTGTAGGTAAGAGAGGGTCTAGGCTGGCTGCTTCCCTCACTCACACGCGCGCTCGACCACCCAACTCTCTCTCTCTCAGACACACAGGCCACCTCTTACCTAGCCTCCCACTTCCTCTCTCTCTTTTTCTCTCTCTCACACAGGCTACCTCTTACCTAGCCTTCTTCCTCCTCTCTCTCTCTCCTTCCATATGTTATATGTATGAATTAAATAAAATAAACTGAGAACAAAATATTTATTAATAATAATAATAATAATAATAATAATAATAATAATAATAATAATAATAATAATAAACTCTAAGGTCATATTTTCCAAGTTTAAACAGCAAGAATGTTATCAACTATGAGCTTCCAATGTGGGAATTATAAGAGGAATTATTATTATTATTATTATTATTATTATTATTATTATTATTATTATTATTGGTGTCTACTATTTTTCTCATCTCTTATATTATCATTAAGGTCAACGATGATGTTACTGTTATTATGCTCGTTATTATAATTAGTAGTTGTAGTCTAACATTAGTATAATTAACCATTAAGATCATCACTATTATTATCATCATTATGGGAGATACAAATACAATAATCTAATATATAACAAAAACACACTCAACCAGAGAGAGAGAGAGAGAGAGAGGGAGAGAGAGAGAGAGGGAGAGAGAGAGAGGGAGAGAGAGAGGGGAGGTCCGTCAGCCACAACACAAGGTTATAATACTGGACCAATATTCCACACTATGGGAACACCTCAGCGAGTGTAAAGTGGTTATCAGGCCGATGTGAGATGCCCCCTGGTGCAGGTGACAGGTGAACGGGAGAGAGAGAGAGAGAGAGAGAGAGAGAGAGAGAGAGAGAGAGAGAGAGAGAGAGAGAGAGAGAGAGAGAGAGATCAACAATAAATTACCTTTACTCGTGTTCTCCCAGGCGACTGTCACTTTCTCTCTGCTGGTTCCGATAGACAGGCCAAGTCCACCCATGTGAATCATTCCCCCGCTTCTACCACAAACACCTAACCTAACCTAACCTCAGGACGTATTGTGTATCTCGGAAAATCGAATGGTTGAAGTACAGACGCTGGATAGGACAAAACATTACTATAGTCACCTTGTCTGTTTTCTCATTGCCTGACATAACTACGTGTGTTGGTACCCAGAAGTAACAGATCTGACGGCCACATCAGCTGGTAGAGTTGAGCAGTTCCACTATCTCAGGAGCCAGAGGGTGGAGTGGCATAAGACTGTAGAATTAACGGACGCTTCTTCGGTCTCTAGAAATGGTCAAATCATTTTATTGGAGGTTATAATTACCTTCAAGTCCAGGAGAATTGATAAAGCAGTATGTAAGGCAGCCGCTCTGGGTAAAGATCTACACCAGTCCATCACCAGAGTCAGTCTTGGAGTCATTGGTACAGATAAGAAGTGAGTCCACATACTAGGTGCAGACTCTAAAACCACCAGACGCGGCACTTATTCCTGGTCGTCAGATTTTGTCTCAGTCGTTTTGGGGTAATAGATCTTTGACTCACCTAACGCAGAGGAGACTTAAGGGTATATAGAGGCTTGAGAGACCAAAGTGAGAATCTCAAGGTAGTTTCTTTTCATAGATCAACCCAGGTTATTGTGTATCGTCCACACACGGGATCATTTATCTGTATAGAAATAAATCAGAGTCTGGATGAAAACCGAGTAAATGGGAGTAAAACGGAAACATGCCTCTGCCAACTTCACAATGTCAACTAAGGTAACGATGCGCATACTACCCTGTGGCACCCCAGCCTAACATTTCAGACCAGATAAAATGTTCCCCATCCTACAGTGAAAATCGCGCTCACCAAAAACCAATTTTTATTGAATGAGTCATCCTGCCACGTAACGCAGACTCGTGGAGAATCTTAGGATGCCTCGCCTCCTCACGGTATCATACGCCTTCTTAAACTCGGAAAAAAACCTGGTTACATTGTGCCGTTTGGAGGCAAAGTCCGAACAACTCGACGACTCTAGTGTACCAGTGTTTGAATGCATCCCACAAGCTCCATGCACTAAACCACCCCTACCGTGACCTCTATTATCGAGCAGCTTACACAGGATGAAGTTAAACCTATGGAACAATAATTCAGCTCCTCAGAGATTAGTTCACTGATTAAGGAAACGAGCTCTTGAGTATCATCAGAAATATGGTGGATCATCACCTATGGAAGATCGTCTGGACCAAGTGATGTGTCGCCGAATCTAAAACACCTTTGAACTCCTACATGGTAAAGGAAAGGGAGGAGTGAAGACATCAAGTGTTAGGTTAAATTAAAGAAGTTTTCATGTTTAGTTAAAGGGTTAGATTAATGTTAAATAAGGTAAAGTATTTTTAGGTTAAATAGAGAGAGGTAGGTTAAGTTAAAATAGATTTGGTTGAGTAAGGTTAATTTAGGTTAAGTAAGGTTACGTTAGACTAAGTTAGGTTGAAAGGTTAGGTTAAGTTGATCAAGTTAGGTTAAAACTGCTGAAACGACCTGAAAACCTAACAAATATACCGGGTACTGAAGTGAATGATACCGGGTACTGAAGTGAATGATACCGGGTACTGAAGTGAATGATACCGGGTACTGAAGTGAATGATACCGGGTACTGAAGTGAATGATACCGGGTACTGAAGTGAATGATACCGGGTACTGAAGTGAATGATACCGGGTACTGAAGTGAATGATACCGGGTACTGAAGTTAAAGGTGCCGCAATGATGCTGACACCCTAAGCTGCTGACGCCAAAAGCTACTTACGGGTCTTAACAGCAGAAATATACTGACACTATATGATGCTGACAACTTATACCACTTCTGATGACAACACTTTTATTAATGATGGTGAACGCAGTATTATCCTAACAGAGGCTGACACCACTAATGAGACTACCGCTGAGGGCACTTCTAACAACATCAAAGATCAAGTGTCAGCGCTAATTACCTGTGATGGTGCTCTGGCCTACCTGTCCAATTAAGACCCTTGTTTTATAGGTACTTTACATCACCAACAAGTACTTTCAAGACACTTCCCGTTCCCATGAGTAGTTTCAAGACACTTCCCGTTCCCATGAGTAGTTTCAAGACACTTCCCGTTCCCATGAGTAGTTTCAAGACACTTCCCGTTCCCATGAGTAGTTTCAAGACACTTCCCGTTCCCATGAGTAGTTTCAAGACACTTCCCGTTCCCATGAGTAGTTTCAAGACACTTCCCGTATCCTCACAAGTATTTTCCAGGCACTTCTGTTCTGCTAGCGACCATTTTCAAGAACTTTAAGTCTTGTAAAGATTCTTCCCTCCTCCCATAGGTTACTTTCTCGGTACTTCCCGCCTCACGCAAATACTTCCCATATACCGCAAGCCCAGCCAGCTTGTGGAATGGTGTCTAATGTATACTGTTCACCCTCACTACCCCCTTCAAGCAGTCAAGCCAATGGAACCCAGATTAATTTGATTTTACTTCGTCACTTTCTTCATACAATAAGAAAGTGCCATCTGTTATGTACTACTTTAATGCATCACAATAGTACCTAAATCAACACAGACAGTGACCTGACCTGACCTAACCTAACCTAACCTCACCCTAATCCCTGAGGACCTTCGGCAATCAGTCTGGAATCTGAATCAGCTTCCTCCAGCTACCTGAGTGATCTCCCCACCATACCTAGTAATTAGTGACCCAATACACCTGGATGTTACGCATTCTTAAAGGGCTGGATGACCCTCCTTCTCTCTCTCTCTCTCTGTCTGTTTGTCTGTCAGTCTCTCCTCTACTTCCTCTCACTATCTCTCCCCACTCTGTCTCTCTAACTATCTCTCATTTTATCTCCTCTACTTCCTCTCACTATCTCTCCCCACTCTGTCTCTCTAACCATCTCTCATTTTATCTCATCTACTTCCTCTCACTATCTCTCCCCACTCTGTCTCTCTAACTATCTCTCATTTTATCTCCTCTACTTCCTCTCACTTTCTCTCCCCACTCTGTCTCTCTAACCATCTCTCATTTTATCTCCTCTACTTCCTCTCACTATCTCTCCCCACTCTGTCTCTCTAAACATCTCTCATTTTATCTCCTCTACTCCCTCTCACTATCTCTCCCCACTCTGTCTCTCTAACCATCTCTCATTTTATCTCCTCTACTTCCTCTCACTATCTCTCCCCACTCTGTCTCTCTAACCATCTCTCATTTTATCTCTTCTACTTCCTCTCACTTTCTCTGCCCACTCTGTCTCTCGTTCATACCTTGTAAACAAACCACATCCCTCTTAAGCTCAGGTCAAACTAGGGTTACATACTGTATTTTATAAGTTACATACAAAATACATAATACTTTCCTCCACATGCTTATACAATTTACTATATATACAGTATGTTGTCGACGTTGTAAGGACCGAGTATATCTTTCAATAATGTTAATATTTACAAACTAACATTCTCGTTGTATATGTTAATTAGGTAGTTCAGTTGTGTGTAAAGGTGGGGGGGGAGGCATACCTTTGTTAACGGGATTTGCATAAAGCTTAAACACCTACGATTAATATTTTATGAGTAAAGAAATTTGTTATGTTCGTATTAAAAGAAAATTATGTTATGTTATGTTATGTTAGGTTAGGTTAGGTTAGGTTAGGTTAGGTTAGGTTAGGCTAGTATTGCACCAATTAATTCTCTCTCGTGTTGTAACCTACACTTAGGCTCTCAAAACACCTGTTCATTCACCAAAAAATCATAATTAACTAAATATAATCAGTTAATTACAGGTAAATATTTAATTAACTAAACACAAACAGCTTACTACAATTAAATCCTTAATTAATTAAATATAACCAGCTTATAAGAGGTACATCCTTGTCATATCACAGGTAAAACGATAATTACTAGGCAGATAGAAATTACGACAGGTAAGTGCTTATCGCCTCACAGGTAACCAAGATAACAAAAGCTTATTAAAAAAAAAAGGTAAAGGTAGATTATTCTTATTTTCTCTAACATCGTAGTTGGATTTATCGATTTATTTATATATTCTATTTATTCATTAGTTTAGTCTCTATTTAGTTATCTCTCTTCTCATCTATTGATCTATTGTTTAAAGGACACGAGATGGTGTTAGAGAGAGAGAGAGAGAGAGAGAGAGAGAGAGAGAGAGAGAGAGAGAGAGAGAGAGAGAGCATTTTGATGTCCACGGATACATAAAAGTCAGCCTCATCCTTACTGCACAGTCCCATTCTAACCCGGACAGATGAAAGCCTGGTGTATTAACTCTCTCTTCTTAAACAAAATATGAACAATTCACCTGCACATGAAAAACCTAACTCTTAACATTATATAATTTACAAGATCTTAATAATAGCTTCTGTAGGACCAATACACACACACACACACACACACACACACACACACACACACACACACACACACACACACACACACACACACACACACACACACACACACACACACACACACACACAGCGAAACCTCCATATAGCGGACTTCTGTTTCCATATAATCCGTTAAATAGGGGAATTTCATATCTTATAGAACCCTCGATATAATGGACTTTTATATATATAGTTCGTTAGATGTGGTAATTTATTCAAGATAGCCAGATAAGAGGGATTATGCCTTTATTCAAATGTAACTTAATTCGATGATGTATTCTAAAACTCAGGTGAACCAGGTGTACTAATTAGTTTATATACGTCAGTCCCTAAAAAGTTTTCTGGATTACAGGTTTAGTCATATTTCACTTAATAGAATTTCACAAGAATTCTAAAACTAAAACTCATTATGGTATTTCATTTTTAAAAATATTAATTAAGCAGGTGAAAGGTAAGACTCACCTTATACTCACGATTAATTCAAGCCTAGATCAGAGTTTTGTTACAGAGTTTGTTGGTGAAGTTCAAAGACAGCTTGTTGGTTGAGAAGCTTAAAGACAGCTTGTTGGTTGAGAAGCTTAAAGACAGCTTGTTGGTTGAGAAGCTTAAAGACAGCTTGTTGGTTGAGAAGCTTAAAGACAGCTTGTTGGTTGAGAAGCTTAAAGACAGCTTGTTGGTTATGAAACTTAAATTAATTCGGCGTTTAATCTACTGTTACTATAGTGCTCAGAGTGCCAACAGCAAGAAGCTTACCGCCCACAGCTGCCTCTCTCGTAAGACTAACATTAACGCGTGTGTACCGAGGTGAGGAGGTGTGGTGTTGGGTCTCGTGGCTTAACTAATGGAACGAATCATTGTATTACTTAGATATTGGTCTGGAATGTGGACAGTGTCTTTGCCAGTTGAGGACAGTGTCTTTACTAGCTGAGAAGGACAGTGTCTTTACTAGCTGAGGACAGTGTCTTTACTAGCTGAGTGTTCTCATTAGGACAGGCCCTTATGTTTTATTTATCAACCTGAGGACTAACACGACACTGTCCACCATCACTGAACAACAACAACAACAACAACAACAACAACAACAACTGGAATGTCTCATCATTTTTCAATCACCGTTTGTAATTCTCTTCCAAAATCTCAATAAAGTCTTGTGTGTCTTTTGTAGTTTAATATTTTTGATGTATTTTTCTCATTGAACTTATACAAGAGGTCCCTAAAACACACACACACACACACAAACACACACACACACACACACACACACACACACACACACACACACACACACACACACAAAATATTCAAAGTCAGATTTGTATTAATAAAAATGGAAAGTGAACTATATTAACTGAGGTACTTTTCGTTGTAATATTACCAAAGAGAGAAAAAGAGGGAATTGAATCTTCTTCCCACCATACGTAGCCAGTGATGTAACTCCTGGGAAACCATTTTTTTCTGGGGGCGGGGGATTGGTCTTAGGAACCCTCAGTTAGGACCCACTTCCTATAATGCTGGAGGGTGGACTGGTGCTGACAAACATCATTACGTCACTATACGAGGAAGAGTTACTAACGTTTTTATTGTCCTGAAAATCAATTCGTGGGAGTCGATCCTTGCCACGCCTAGACCACACACACACACACACACACACACGCCACGCCATTCTATCTAGACTCTGTGTGTGAAGGCGACCTGTGTAATGGTCAGCATGCTCGCCTTGCAATCGAGCGGACCCGGGTTCGATCCCCGGGGAGGGTGAAACTATGGGTAAGTTTCTTTACGCCATTTCCCTGTCTACCCAGCAATAACTGAGGACCTGGATGTTAATCGTTAGCAAGTGGAGTTGGCGAGTTGTCCGGTATTCTTGGACTATTCCTTGACACTGGGTCATATAGCTCGTTAACGTAGGGTGTGGTTGTTGTGTTGGCGACAGCTTCTACACCTTAAACAAATTCACGCCTAGGTGGCCCTTGGGCCGGCCATCCTCGTTACACGATGCGCAACCATTATTATTATTATTATTATTATTATTATTATTATTATTATTATTATTATTATTATTATTATTATTATTATTATTATTATTATTATTATTATTATTATTATTAGTGTGTGTGTGTGTGTGTGTGAGGGTCTGGCCGTGGCAAGGATCGACCCCCACGAATTGATTTTCAGGATAACAAACGTAACCCCTTGAGTACAGCTTAAACCCTGAGTACGATGACGTAATCTTTTAAATTCCTTGTCTACAACCTTTTCATACGATGACATTTCTTAGGGTACGATGTCATTTTAGTAAACGAGTTAAGTAATTATACTCAAGATGCTAAGTCGCTAATGGTGTTATAATGTTATTAATGCGCTCCAACAAGTAAGGTCATCAAGCGTGTAATAAGGTTCGTAATTATATTATTCCAACAATATATAAGAATTATGAGAGACTGAAACTTTCTGCTTGCTCTCATCGTACACAGGAAGTTGAAATATCGTACTCAAGATGACAATGTACTCAAGATGATAATGTACTCAAGACGTCAATGTACTTAAAATGTAAATGCACTCAAGATGTTAATGTACTCAAGTTATTAATGTACTCAAGCTGTCAATGTACTCAAGATGTTAAGTACGGATTACAGGTCTTTCCAACAGTGGCTTTCAAGGTAATCCAAAATGCTCCCTTGTACTATATAACAGTGAGCATGACTCCCCCTTCCCCCCATGTACGTCTGTCCGTATGCTCACATGTGTCTGGCTTGGTTAAAACTCACACCCAGGATTACCTCCGCCCCCCCCCCAGGTGAGGTCCCCCAGGTAGGTAGAGGCAGGGCAGCTCGCGTGACGTCCTCGTGATTGTTGCTCGGTATTCGGTACCTTTGCGTGGAGGAAGGAGGTGAGGTGAGGGATGGAGGTAGGTGAGGGATGGAGGTAGGTGGGGGTAGGTGAGGGATGGAGGAAGGAAGGAAGGGGGGGGGGAGAGGGAGGGAAGGAGGGAGGGGTGTTCTGGTTGACTCACTCATCGTCTGGTCGCTCGATATGACCAACACACTGACTCTTGCTGCTGCTGTTGGCTTTTCACTTAAACGCTTTTATGATAATGGCAGACAGGCGAGGTGAGGTGGGGCAGAGTGGGGTAGGGTGGGATGAGGTGGAGCAGGAGACGAGTGTGATGAGGTGAAGCAGGAGACGAGTGTGATGAGGTGGAGCAGGAGACGAGTGTGATGAGGTGAAGCAGGAGACGAGTGTGATGAGGTGGAGCAGGAGACGAGTGTGGTGAGGTTGGGCAGAGTGAGGCAGGAGAATCGTTCTATTATTTAGGACTATCATGTCTCTATACACGTTCAATGAGGCAATCCCCCGGAGGACAGGGGAGTGAGGTAGACAGTGAAGGAGACAGTGAGGGAGACAATAAGAAAGACAGTGAAGGAGACAGTGAAGGAGACAGTGAGGGAGACAATAAGAAAGACAGTGAAGGAGACAGTGAGGGAGACAGTGAGGAAGACAGCCTGACATGTTCGATAAGGGAACACAGGAATGTACTATACCCAGAACACGATTGGTTTGTGTTGACTTATAATGAGACAATAAAATTGGTTGTGGGTTCATAGGGTCTCCACACACACACACACACACCTCTTGAAAACACGCCTTAAAATACCCTGTCAAACTGCTCCCTTCAACGCTAATCTTCCTGAAACATGACAACAGGAGAGAGAGAGAGAGAGAGAGAGAGAGAGAGAGAGAGAGAGAGAGAGAGAGAGAGAGAGATGGAAGGGCTGGAAGCAAAGGGGGAGGGGGAAGCTCCGGAGGGTAAAGGGAAGGGGGAGGGAGGAAAGGGAGAGAAGAAAGGGGGGAGATGGGGGTAAATGAGGGGGGGAGGTAGCCTGGGGGACGGTCAATGCCGGCAGTAGTAAGTAGATGTGTGTCCAGGGAGGCAGTGAAGACCAGCCCAGGTGTTACGACCGTGCTGTGTTACTATCGTACTGTGTTACGACCATACCGTGTTAATACTTGTACTGTGTTACGACCATACCGTGTTAATACTGTGTTACGACCATACCGTGTTAATACTGTGTTACGACCATACCGTGTTAATACTGTGTTACGACCATACTGTGTTACTGTGTTAATACAAATACTACTTAAGTGATATTACCAGAATAGGTATAAGATATTGCAGCAGTGTGTGTGTGTGTGTGTGTATATATGTGTGTGTGTGTGTGTGTGTGTGTGTGTGTGTGTGTTTATGTGTCTGTACGTCTGTGTTATGTACGTAATTAAGAGTGGCATTATTACAACCTATGTGTTATTAATAAGTGTTAGTTGGTGGTCTTATTGCAATAGTTCTCACTAATAAGCCATTCACATCGTAATTATCAATCAGATACTCCATTAATTACTACGTTTTATGTCACATTCAGACAGACGTGACGTTATTACAAAGAAAATATGTAATTACTACCATTACAGTGAGTGAGATTATTACAGTAATTTTTGTAATGTAGTTTTTGAAAATTATTCTCACATAATGATAATGTATTTCTGTACTGTTACAACGTGTGTGGTGACTGTAGTGTTATGGCTGCTGTATCTTGGTGACTGTAGTAGATAGATAAAGTCCTGAGCTGTAACAAAAGCCTTCACTGTTTGTTACCGCCGCGGCACCTTTAATGCTTCACTCGTTAATTAGCTTAATGAAATATTGAGAAATTCATCAGTGGGTCACCAGCAGCCTCCTCCCCTGGCGAGTGTGACGCACTGTGTGGTTCAGTGACGGACTGTGTGGTTCTGTGACGGACTGTGTGGTTCTGTGACGGACTGTGTGGTTCTGTGACGCACTGTGTGGTTCTGTGACGGACTGTGTGGTTCTGTGACGCACTGTGTGGTTCTGTGACGGACTGTGTGGTTCTGTGACGCACTGTGTGGTTCTGTGACGCACTGTGTGGTTCAGTGACGGACTGTGTGGTTCAGTGACGGACTGTGTGGTTCTGTGACGGACTGTGTGGTTCTGTGACGGACTGTGTGGTTCTGTGACGGACTGTGTGGTTCTGTGACGCACTGTGTGGTTCTTGTGGCGTTTATAGGAATTGTTTTTTCCCAGTACAGTCACCCCCCCCCCATATAATAACGATAGCGGTTGACCCTCGTATAACGAGGATGGCCGGCCCAAGGGCCACCTAGGCGTGAATTTGTTTGAGGTGTAGAAGCTGTCGCCAACACAACAACCACACCCTGAGTTAACAAGGTGCATGACCCAATGTCAAGGAATAGTCCGAGAAGACCGGACAACTCTCCAACTGCAGTGGCTACCCATTACCCTGGAATACGATCCGCAAATCGATTAACTTCCAGGTCCCCAATTACTGCTGGGTAGACAGAGGCAAATGGCGTCAAGAAACTTGCTCATAGTTTCATCTTGCCCGGGGATCGAACCCGGGTCCGCTCGATTGCGAGGCGAGCATGCTGACCATTACACCGCAGGTCGCCACACACACACACACGGTATTCGGTTCACAGATATGAAACAACTACAGACTTACGTTCACTCAGTCATCTGGAGGTCGGTAGGGGGTAGGGGAGGAGGGATGACCGCCCGCCCTAAAGGATTTCGTTTCCTAATCCCAGGAACGTGAGGATATAATGCGGCTTACTTAACAAGGGGGGCTCAAGAACGCCTCAGCCACACTTTGTTTACCTTCTGAGACAGCCAGTGTTGGAGAAATACCACGGACAGGATTTTGGGAGAGCTATTTATTTATTTATTTATTATATTTATTTATTTAGTTTATTGAGGAGCCAAACTTATCCTAGCCAAATCCGATGTAATGAAATTCAGAACAGTTTTAGTTATGTATTAGAGTTAGCTGGATAATAAATAAGGATAATTGCCTAGAAAACCTAACCTAACCTAACCTTGTTTAGCCTAGCCTAACCTAATCTATCCAACCTACTTTAAATACACTTATTTTTTGTCCAGGGAAATTTTGTCCAGTATTATCCAGGGGTAACTTGTCCCGATTTAGTCTTATTTTCAGGATATGTCTTTTATTCTGGATGGGGTCTGTCTATCTCCCTATCTGTTTGGCTTATTGTCTGTCTATACATCTTTCTCTATGTCTGTCTGTTTGTCTCTATTAAATGAGGATGAAAGGATATCTGGTGAGCTAACAAGGGCCTTTGACAACTTCCTCGCTCTGGGCTACGTCAATGTGTATGTGTGTGAGACGAGAATGAGGCCACGGTTCGACAATGGCCCCACAGAATGATTTGGACTTCACATGATATTCCAACAACATCCTGATAGGGCACATCGCTGTAGCAACCGGGAGATGGGGGGGATCAAACGCCGTCTCTGTTAACTTTCCAAACCCATGATTGTATTAGTTCTGACGCACGGATTCATTCGGCAGAGAAGCGAGCTATGGAGAGATAACTGGATAGATAGATAGAAAGATAGGTAGATAGATGGATAGAGATAACTATCACCAATACTAACTTTTAATATCAACATCAGATCAAGATGTCGGCCACCACCAGCAGCCTCACCATCTCAGCAGCTGGTCCTGCCCTGCCCTCCTGGGTGTTGGAGGAGAAGGAGGCCGCCAGGATCGCCCACCGTCGCCGCCTGCTAGAGGAAAGGGCCGTCAGGATTCACCAGCCCAGGATCACCTCCATAGCGGTGAGTCAGCTGTTCGGTGTTGGTAGATTTTTAGATTTTTATTTTAGATTGCCCACGAGGGGGCTAGTTTATTGGGCACCCCCTTACATCCTGTGTAAGGTGTAGCGCAGAAGCGTTTACAGCGCCCATCTGGGAAGCATGCGGAGTTCATGCTTCCCTTTATGACTCATGTATTAAGGGTGAAAAAGTCTGAAGGATTGTAAAGTACCGAATTACGAACACGACCTGTCCTGACCTGACCCGACCTGACCTGACCTGATCTGACCCGACCTGACCTGACCTAACTTGAATGCTTCATATGATCATCTTCCTTCAAGTCACATCAACAGTAATCATAACAGTACTAGGTCAGTAAATGTTACTTGACTGTAGAAAATGTTTATACAATGTCCTAGAACGTTTATGTTTACAGTTTCCCTCGGTGTGTGTTTACAATGTACGCTGTTTGTGTTTGTAATATCACTTTGTGTGTGTGTGTGTGTGTGTGTGTGTGTGTTATACAGAGCCCCTTGATGTTCGTGTTTACAATAACCCTTGATTGAGTTTTGAAGTTCGTGCTGATATAAATATTCTGGGAATTTAAACACAAGGACTCTGTAAACACAAACATCAAGGGACCCCGTGTAAACAAAGGAACTCGTATAAGCAAGGGACCCCGTATAAACAAGCACTAAGATAATCTATAAACACAATAGCCTCAGCTGTCGGATTTATTACATACCAAAGGCGGATAATAAACACGACCTCGTATCTCTCCTCGGAAGGTTGCCAGGTAAGGATCAATCAACGTATATTGCTTCCCTCCCGTCAAGGCTCATTTGTGTTAATATCAGACCTAATTAACCTGGTAATTCACGCTCGATTATTTTCACCGTGCATACCTGTTGTTGTTGTTGTTGTTGTTGCTGTTGTTGTTGTCGTTTATTATTTATATTTTTATTTTTATTTTTTTAATAATATTTACTCTCAGGAATATTTGTAAGCACTGGTACGTTGGTCTGGTTTTGTAAGATTTAAACCAGTTATTTAAACTCTTTGAGGATGAGAGGATTAAAACATCGTCTTCAAGGGTTAAGTCACCATACTTAGTGGATTAAACCATCAAAAACCACAGAGAAAAATAATTCACTCTATATATCATATCAACAAAAAACAAATTAAAAAATAATAATTCAGTAGCTTTTGGTGAACATTCTTCTATGTAATTTTCTCTAAAAGACAACAACAAATCTTATATATGTACACAGCAAAGTCCCAATGTTATGATGTATGGGATATAGTATAATTACTTCCTTCCTTTACACCTGTAGGAGATCTGAACGAGTGGTTATTATTTTCGTAGATCCAGTCAGGTTGTTCTTTTCCCAGGAGAGACAAAACCCTCGCGATGTTCCTTCTGAAGTTTTAATGAGTGGGGGGAGGGGGGGGAGTCTGGTTTTTTCCTAGGATGTACAATATAATCACTATCTATCTATCTATCTGAGTTAACAAAGTACACGGCTCCTTTAATAGCAGTCAGGAGGCAAAAAATCACCTTTGGGGTTTTAACTAGTTACACTCCTTTAACACACACACACACACTCACTGCCACATTACTATCAACACTGGAAGAACTTCACCACCAAGAACACTCGACAACCATACTCAACCACAAGTTAATACTCCACCCTACAAGTGTATCTCTGCACCAACCAACCTGACTTTATTACGAGGCACCATAAGAAAAGAAAGGAACACAAGAATTACAATAATACTCTTTAGTTATATTGAATAGAAAAAAACGAGACTCGAAGAAAAATAATTATGGCTCAAGTATCTCATTAGACGTTTTATATAGAGGGGAAGGGTGGAGGGGGAGGGGGGGGAGTGTAAGGGGGAAGGGTGGGAAGGGGGTGGGAAGGGGGTATAATATTACATAACAGAACTCATATTATAAGTCGAGTGATATTAAAAAAAAATACATGCTTCAGGATACGAGTGGTTGTCTGTTTCTGGAGAGACTGGTGAGTAGGTTCTAGGTAAGAGACTGGTTCATTGGTTCTAGGTAAGAGACTGGTTCATTGGTTCTAGGTAAGAGACTGGTTCATTGGTTCTAGGTAGGAGACTGATTCATTGGTTCTAGGTAAGAGACTGGTTCATTGGTTCTAGGTAAGAGACTGGTTCATTGGTTCTAGGTAAGAGACTGGTTCATTGGTTCTAGGTAAGAGACTGGTTCATTGGTTCTAGGTAAGAGACTGGTTCATTGGTTCTAGGTAAGAGACTGGTTCATTGGTTCTAGGTAAGAGACTGGTTCATTGGTTCTAGGTAAGAGACTGGTTCATTGGTTCTAGATAAGAGACTGGTTCATTGGTTCTAGGTAGGAGGCTGGTTCATTGGTTCTAGGTAGGAGACTGGTTCATTGGTTCTAGGTAAGAGACTGGTTCATTGGTTCTAGGTAAGAGACTGGTTCATTGGTTCTAGGTAAGAGACTGGTTCATTGGTTCTAGGTAAGAGACTGGTTCATTGGTTCATTTATTCGAGGTTCTAAAACGTAAGAGAGAGAGAGAGAGAGAGAAATCGAATCAAAACAAAGCATAGGAGACCAAAACAACAACAACAAGAAAACAACAAAAACAACAACAGCTAAGCCAATTATGACGAAAACAACATCACAACAACAACAAAACAACAACAACAACAACAAAACAACGACAACCACTCACAGGGCCTGGGTAAAATAAATAATTCACTGAGGCGTCTAGTATACCATTAAGACAAAGACAGACAATATCAACCTCTACTCAAGGGAGAGGCGAGGTATAAGAAATATATCCTGACGTGATATTAAGTTTAATTATGAGTTTGTTTGTATTATTTTTATTATTGTTTGTTGTGTAAGACGAAGTAACGTGAGAGGGGAGAGAGGGGAGAGGTAGAGGGGATAGGGAGGGAGAGGGATTCCAAAATGTTTATAAGAGGAGGGAAGGTATATAAGTGTTGGTAGAGGCCTAATGTAGGACTAGATACTATTAATGCTACAGATCTGCCACCATAACACACACACACACACACACACACATACACACACGCAATTTCAGAGGTGGGAGGAAGGATTCTGATCTTTGGGTTAAATACATATGTACATAGGTTAGGTTAGGTTAGGTTAGGTCCTTCAGATGATATTCTAAGACAGTGTCATTGGTTATGTTTGTCTATGGTCTAACTCCTATCTCCTGTTCTCTTCATCTTGCCCTTTTTCCTGTTCTTTTTCTCTTCTCTCCCTTTTATCAATACCCTGTTCTCTCTCTCTTGCCCCCTCCTTTCCTCTTCCTCTTGCCCAATCCCCTGTTCTCTCTCTCTTGTTCCCCTTCCTTTCCTCTCCCTCTTGACCTCCTTCTGCTCTCCCCTCCCTACTAAATATTATATGGTAAGGTTCTTCCCCCTCGCTGGTGGATTACAGGGACGTTAACGAAGTAAGTTCGAATCTTTCTCTAATATTGACGACATCAGGTTAAGGATTTTTCTCTCTTGCTTCAACAAACAGTACATCAGGTTGTGTCTCGTCTTACATCTTCAAGATTATGTGGAAAGTTTGGTGACAAGAAATACCATGAATCGTAGTTTGTGTCTTGAGTGAGATATTCAAGATACGAACATTTCAGAATTCACCATTGCGTCGTAACTTGAGTGAATTAGTGTTACGCATCGATACGTGATATATGCTGATTGGCTTACCAGGTGTGACATGATCAGAGAAGTGCATCATTCACACCTCTACATTGTGTGTGTGTGTGTTGCAGGGTGACGTAGCAACACCGTGGCAGATGTAAACAATGAGTTGTGTTGCAGGTGGACGTGGCATCATTGTCGCAACAGGTGGAAGAACGCCGGCGTCAGGAGGAGGACGCCAGGCGCACCCAGCAAGAGTTTGAACGTCTGGCAGCCACGCAGGACAGAGCCGCACTTCTCCTACAGCACCAGGAAAACAAGGTTGGTAGTTTTTTTTTGTTTAATTAGCGCTGTCTACACTCTACTGGTTCCTTTCTTTCTGTCTGTTATTGTATCTCAGGACACAATAACGCCCGGCACAGGAGTGTTGTTGTGGTCATCAAAGCTACAAACTTCAGGTAGTCAACAGACTTTATTTCCTCAGTGTCTATATAATTGTGTAAATTTGCTCCACGCTCCAGGTTGTATGAGTTAGGTCCCAACCCTTAAAACAGTCACCAAAACGTATAACAGCTTCATCATGGAATAACATCGCTTACAGTTTCTCAAGACAACCAGTGTCAAAAAAACAGTCAAATCCACCAGTAACATCCTGTGCCACGACTTAGCTGCTGGTGAAGTCTTCTAGTGTCTGGTGCCATATTAGTACACAAAGTCAAACAAGAGATAGCCAAGCCAGGACAACAACCTTTCCGGCTCTACTATCCCAATGACTATCAGCGTCTCAGAGCTCTACCAGCTACTGACGTTCCAACCCTCTTCATCAACTCTTTCACTCATCCCTCTATTCTTCTTCCTCTCACTCCCCCAACTTCTCTCCTTTCCACCCCCTTATTCTTTTTCGTTCCCACTCCCCCTAATCTTCTCCCCCTACTCTCCCTTATCTCCCAGGATGCAGGTTGTCATGGTAACTGCTCTAATCCACTCCCTACATAAAAGACTCCCACCTAGTACCTCCCACCTAGTACCTCCATCTAGGGAAGGGAGGGAAGGGAGGGTGATGGAGGGAAGGGAGGGTGATGATGGAGGGAAGGGAGGGTGATGGAGGGAAGGGAGGGTGATGGAGGGAAGGGAGGGTGATGGAGGGAAGGGAGGGTGATGGAGGGAAGGGAGGATGATGGAGGGAAAAGGAGGATGATGGAGGAGGAAGGGAGGATGATGGAGGAAGGGAGGGAAGGGAGGGTGATGGAGGGAAGGGAGGGTGATGGAGGGAAGGGAGGGTGATGGAGGGAAGGGAGGATGATGGAGGGAAGTGAGGATGATGGAGGGAAGGCAGCGTAATGGATTATTAATTAATTTTAATGCTGCCATTTACAGTGGGTAGTTTATTGTGCACCCCATACTCATCCTGTGAGCGGTAGCGCAAAAGGATTACAGAGTAGAGTTCACAAAGGGTCAGTATAACTAACCCCAGTGGTCAGGATGTTATGGCATTGAATGTTACAAAGACTTTCATATACATTCATAGTTTAGTTCTTTACATAGAAGGTAGCTTATTCGTAACTACGTGGCGTACAGCAGTGTGAGGCAATATGTCTGGCCGCACACTTTGTTATTGAGAGAGAGAGAACTAGCTTGATTTACATTGATATATAATTTACTTTACAAGGAATTAATAATAAAAAAATGTCGACATCGTTATTTTTTTTATGTTTGAGTGTAAGGTGTGAAGGGTGAGGTGTAAGGGTGAGGTGTAAGGGTGAGGTGTGAAGGGTGAGGTGTAAGGGTGAGGTGTAAGGGTGAGGTGTAAGGGTGAAGTGTAAGGGTGAGGTGTAAGGGTGAAGTGTAAGGGTGAGGTGTAAGGATGAAGTGTAAGGGTGAAGTGTAAGGGTGAGGTGTGAAGGGTGAGGTGTAAGGGTGATGAGGTGGGATGAAGTGTGAAGGGGTGAGGTGTAGGGTGGGGTGTGGGGTGGGGTGTGGGGTGAGGTGGGGTGGGGTGTGGGGCGGGGTGTGGGGTGAGGTGTGGGGTGGGGTGTGGGTGGTGTGGGGTGAGGTGTGGGGTGAGGTGTGGGGTGAGGTGTAAGGGGCGAGGTGTGGGGTGAGGTGCAGGGTGGGTGTATGGGTGAGGTGTGGGGTGAGGGTGTGGGATGGAAGTGTGAGGGTGAGGTGTGGGGTGAGGTGTGGTGAGGTGTATGGGTGAGGTGTAAGGGTGAGGTGTGGGGTGAGGTGTAAGGGTGAGGTGTGGGGTGAGGCAAGGGTGAGGTGTAAGGGTGAGGTGTGGGGTGGGGTGTGGGATGGGGTGTGGGGTGAGGTGTGGGGTGGGAGGTGTAAGGTGGGGGTGTAAGGGTGGGGTGTGGGGTGAGGTGTGAAGGGTGAGGTGTGGGGTGAGGTGTGGGGTGGGGTGTGGGTGAGGGTGTGGGGTGAGGTGTGGGGTGAGGTGGGGTGGGGTGTGGGGTGTGGAGGTGTAAAGGGGCGAGGTGTAAGGGTGAGGAGGTGTAAGGGGCGAGGTGTAAGGGTGAGGTGTAAGGATGAGGTGTAAGGGGCGAGGTGTAAGGGTGAAGTGTAAGGGTGAGGTGTAAAGGTGAGGTGTAAAGGGGTGAGGTGTAAAGGACCACCCAGACTTAGTTATCGCCAGACGAACGTGAACATCAACCACTTAATAACGATATGAGTCTGATATCCAGTTTAACGCCAGACGAAGAATTTGTGTTCGCCAGGCTCGTGAGGGTCGTCGGCAAGAGCTAGTGCAGTACTGGCGTGAAGAGCAACGACCAGAGAGACGCAGGGAGTACGACCTTAACTCTCACGACCACCTCACCTCCACCCTGTACCAGCTGAGGTGAGTGTATCCTGTTAATTGTGCCAGCTGAGGTGAGTGTATCCTGTTAATTGTACCAGCTGAGGTGAGTGTATCCTGTTAATTGTAACCAGCTGAGGTGAGTGTATCCTGTTAATTGTGCCAGCTGAGGTGAGTGTATCCTGTTAATTGTAACCAGCTGAGGTGAGTGTATCCTGTTAATTGTATCCTGTTAATTAACTTAGCAGCTGAGGTGGAAGTGTGTCACATTAATTATGACAGCTGAGGTGAGTGTATGTGGTAATTGTAACCAGCCCCAAAGTGTGAGTGTATCCTGTGTGTACCTTCAGTGAGTGTATCCTGTTAGTGTAACCAGCTGAGAGTGAGTGTATCCTGAGCCAATTGTGCCAGCTGGTGAGTGTATCCTGTTAGTGCAACCAGCTGAGGTAGAGTGTATCCTGTTAATTGTGCCAGCTGAGATAGTGTATCTCATTAATTGCCAGCTGAGTGAAGTGTATCCTGTAGTGTACCAGCCTGAGGTGAGTGTATCCTGTTAGTGTACCAGCTGGGGTGAGTGTATCCTGTTAGTGTACCAGCTGAGGTGAGTGTATCCTGTTAATTGTGCCAGCTGAGGTAGAGTGTATCCTGTTAATTGTAGCAACAGCTGAGTGAGTGTATCATGTAAATTAGCACCAACTGAGGTGAGTGTCCTGTTAATTGTACCAGCTGGTGGGTGTGTCCTGACTAGTGTAACCCAGCTGAGGTGAGTATATCCTGTTAATTGTACCAGCTGAGATGAGTGTGTCCTGTTAATTGTACCAGCTGAGGTGAGTGTATCCTGTTAATTGTAACCAGCTGAGGTGAGTGTATCCTGTTAATTGTACCAGCTGAGGTGAGTGTATCCTGTTAATTGTACCAGCTGAGGTGAGTGTATCTATTAGTGTACCAGCTGAGTGAGTGTATCCTGTTTAATTGAAAGCTGCCAGCTGAGGTGAGTGTATCCTGTTAATTGTACTTAGCTGAGGTGAGTGTATCCTGTTAATTGTGCCAGCTGGGGTGAGTGTGTCCTGTTAATTGTAACCAGCTGGGGTGGGGTGTGTCATGTTAATTGCTGCCAGCTGAGGTGAGTGTATCCTGTTAATTGTGCCAGCTGAAGGTGAGTGTATCCTGTTAATTGCTTGCCAGCTGAGGTGAGTGTGTATCCTGTGGTGTACCAGCTGAGGTGAGTGTATCCTGTTAATTGTAACCAGCTGAGGTGGTGTCCTGTGGTGTACCCAGCTGAGATGGAGTGTGTCACATATTGGTGTACCAGCTGGGAGTGAGGTGTATCCTGTTAATTGTAACCAGCTGAGGTGGAGTGTATCCTGTTGGTGTACTTAGCTGAGATGAGTGTGTATCCTGTTAATTGTACCAGCTGGGGTAGGTGTATCCTGTGGTGTACCAGCTGAGGTGAGTGTATCCTGTTAATTGTACCAGCTGAGGTGAGTGTATCCTGTTAATTGTACCAGCTGAGGTGAGTGTATCCTGTTAATTGTACCAGCTGAGGTGAGTGTATCCTGTTAATTGTAACCAGCTAGACGACCAGAAAATGAACTCATGTTACAGGCTAGGTTAGGTTAGGTTCAGTGAGAAAAATTAAAAGTAAAAATTGCAAAAAAAAAACCTATGTAGATCGTGTGACTAAAAAATACAAGAAAAATTTGTTTGTTTTTAAAATTACGACAAAAATCACCATAAGTAAATGCCTTTTATTTTAGTTAATATAAACAAATTATTGGATGAGGCATAATTTTTTTTTACATTCGCTTTAACAAATTAATTCAGCTTGTATAAATCCCATGTATAAATATAATACATTTGATATATTGGTGTTGGTTTAATAGTAATTTACATATATAAATCATTTACCCCTAATAGCAGATTTTTTGGCCGATTTTAGTTGTGTCACCGATTTATATTTTTAACCCAATCGATATAAAATTTGTCTCTACAGTAAACCCTCTCTGTACCGGACAATATACGAGAAGTTAGTCCGTTAGATTGAAGTCCGTTAAATATGAAATCTGACGGACTATATGTAAGAGATTAGTCCGGTGAATCAAAGTCCGTTAAGAAGTTTCACTGTATATTAAATTTTTCCAAGGTAGAAACGTTTAACGCCCTAACCTAAGCTAACCTAAACTAACCTTACCTAACCTTACCTAACCTAACCTAACCTAACCAAACTCTAACCTAGCCCAAATGACCTCCGGCAGGTTTGACGGGGAGGACTTGGGTTTTGGTGAACGTGTGAAACAGCAGCAGGAACAGACGAAGGCGTGGCTCTGGCAGCAGCAGGAGGACCAACGCCAACGTCTTCTGCAGGAGAAAGAGAGGGAGAGGTAGGTGTTTGTGTTACTGGCCAAGGTGTGTGTGTGAGAGACAGAGAGATAGACAGTCAGACAGAGGTACTACCTGGCCAAGATTTGAGAGAGAGAGAGAGAGAGAGAGAGAGAGCGAGAAGTGCCTTTATTATATGACAGAACTGTAAAGACACCTGTTAACCTATCATACCATAACCACCATCATCCACAGGTGTATAGGCGGCGTGTATGTATGTATGTCTGGTGTGTGTGTGTGTGTGTGTCTGGTGTATGTCTGGTGTGTGTGTGTGTGTGTGTGTGTCGTAAACCCTCGTCGGTGATGGATATAAAAGCTCACCCCAGAAGGACCAAGATATTATTATCGAGGGTAATCTTCTTCTCCATAATAACAACTTTCTCTCTCAAGTATCATGCAATCTCCCCCCCTCAGCGAGCCAGATCCAATCCAAGCACCTGGCTCAGGAAAGATTGGGCTTGTCACATCATTGGGAGTTGTTATATAATCCACCTATAGTCGTCAGCTGATATAGTGGGAATTGAGTCATTGATCGATACGTATCTTCCTATAATGAGGTCAAAGGTCATATAGGGAGTGTTAGAACCAGTTATTTATATATGTACATACCAGTTAATAATGTCGAGTTTTATCATCTATAGAACAACCAGTCAGTTATTCATATCTCTCTCTCTCTCTCTCTCTCTCTCTCTCTCTCCATGTATAGACGGTACTGTAGCGTGACTAAACGAACCATCTTTACTCTTGAGACAGGCAGACAGACTTGAGCTGATGTATAAGTGAAGTAGTACTTGACCTGCCAGAGAAACAGAAGCCTTAAGATAGTATCTACCTGAAGAAGGAGAGGACCTACCTGGAGAAGGAGAGGACCTACCTGAAGAAGGAGAGGACCTACCTGAAGATGGCGAGGACCTACCTGGAGAAGGAGAGGAACACTGTTATCACCAATCTCAATCTCCCGGACCCTTATTTAGTTTTACCTGGAGATTAACTCCTCCAGGTGTTGATTAGTTCATCTCGTAATTAAACTAATTAAACATCCTTCCGTTACCTGGGGAATGGAGAAGGGGTTAGCTTAGGTCAGGTTAGGTTAGATTAGGTTAAAACACAATAGGTTAGGTTAGTGGTTCTTCCCATTACTTATTGGTTCTTCCTGTTAATGAATGCCCCCCCCCCCCCTTGGTCGGCCAGGATGGAGCAGCTGGAGGTGGCGGAGGTGGACGAGAGGGCGAGGAAACTGACCGAGGCCGAAGAGCTGTGCCGACGGGCCGAGCAGCTGGCCATCGACCAATACAACCAGACTCTGGTAGGTACTCTCGGCTCTCTGTCATAACCTAACCTAACCTAACCTAACCTAACCTAACCTAAACTAACCTATCCTGACTAAGTCTAGCCGAATTTAACAGCGTCTATCTCAAATTAACCTAACCTATCCTAACCTGTCTCACCTAAACTTAGTCCAACCGAAGCTAAACTAACCTAGTCTAACCTAACCTAACGTAAACATTAGTACTGGGACATATTAAAACTTGTCTCTGCAGTCTTCAATAAACTCACCAGTACAGTACAGTGTCACGTTAATCTTCTACCGCCTGCGTGGGAACAGACTCGAGAGCGTGAAAGTGCCAAGGCTGCCGAACGCCAGGCGGACCTGAAGGCCGAGGAGCAGGAGCTGAGGAATGCCATCCTTGGCACCTTCCTGACGGAGGACCCAAGGATGGCCCGCAGCGCCCTCGGCCCCCACCGAGTGATCACCGACAGGTAGGATCACCCCACACACCTTCTGCCTCCCCCACAGGTAGGTCACGTCTCCTTCAGATCTACCTCTCCCTAGGCCACCCCTCTCCCAAGCCACCCTCTCATCTGCCAAGCCACCCCCCTCATCTGCCAAGCCACCCCCACCTCTCAAACCCCACCCCACCCCACGCCACCCCTAGATCACCCACCGCCCAAATTCTGGATAAGCTTTCCTGCAATCTACCAACATCTCTCTCCTCTCCCTGTCTGTCTGTCCGTCTCCTCTCCCTGTCTGTCTGTCCGTCTCCTCTCCCTGTCTGTCTGTCCGTCTGTCTGTCTATCTTTTTGCTTCTCTCTCTAACTCAACTGCCTAATGTAACAAGAGTTTTATAAAGAATTTAACACCGATTTGAATAATTTGACGAATTAGACTGAGTCATCAACTTGTCAAAAAAATATAATATAAAAGTTTATTAAATTTACATACAGCCAAAGTTTAGTTGATTATGAGATATCTAAATTGACTTCACAACGTAAGAAAAAGACTTAAATTGGTTTGGATGATTCGTATGGATTTTTATTACAGGTGGAAAGGTATGACCCCGGAGCAAAGGCGAGAGATAGAGGAGACGCGTGTTCAACAAGTAGCTGAGAGGAAGGTTAGAATTATTGTTGTTATTATTATTAGTTTTATTTCTGTCATTGATTAAGAATATTACAGGTAAAAATACAGGTACAGGTATATTATACGTAATCTCTTGAGTATAATATATGGATGTATGATGACTTAACCCCTTGAGTATGATAACTTAACACCTGGAGTATGATAACTTAACACCTGGAGTATGATAACTTAACACCTGGAGTATGATAACTTAACACCTGGAGTATGATAACTTAACACCTGGAGGATGATAAGTTAACACCTGGAGTATGATAAGTTAACACCTGGAGTATGATGAATGAACTCTTTGAATACGATGAAATATTTGCCTGACTAATATATATGACAGGTTCAAGAGGTTATGTCATCATACTCAAGGGGATAGGTCATTATACCCCAGGTGTTAAGTTATTATACTCAAGAGATTAAGTCATCATACTCCTGGTGTAAAGTTATCATACTCAAAAGATTAAGTCATCATGTACAAGGGGTTGAATTCGTCAGGTTAATAAGGACTTACCTGACACGCGTAGCATTAATTAAAAAATCCTTTCACCTTCATTTACACTTGAAAGCACAAATACATATAGCCGTTATTCCTAGTTTTTACAGAGTTCATTAAAATTTAATATTTTACCTGGAGGCAATTTTGTTTTTCTTGTTATCACGAGTAGGTAACACTTCTACCACCCCTTACTGACAAACTGATTATCGTTTTCCAAGGAGTGTTTTTTTTAACCTGACTCATTCTATTAATTGTTACTTTATATTTTATCATGTTAATATCCCATCACCTCCCCACCGCCCTGATTTTGCATTTGTTTATCATTTCTCATTTGTTTACACAGTGAACTACAAGAGGTGAGGTGGTAGGTAGTTAAGGTGTATAAGTTGACTATGGTCTAAGTTGATTATTATTATTATTATTATTAAAGTGAAGCGCCCTTGTGTTGACAGCGTCGGGAGGAGAAGGAGCAGCGGGAGGCTCGGTCGTGGGAAGACTTGGCAACTCGGGCAGATCGAGCTGCCCTTCTGCTGGCCCACCACGAAGACCTTCATACTAGGTAAGATAAGGCCATGGTGACCCTTCAGTGATAAGACTCATGGTGATAGATAACCTAACCTAACCCACGATGCTACTCCAGGTTTGTATTAGTTGTCGTGACTAAAATATAAAGGAGAGAGAGAGAGAGAGAGAGAGAGAGAGAGAGGCCAACCCGAGTATATGTGACCTCCCTCTGAGCTCAGTAACAATCAATTTCAGTGCTGCAGGACGACCCAGTATTGTCAACAACCTGTATGTGTGACCTTGACCTCCCCGGAAGCCTACAGTAATAATAAGAATACATAAAACATATTCATCTATCAGTTAGGTCAGGTAAGGTGGATGTTGGGTGGAAAAGCAATTACAAATATTCACTGAGGTCCTCTAACGTTACACAGGAACCGGGAGGCGACGCTGACGGCGACCAACACCCGCCTGGCGGAGGAACAGCGGCAGGAGCGTCTACGACTCGACACTCTGATGACCACCAACGTCCCCACTCAGGAATACTACAGCCAGTTCGGTGTCTACCCTCGCTAGTGACCCACCCGGCAAAAACCACACTAATGCAGGAATGACCAGCACTGATTGGTCAATTCTCATCATGATATAGGGGCGGTATGGATACAGCACACCGAAGAACTAACCTAACCTAACCTAACCAAAAGTACATTCTCTTGGTTTTTTGTCATACACTATCATATAAGACAAATTACTCAATAAATATTATATAAAATAGTTATTTCGTTTTACAATTACTTTCATTTCTTTAAAAAAATAATGAACATTTGATAAGCAAAGGTTCAAAGTGATTCGTTAAATGTTTTCCTTTTGGTATATTATTGTGTATGGCATAGCCGACTCCTGTGTGTGTGTGTGTGTACTCAGCAGGGGGCAGGGGGAGGCATTGTTCATAACACGCACCACAGAGGGAGCTGCCATGATATAAACATCACCTGACAATCATCCAGCGGTAACAGAATGATATGAATATTCATTTATTTCACCTTCGTTGACGAGCTGTTAGGTGGCTCGAGAGGCCGATAATAGGATGAATCATTAATACACGCGTCCAGAGGGTCATTAACAAGTAAAGAGAACTGGTGGGTTTAGGAGCGTCAACTGAGGTGAAGTCTGGAAGGAACTTTTATACCTATACACAGCGAGGCCAACAGGTGTGTTTGAGACCACAGAAACAAAAACAATTAATTAAACTCACCGCATATAAACACCTCACATTGTTCTCTACCTGTCTAGAGTGTGTGTGTGTGTGTATTCACCAGTAGAGCCACAAAATTAGGGAATGTATAAAAATAACCCTTACGAGGAACATAATGAATGGTGCACCTGTCGTATGAACATTATACAGGGGGAAAGGGAAGTCATTTTCCCAGTTCCAGGTTGATAGGTGTTGATAATGACCTCTGACCTGATCGATATATTAATGCGGATTAAATCGATAGTGATAATCATTTACATCTTTATTATGTTAACAGAAAAATCGGTAGAGATGTGTAGTGAATGCAAGAGAGAGAGAGAGAGAGAGAGAGAGAGAGAGAGAGAGAGAGAGAGAGAGAGAGGCTTGTTACTGTCCGTCCATTTGCTTGAGTACTTCGTCAGGTTCAGCAAGGCGGTATAGTGTAGTAGGTGTTGAGGCTGGCTGCTGCTGACGTTAACGTGTACACCCAAGACCAGACCAGCTGACCACACTTGATGGTACACACACACACCCTTGTCGTAACTCTACCAATCAGTAGCTTCAATTATTCACCACACAACGTTAATTAGCTGAGCTGGACACCTGTCACACACACACACCTGTACCCATGTGTTAGAGGGAGAGAATTTTACAGGTGTGAAGCTGTAAGCAGTTTAGCCTTGTTTAGTCTGTAACCAGTACAGCAACCAGAGTATTATACACGATGGATGAATAAGTTTTCATCATGCATTTTACATTGACCTGGCCAGACGCAGCTGCTTTAGTCACGTACACGGTCTGGCGACAGTGTGTCCACCAGAGATGTCTCAATATGACGATATCCCCTTTGAAGCTCATTACTTATTCAATTAGTGGCTCTTACTTGATAACTAGGTACTTTGATTATCACTAATAGACTTCCAAGCATTTAATATAAATTATTAGTCAGATTAGTTAGATATTTGCAACGTCAATTAAGGATGATTCACGGCTCTAACGAGATCATTTCCAGACAGCTGTTTCAGTAACGCTTCTAGTTGCTTGGACCCATGCATCATCCCTCGTGACGTCATTGTCAGTTAGCCGTGGTAGGTCCGCCCTGGTATAGCTAGTCAGTCTTTAGCTGGACACCACACATTACTGATCTATCACTGAACAGTAGCCTGAGAGACCCCTTCAGTCCTAGCAGATCTAAATAGTATCTCTAACACTGTTCTCAAGCTCACAGTCCTCAGTCCCAGATCAAGTGGCCAGCCTCTCTGTAGCTACAAGTATAAATATATATCTGTACATATAACTGCTTGTATCCGTCCACCCATCTCAGAGAAGTGAACTAAACCAGACGTTTTTTTTTAAATATCTGGTAATTCCATAATTAAATGAGAGTCTTCAGAGGAAGTTACAGTGACGTTATAGGGGAAGTCACAAAGCCAGGTGTTCGATATCCAGGTGAGGGACAAGAGGGAAACATGGTGGCAGGAAATACAGGTATATATGTCAGGTGTGTTTATCATAGTAGCTTGATTAGTCAGGTGTGTGTGTGTGTGTGTGCTGGCTATCTTTTCTACCTTTATCCAACTCTCACTTCGTCTCCTTTACTTTTCTCTCACCCTCTATTCTATTCCCCCTCCCGAGGCACCGACTCTATTCAGGGATAGTGAAGAAAGCAAATTAAGTGAGATAGTAGTGACTAGTAGCGATGTTAGTAAGCAAATAGACAAACTAAAGCCTAATAAGTCACCTGGTCCCGATGAGATATTTGCCAGAGTATTAAAGGAATGTAAGGAGGAGCTTAGTATGCCCTTAGAAAAGTTGTTTAACATGTCCTTAAAAACAGGTGTAGTACCAGAATCCTGGAGGATAGCGAATGTAATACCGATTTTCAAGAAGGGGGATAGATCACAATCCTCTAACTACCGCCCAATCAGCCTAACATCAATAGTAGGCAAATTACTAGAATCAATCATTTCAAACTCTATTCGAAACCACCTGGAGAAGCACAAGTTGATCAATGATTCCCAACATGGCTTCACAAGCGGACGCTCATGTCTAACTAATCTATTAACATTCTTTTCATCAGTTTTCGAATCGGTGGGCGAGGGGCACAATTATGATGTGGTATATCTCGACTTTAGCAAAGCCTTCGACAGAGTCCCCCACGAAAGACAAATTGGAAAGGTAGAAGCACATGGCATCAAAGGTAATATCCTTAAATGGATTAGGGCGTGGTTACAGGACAGGAAACAGCGAGTGAGCATTAACGGCACTAAGTCCCATTGGAGCAACGTCACTAGTGGAGTTCCCCAAGGCTCAGTACTTGGACCATTATTATTTATTATATACATAAACGACATAGATATAGGCATAGACAGCAACATAAGTAAATTTGCTGATGACACTAAAATAGGACGTGTTATTAAATCTGACGAGGACTCCGCAAAACTACAGGAAGATCTAAACAAATTTTTCGAATGGTCTGAAAAATGGCAGATGAAATTCAACGTGGACAAATGTAAAGTACTCAGAATAGGAGATGTAAACAGGGAAACCAGATACCAGATGAACAACGATGCCATAGAGAAATCCGACTGCGAGAGAGATTTAGGAGTAATGATAAGTTGGAACCTTAAGCCAAGTAAACAATGTGTTTTTGCTCGTAACAAGGCTAATAAAGTACTTGGGTTCATACAAAGGAGTGTTAGTTACAAGACTAGCGAGGTCATCCTAAAACTGTATCTTGCTCTTGTGAGACCACACCTGGATTACACAGTTCAGTTCTGGTCACCGTATTACAGAATGGATATAGAATCCTTGGAAGAATTCCAGAGGAGATGAAGAAAATGTGCTAGTTGAGGCTGTGTGTGAGAAGGACCTAGGTGTTATGTTGACAGCTGGCTAAAGTTCTCAGGCCATTGTGAGAAGAAGGTAAATCAGGCAAATAAATTATTGGGTCTTATAAGAAGGTCGTTCAGATATCTAGACGGTCCGTCCCTCGTGACGATCTTCAGGAGTGAAGTGCTTCCCCATCTGGAGTACTGTCACCCCATCTGGTCCCCGAGATATGCTGGGGACTGTCAGTTGGTTGAAAATGTTCAAAGGAGGGCCACCAAGCTGGTGCCTGCACTTCGGCATCTCAGCTACCCTGCGAGATTGGAGCGCCTGAACTTGCCTAGCTTATACTACAGACGGGCAAGGGGGACCTAGTTGAGGTTTATAAGCATCTCAGGGGGCACTACTCAGTTGAGTGTCCTTACTTGGAGCTGGCGGACGCTCGCCCCACAAGGGGTCACAGCTCAAGATTGAAGAAGCCGCAAGTCCGGAAAACCGTGAGGGCAAACTTTTTCAGGTGAGGTTGTAAACTCTTGGAACAATCTACCAGAAAGTGTTGTGACGGCACCAGGTGTGGTACTTTCAAGAAGACTTGGGCTAAACACTGGGCAGGTTTCAGGTACATTCAGGAGCCGGTGCATGCCCCAGTATTTGCCAACAGTGCGGCAACCAAGAAGGGCAGCCCAGCCAATCCTTGGGCAGCTATGAAGCCGACCTTTGGTGAAGAATATAAGGAAAAGAGTCTGACCGATCGCCCAAGCGGCTAACAAGCCGATCAGTGGCGAAAAGAGGATAAAAGTAAAAGTAAAGACAATTAATCCCGGGCATTAGGAACCTTGAGTATAGAGATAGGTTAAAGCATCTTAATTTGCACTCCCTCGAGAGACGTAGAGCGAGGGGCGACCTGATAGAGGTGTATAAATGGAAGTCAGGGCTAAACAAAGGGGACATTACAAAGGCACTCAAACTATCCAACCAGGAGCGAACTCGTAACTCGTAGACAAATTTAGATTTAGGCGCGAAATAGGTAAACACTGGTTTGGAAACAGAGTAGTGGCTGAATGGAACAAGTTACTAAATATCATCATTAACTCGAATACGTTGAATAGCTTCAAACATAGATTGGATGCTTGTATGAGCAATAGGGGTTGGGTGTAAACGGGACTGCCCAGTATGGGCCAATAGGCCCGCTGCAGTTTCCTCCATTCTTATGTTCTAATCCTCCCACACATCTCAAGATAGGGTCGGTATTGGAGCCTCTTCAGGTGAGTCGGGTCGTTAAGCCTTCACCTGAATGTCGGGATCAACTTTCCTAGGTGACCACCTCAACACCTGGCCACCACCTCACGTACATACGACCTGATGACTGATGATGAGGATGATGATGAAGATGACTATTTATGATTCTAACGCTGATGATTCACCAATATCGATCTCTCAGAGGACACGAAGCTATCCCGAAGAAGGTGGAGCATTTAGTCACTGGACTCCTGAAGACGCTACTGACTTGTCGCTACGAGGAACGGACCCAACCCTACCTGCAGTACATCACCTCCGACAGGTAAGTGAAGAAGGGTGAAAGAGAAGGAGAAATATGAAAAGAAGAGAAAAGGGGAAAGTGAGGGAGGAAGGAAAGAGGATACTGGAAGTGTATAAAGATCATATTCAGTCGATAGGTAGGTTAACTTTTTCTGCTGTGGGAGGGAAGGGGGGAAAGGTAGAGAGAGGAAGGAGAAATGGAGTACAAAGATCAAACTCAACCTTACCTCAGAAGTTCGTTTGTAAACATCACTGAGTTCCAACACATTGAGGTGGCTGGTTCACGTCTTCACCACGAAAATATCTGAAAAACAAAAGTAAGAAATTTGTAATTTCTCAAAAAAATTAAAATAAATACATTCTAGTTGTAAGAAATCTAATTTAATTTAGTTTCCCATAAAAACCTTTTCTGTACACTAAAGAAAACTTAAATATACGGGGTACTAATAAATGTATTTTTATTTACTTATTTACTTTTTAATAGCTGAATTGTGCCAAAATAAATTCACTTGTATGACGATTATATTGGATACAATTTTTTTTTATTATACTGGAATACGATAATGCACTTTAGAAGATAACTGCTTTCTTACATTATGCGAATGCTAGAGAGTTTATGAGGAATACGCACTTCATATTAATTTACGATATAAGGTGTTCAACTATGAGTGATCAAATGTAGTTAGTTTGCTAGAGAGATAGACATTTAATTAAACCTTCATACATTTATCCCGCAAGTATATATAGACAATATAGGTATAAAACAAAATTTCAACCTGGCATTCCTACAGTAGGCTATGTGATGCAACTAGACCTGAAAGGTTAATCTGAACTATCTTAGCCTTATCAAGACTGATCCTCGTTCTCTCCTGCAGGTACAGGTTCCTGCTGCAGAAGAACACCCGTCTGGTGCCTCTCTGCAAGAACGGGAAGGGCATATGTCTGGGCCCCGGGATAGTGACCACTCCACCCTCTGAACCTGGACAAAACTGTCAGTGTTAAGGCTAGCGGCCCTCAACCAGGTACTGTTGTCGACCTCCAGGCACCACTGTCTACAACCAGAAGTACGATAGGAGTGCTGAGTGTAACAGTTAAGGAACACCCAGGCTGCTACATCTTCAAGTTGTCATGTACTGGTGGAGGTCACCTGATCAAACCAGCCTACAGCAAGTTGTTAGGAAGACAACCTCTTATGAGGCTGTCTTCCTATCTAATTCTACCACCAACATCTACGACCTTGAATTTTATAGTCATCTCTGCCGTTATTTCCATCTATTTCTGCCATCTCTCGTCATCTCGAATCATTTTTTCCATAATTCATTATTTCAGCGTCATTTCCTGCCATCTCTCATCTCCCACAGGACTCAGAGCTTGACCTTGGTTAGGTGCCACTCTTGTCATGGTCTGCCACTTAGCAAATCAGGCGCCTACTAAGTCCAAGAGTACATGTAATTAGCCAATCATAAAGCTTATTAGGCCTAGGAGTATAGGTAATCAGCCAACCATGCAGCTTATAAGGCTTAGGAGTACAGGTAATCAAGCCAATCATGAAGCATATAAGGCCCAGGAGTACAGGTAATCAGCCAATCATGAAGCATATAAGGCCCAGGAGTACAGGTAATCAGCCAATCATGAGGCTTATAAAGTCATATTACATTAGAAGGACAATTATATACCAGAAGGCTTATTAAAACTATTAGAAAGATAGTCACATACTAAACTGTATTAGATTACTAATTATATATACTGTACTGTATATAATAAGGATAGACATATTACTGTAGTTGGATAGTTAGGAAACAGACTGAGTTTCTATTCTCGTATTTTAATAATTTCTTCTATATTTTCCCTCTTCAATCTGTCCACCTCAACAGCTTTTCCTTCACCTACCCCTCCATACACTCTGTCATTCCTCCTCCAGTTCTACACCCTCTTCCTCTCCTCCTCCAGCAAGAAGCTCCCTCACAGGTTCCTGGTGGTAAGGTTCGAGGACTTGGCCACTGAATTCGTCGTATCTTCGAGTTCATAGAGCTGCCGTTGACACCCGAGCTGGCTGTGTTCCTCGATGATACAACAAACACCCAGGTCCACAGGAACGACCGCGACGATGACTACTTGTTATGAAAGAGAGCTCCAGGAACGACAAAATACATCTTTAATGTAGACAGACAGATACGAGAATGATATATTTGTTGTGTGAAAGACAGAGTGCCACAGAAATGACAACAATATCATTAATGGGCGACGAAGGTGCATTTTCCGAGAAAACCTCCAGAAACTCTCCCAATTTTTTTTCCAACTCTACGAACAACCCCGAGAACGAAATAATGCATAATCCTGGAAACCCTGAGAAAATTCTGGAAACACACTCCCTTTTTCTGGGTTTGGAAGGAAAACCCGAGGATGAAATAATGCATAATTTCGGGAAAATTCTGAAAGTTTTCACAACACCCGGAAAAATTACGGGAATGTGGGTTTGAAAGAGCCGTCTAGTTACCCAGAAATCTCTCATCCCCAGAGGGGCTCTGTTCCAATTATATCACTGTAGGTGGAGAGAGAAGTCCGTTAGATGGAGGTTTCACTGTACTGTCGTCATTTCAAAGACAAATTAAATAATTAGCATTAAATGGCAGTTTTTCATTAAGGGAAAGAGTTAAAAAATATATATATTTTTTTAGATCTTGTGTCTTGACTGTACATGTGTGTTATAACTTAATAACAATGATCTTATTTATTGCAGATACCTTTATGATTTACTGGTAAGAAAGTCTGAGTCAATTGTGAAAGTTTAAATTAAGTGAGACATTGGCTAGCAACCCAACCCAGTTCTTGTGTGATACTGTGACAAAACTACTGTAGATACTATCAACTGGGTCTTAAATCTCAAAATTACTTTATGTATACATAACTTGTACAATGGAATATAGTCCAGTACAGTTACATCCTCACATTTTAGGTGCTGAGAGGCTCAAGATGAAAACAAAAAAAAAATTAATTTTCCGATGGGCTTCTGTAGGAATTTGGAAATATATAAAAGATACACCTTGTTAGGCAGGTAGGTGGAGGAAGGACATATATAACATCTCATTAATAAAGACCTCTAACTGTTACACTCTCTGTATGTTGATGAGAGGTTTAATTAACCTTATACACTCAATCTATCCAGAATATAGAGGAAAAGAATTATAGGGAGAAACTTTCTTCATAAAATCTATTTCTTGATACAAATACTCACATTACAATACAGACCCACATATTATGAATGGTGATACAAGTCAATATGTAGTAAACAATAATGGTGTTCATTATCTAACATACAGTATTCACTATTAATGCCATGAAAAACCTGGAAAGTTAAAAAGTCCTTATTCAAAAAGGACCTCTCAATACACGCTATATAAAATGTATATCTTATTACTAGCTACTGTACTGTGATTTATTAGACACTTGCATTATCTAAATAAATTACACATATCTTTGTATTATATTCTAAATAAAACATCACAAAACCCGTACAGTATTCTGATGTTTATTTTCCTTAGCTAAAATTAACCTGACTCTATTGTTGTCTACTCAAATACTATGTCTCTGAAAAATACAGTTTGTCATACGTCAGAACTCATAAAACCTCCTTGATATACAAATATACACCAATCATGTTTATATCACACAAACTATTACATATAATAAATGCTAATTCAACAAGATAGTAAAACAGTAATTCTTCATAACTCTTAGATGGCATTAACAACACGAGAGCCACCGCATCACTCAATGACCGAGGCTAAACAAAGTTCATTTCAAGCCAATATGCCACCATGAGAACAGAGACCTTGCAGGGCTGGATGAGAAGGTATCAATAAATGCACTGTACACTTGGGAGTGGGGTGGAGCTGTGTTGTAATGGCAAAATACCAACTTACCAGGTATTCTAACATGTGAACTGTACCTAGCCACTTCAAAATGGTCAAATTAATTAGTACTGTTTGTAACCATCCAGTTCTAATTTTGGATCTTATGGAACCAAGTGATAAATATCCATGGCATAGGTGCTCCATTAAGGACAGCCTATTTTATTCTTAAATCAACCTCTCAAGAGAATAGTGAGTTTTCTATTGTTTTCATGATTTATCTGATCATAATTTCCACCATTACATCTGCATAAGCTGTCAACGTGTAAAATGTATTATTATTATATTTGATAAAAGTCCTTCAGTGTTTCCTCATCTGATAAATCCAGTCCACAGTTTGGATATTTCAATTTATCCAGTATTTCTAAGAGCTTCTGTCCTGTAGGTAACAAACTTCATGCATACCCACAGCTACTAGACAGTCACATCACCTCATCAATACATTGTACACATTTACAAAAGATATGAAAACATATTTTTTCACCCAACAACAGACTCACACATACAAAACACTTATCTGAATCCCTTATTATACTACATCAGCTCAAAACTAATGACAAAATATTTTAAAACATAAACTACTGTCTCCTATCTTCTTTTCTCTTGTGGGTGACCTTTATCTTTCTGTGTACAGTAATCATACGTTAATTAAAAAAAATTTTTTAGAAATATTTGGACAGTCACGGCAATTCCATTTATTTTTTTTTTCAGCTTTACCACAGCTTGTTCTTTGAGATGATAAATAATGTTCCTTAAACCAATACAGAAAGGGAATTATACAGTATACTAGTTCTGCCCATGACTGGTGTAGTATTTCTCTACTTTTGCTGTCAAAACCACCACCAAACATCACTGAAAGCTTCACAATCTAAATAATTTTCGGAACTGAATACAGTACAGTACCGTATATCATAAGCCATTAGTTGTACTGTGTGACTGGCCCACCAGCTGCTTCACCTGATATGATGCCACTGAATTTGTCTGCTAAACAAACAAGGTTATTTAACAGGTAGAATGAGATTTAAGACTTCAGAAAAAAATACACACACATACATGGCACTCATTACAACCTTTTGTTTAGAAAGAGAAATCATAGCTTCCCAGATTTTAAGACACTGAAAACTGACAGGATTAGTACGAACTTTCATGTTTTACAAAACCAGATTGTAAAATAATCCTTAAGACACTCCAAACACTGTCATGATTACCCTCTGTATAAACCCTCATGAGTTCTACTAGACTTTGTTTCATGAAAGGTTTTTATACCAACTGTACACTGGCAGTTTCTCAGCTATAGGAGCCTTTATGTGTTAATGGTTAAGATTTGTATGAAAAAGTGCTCTATATATAAAAATGGCTTCTAACCTGTATGCCCTTCCATATGTTTGACTAGAATAAATTTTCGTGAAAAGTTTTTAAGACACACTGAACATTGAAATGGTTTCTCTCCTGTATGGACTCTCTTATGTTCTACCAGATGAGATTTATATCGAAACGATTTATGACACTCGGAACACTGAAATGGTTTCTCCCCCGTGTGAACTCTCATGTGTTCTGTTAGATTAGATTTTCGTGAAAAGTCTTTAAAACAAACCGTACAGTGAAACGGCTTCTCTCCCGTATGACCCCTCATGTGGTCATCCAAACAAGATTTCTGTGTAAAGGTTTTCAGACACTCTGGGCACTGAAATGGTTTCTCTCCTGTATGAAGTCTTGTGTGTTTTACTAGAGAAGATTTCAGTGAAAAGTTTTTATGACACACCAAACATTGATATGGTTTCTCCCCCGTATGAACCCTCTTATGTGTTATTAGATAAGATCTTTGTGAAAAGTTTTTAAGACAAACCGGACACTGAAATGGTTTCTCCCCGGTGTGAACTTTCATATGTTCTACGAGATAATGTTTTTGTTTAAAGTCTCTTTGGCACACTGAACACTGAAATGGTGTTTCTCCTGTATGAATTCTCATGTGTAATGTTAAAGATGTTTTTCGTGTAAAGTTTTTAAGACATTCTGAGCACTGAAATAATTTCTTTGGTGCATGAGATCTCATGTGTAATACTAGCGAGGAATTTTGTGTAAATTTTTTAGGACATTCCGAACAATGATACGGTTTCTCTCCTGTATGGACCTTCATATGTGCTACAAGTTGATAATGGTGTTCGAAGCCTTTAACACATTCTAAACACTGTGACTGTTTTTCTCCTGTATGAATTTTAATATGTTTTTCTAGATCAGATTTTTCAGAAAACTTTTTAGGACAGACTGAACAATGAAGAGACTGCTCCTCAGAGTCACCTTCCATTCTGTGTGCAGAGGCGTATGTGATGTGGAACAAGATGATCCTCTCCAACTGTTCTTAAGAGACACAGGAAATTATTTACTATTCACACTAATCTATTAGAAGTGAAATGGAGAGACAAGATTATTTAATATCAATGATGAACACGAGGTAGACACTACACATGGTGCTGATGGAGGGTATTGTAACTGTACTTAATGTTACTGTTGCATGTGGCAATAAATAATAACTGGTTAACTTAAATAAATTGACTTTAAATTCAGGAGAAAGTCTTCATTCACTGAACTTGTATGTTTATAAATATTCACAGGGTTTCCTTAAAAATTTTCATATGCAAAACAGTACTGTACTGTACTGTATACTTCTACCCAATGTTGTGGCCATCTTCTTCTATATCACTATGTATGTTGATGGTACTGTATCTCATTTTATATCTGTGAAAAGAAACACCATTGTTAATGAAATAGTTGTAAAGGTTTTCTTTTTTATTATTTATTACAAAATAAAGACAACACTAGCAGAAGCTGGTAAAATTTCTGACTCACTGTTGTATGGTACTGTACTGGGTCCTCATTATGTTGATTTTACAGTATTGCTAATACCCTGTACTGTACTGATCCACATTTATATTACTGTATATAGTGAGAGTAATTTCTCGAGATTACTGTATTTTGTCATTCTATTTCTTCTTTTATCTTAAATTAAATGATTTTAGATGAATATAAGGATTTAGACTATGATATAGTGGGATTTTAAACATTGTTCTGTAAGTACGGTATGCACACAGCAAGTGTTCCGATTTTTGTACAAATCTGACTTAAGAACATTCTCAGGAACGGAACCCATTCGTGACCCGGGGACCCCTCTACTTTGTTAACAAATAGTAAGTAAGTAGTATTCTCCTTAATAATGTATCAAACAAACTAAATTTTTTTTAAGTATTTATATTCTCTCTAGAGCCAATTTCTGTGTGTAAGATAGATTTTAAACTTGGTAAAAAATATAAAAATTGTATTAAATATGTAATAACAGCATCCAACTCCCTGACATCCCTCAAGAGAAGCCCCTTGCCTTGTATCATCTCCCTCTGTCAACACCACAGGAAATAGATGAAATGTCTAAGAAGGATGAACAAATTTAGATTATGAGCATAAGGGCATCCCTCTATAGACAGAACCCCTGCACTGTCTGTAGGGAGGAAATAAATCTATTCTGTGTAACTGTTAAAAAATAAATAAAAGAAGGACTGGCATAACATAATACTTCCAATGAGAACCCACCGTGGTAACTCAGATTACAGTAATACCTCGCTTAGACTGACCCCACTTAGAGATACTTTGCTATACCTATACTAAGATGGAAGTATATTACAGTTAGTATTATTATTTATACATCGTCAAATGGGCGGGTGGCAGCGTCTTCATTAAAATTGTTATTCCTCCACCAGATTTATTTTAGTCTTAATATATGAAATAAGTTTTTTTTTTTCTGTATATTTTTTTTTTTCGTTCTGTAGCTTGATAACTTAAGACTCTTGTTGTTAAATATTACCTTAAGTATATTGTTAGGTTAGGTTAGCTTATGGGAATCACTCGTATATCATCAGCTCATAACTCAATTATCATTAACTAATAGTAATTGGTCTAGTAATCTCCCAGGAACAAGTGACATTTTCTGAATAAAAATAAAGGGAAAAAATTAAACAAAAATCACTGGTGTAAACGACGTAAGGATAAACCACCATTAACTATCTCGATCTAGTAGTTACCTCAATCACCTTACTTTAGAAAATTACCATAACTTTAATACCTACAATATCTTAGTTATAAAATCAATTACATGAACTTATAAGACTATTCTAATGACCATTACACCTAACTATCAATTACTTACGTCAAATACCATGTGATCACCAGCTCTCTACGCCACTGAGGACACCAACAACTATCAATTACCTTTTAACCAACATCGTTAAGGCTCTCTGTTTTATATCATGGGTTGTTGTTGATAAATAAAAGGAATATGTGAGTTGTTTATATTCCTCCCATGACGCCATTTGTTTTCCCCCAAGATCAAAACAAACTCAGGGAGGCGTTCGTGGAGTGGCGTTCGTGAGCGTATCCGGGATAAGAGGCAGATCCGGATTATCTAAAAAATAAACATTCCTTTTGCAAATTAATTATGATATCTATTTTTTTACAAAGGTTTTACTGCTGTATGTCTATATATTTGTCATATTATATAAGTGGTTCTATTTTAAGTGAGTTAGTTGGTTAACAACGTATCTAGATCAGTTTAGCACGTTCCCCTGTCAGTCTGTAGTGGAATTCTCCCCTACAAACGCTGTTTGTCGCTGCCTAGCCGACCCCACCAATTCCCCAGTGTATGCCTCGTGGTCTAGGTCAACCAGCGCCGCCAGACACCACGGAGCGGGGGTCAACTGCTAAGCCACGCCTACCCCCGCTATTTAAGACCTGACCTCGTGGTGATCTGTCTCTCTACCTACAGCCGCAGCCAGCAACACCTCCTCCTCCGCCTGCCTGGCGGCCCTCGCTCCCGCCGGCGAGCATGGCGACCCACAAGCTGTCCTTCTCTGAGCGTCCTCACCAACCAGCTCTCTCTACATCACGCTTGTAACCATGCTGTCTTCCCAGCACCAAGCTGCATTGTACATTCAATACAACATGTATACAGAGAGCACATTGTGAGTTTCCTTTCTCCATCCCATCCTGAGTGTGAACCAAACAATCTCATACCCCACAAGTCCCTTGCTATTAGAATTGCATATAATTCTTATTTATACATAAAATTTATTCATATATAACAAGGAACAGTATTGATATGAAAAAATTACCAAATATTAAAAGGCAGACAGAGTTCGAGTAAAATTTGTGATGTTGAGTATAATAGTTTCCCATCATAATAACTTCCTTTTTTTATGATACCTGACAGAAAATGAATCCATTGTTAATCTATGGCACACTAGTGTATTAAATGATTTCTTTCCCCTCTCTCTCTCTCTCTCCTCCTCTTTGCTCTCTCATCTCCTTCCATACTTCTGCTTCCATATTAATTTCACCTTTCCACTTTCTTCCTCCTCCCATTTTTCTCCCCGTACTCCTTCCTTCCCTTCTCAGTCTCTCTTCTTCTTCCTCTCTCTAATAATGCCCTCCTCCTCCTCCTCCTCTTCCCTCTTACTGTTAATGCTACAATCCTCCTCCCCCTCTTCCCTCTTTCGATTTACACCCTCTTCCTCCTCCCTCTTCCTCCTCTTAATCCCTCCTTGTCCTCTTACTCAACCATATTACCACTATCGTCCAATACGTTATTCACAGGTCGGAGCCAGCCATCGTGACGTTATACCTCAGAATGACTGTGATTGGTTGGTTAACTCTATGTTGTTATAATCTTATAGAGGGTGATGAAAAAAGTCTCCGAACAGGTACTTGGGGACTTTTATATCACCCTGTATGATCAACGGAGGAAATACTACAGTAAAGACTACTCCCAGTCCTCCACTCAACAGCGGGTATCGACTCTTGGGTACTCGTTAAGTGAGAGCTGCTTTGTATCACTGATGCCAACGATTAAACTGTCCCATTAACTAATTAGCATATACCTTGGATGAGATAATTAACATGTTTACATATACATACATAAATACATTTCAAAAATACACTGCCGTCAATTTACAAACACAGTGATTCACCCAATAACACACACACATACACACACAAACACACACACACACACACACACACACACACACACACACACACACACACAGCTTTGCTTGAGGTCATTCATTTGTAATTTACGTTGGTGGAGAATCTGGAGTATTTCTTCCTCCTCTCTCAGAGAATAAAACTTTTAAGTAAATAGTTTGTAAAGGTTGTCTTGTTGTTGTTGTTATTTAAGTGTTAAAATTTATTTAATTTCTATGTATAAATGAGGTTTCTGCATAATGTATACTTAATATATACTTATTAAATACATGGGGGTTATGTTTACACCTTTACTCTGAGTGTGTGTGTGTGTGTGTGTGTGTGTGTGTGTGTGTGTGTGTGTGTGTTACCCACTTTGAGGTGACTCCAATGGCGTTTCAAAAGTTGGTAGAGAGGAGTATAAAGACAAGATCCACCTATGTCACAGTGAGTCTCTGGGTACTCTACTAACACTACCACGTCACCTCTGTTAGCACTTCATATATAGACACAGGTGTTTTGGTCTGTCTCAAGTATGATGCTTTACAGGGCCCAAATGTCTATATATATTGGAGGGCAAGTTCGCTACTCTTCACACAGACAGACAGAGACAGACACACACACACACACACACACACACACACACACACACACACACACACACACACACACACACACACACACACACACACAAACACACACACATGAATCTTACGAAAAGTGACTATTCACAGGTTTCATTTTTAGAGGAAAAGGACGGGAGGAAAAAGAATGTGATAGCAATAGACGAGAGGAAAAAGTTGTGGGTCTCTTAGTTGGGTCTGCCCGCGGCGCTCACCTGTCCTCACAATGCCAAGTTGAAACCCCGGCTAAAGAAATTCTTGACAGCGGGGAAAATGAAACCGCTGACTTCATAAGGGCAAGAAGAAATAAATTGGACCTAGTGAACCAAGTTACACTGTGAGGTAAAAGGAAGGTTGGCAAGATTTCTTTTTCCATTTTTTTCCAGGAGGGGCGGTTAGGGGGGGGGTGGGGGGTGAGGGGTGGTGGGTGGGGGGTCGACGACTAGCGTATGTGGGAGAAGGTGATGGCACTGAAGGCGACATCTGACACCCACCACAACATAAAAACTATATTCAGATTCCATTCTTTAACCCAACCGTGTGTGTGTGTGTGTGTGTGTGTGTGTCTGTCTGTCTGTGTGTGTGTGTGTGTGTGTATAACCTTGGAACTCCTGTAAGATGTTTCTGAAGAGGATCCGTGATGTGGGGTACTCATCTTTGTAAAATATCGAGTCATTTAGTTTATATCACAAAACCCACCGTCATTCAACTTCTTACAGTATACACGGGAGCCAAGGTTGATGACAGGTACCAGCAGTGTGTTGACAGGTTTGAGTGACACTAATAACATGTCAGCTGAGAGAAATAGTTAAAATTCATGGTAAGAGAAGCGACCATTGTGTTAGTAATGTTTTCTCTGATCATCATTGCCTCTATACTTCTCAGCAATAACTGCTTAAGAACATATAAATGATAAGAGGGACTTGGTACACCTCTGTCATGGACGTTAATAATGAAAAAATATAAATAATAAAACATGGGGATTCTTGTAATATCTAAAATAGTAGAGATACGATTTTTTATGGTTCAGTCAGATACACTTTATTTTGGTGCATATTACCCTGACTATATCTCTAGGCTAGTGTGTGTGTGTGTGACGGCAAGTATTCTCACAATGTCAATATTTCAAGGCTTCCCCCCCCCCGCCATGGTAATAGTTCGCGGGGCAATGTTTATATCCTCTCCAGTGATGTTTAATTCATCCAGTGTTTAGTTAGCTTACTGGAAAATGGAAGATGAACTGAATGACGAGTAAAATGATTAACATAACTGTGTATTGATATTAACTGTAACTGTTATGCCTCCCCACCTCCCCCCTCCCCCACACACACACAGACATAGAGTAAAGGTTGTTGTGGTGGGGAGGGTGTGTGTGTGGGGGGGGGGGGTGAAAGTTGCGCCAGAGTTACTACAGACAATTCAAGAGGCGAGGGAACCCAGCGGTGGGGAAATGACTCCATCCAAGACGCCTTCCTCAAGATGGATCACTTATGCAAATTTAATCTGTCGCCATCCACACCAACATTGTTTCTTTCAGTCCTGTCTTCCTCGAGGTGATGGGGGGGTGAGGGAGGGAGGAGGGAGGGAGGGAGGGGTTTGGGTCTGAGGGATGGGGTAGAGGGTGGTGGCTGGGGTGATCTGAGGGGTGGAGGGGGATTGGTGGTCTGGGGAGTGTTGTGATGCTGAACTATCTGTCACTCTGTCACTCTGTCTATCTCTCTCCTGTCTATCTCTCTCCTGTCTATCTCTCTCCTGTCTATCTCTCCTGTCTATCACTCTCCTGTCTATCTCTCCTGTCTATCTCTCTCCTGTCTATCTCTCTCCTGTCTATCTCTCGCCGGTAGGAGTTTGGAGGTTTGGAGTATCTCTGTGAGGAATTTTATCTCTCAGGTGGTATTCATTGTCTCTCAAGAGGAAGGTGAGAGGAAAGGGAGGGGGGAGGAAGGGAGCGTCAAACTGGTTGTCTCTCAGGTATCTCCCTTATCTCCCTGAGAGGGTGTTAATGGGAGGTAATATCTCTCAAGGATCTCTACTTTATCTCACCTTCAGCCACACCCAAACATTCACACAGTCGTGGTTAGATAGAGGTATTGTTATATCACATGAAGATTAACCACCCCAGCTTATTATACCTGATGATTAAACAACCTAACCTAACCTAATCCTAACCTAACCTAATCCTAACCTAACCTAACCTAACCTAACCTAAGCTAACCTAACCTAACCTAAGCTAACCTAACCTAACCTAAGCTAACCTAACCTAACCTAATGGAGCAAAAACAAAAGCAAAGCTAAATAATGTTGGCAAGTGTACTCGTGTGTGTGTGTGTGTGTGTGTGTGTGTGTGTGTGTGAGGGTCAAGGACAGTGAACTAGATGACAGGTGTACCAACAGGTGTTATCTGTCAACATTACCAGGTGCAGCTCCGCCTGGCAGGGTAATCCCCAGAGGTGAGTGTAATCCACTACACTAAGGAGGCTCATCCTTCTTGTCCGGGCCGACCAGACGAGTGTGTGTGTAGAGGCGGAGGATGTAAATAGTGACACAAACAAACAAAACAACATCAATTTAAAGAAAAAACTACAAATAAAAATACTTAATATATGAAAAACTATTTGAATTATAAGGAGATAAATGTATTAATAATCCAATTAAAAATACTTAAATTAATTCTGAATGAAAATATGTATTGATAATAAATGAATAATTATGTTTAAGGATATTTTCTTTAACTTACACTGATAC